AGCTAAGCAACTTGCGAGCTGGTGAACAAAGTATTATCCTTGGACGAATAGCTGGGTCGAGCCGTCCGCCCCGTCGAGGAAAGGGCATGCGATCTTTCCAAAGATTCTCAGCCCAACCTTGCTCGATGGTCGGTGGTCGATGGCCGATGGTCAATGGTAGATGGTCGACCGCCTTGCGTCACCATCTTCCCTGCACCCTGAGCCGCCATCGAGTGTTATGTTATGCCTGTTTATCCCCGAGACTTGGCCAGATGTGTCCAAAAATGCAACCTACAAAATGGCCACCAGCCCCAGAGTGGTGGGAGTGGATTTGCCAAGCCAAAGAGCCGAGGCATCTTGGCGCATCATCCTCATTGTTCAATCTCAGAAACGAGACGAGATAATATTAATACCAATCAATACTTGGATGTAGTCGTCGTTCTGTTCTCTGGTTCGATCATGGATGCCCCCCTCTCATCGAGCGCCCCGCCCCCAGCTCGTGGCTCTATTTTAGCTTTTGGCCATATCATTCGGCGGTCGAGGATTATTATTAGTACGCTGGCGGTCGATGTCGCACTAATAAAAGGCGTCCTTTTACGGTGCCCCAATTCGATTGTCAAACAAACACTGCCACCCCGCATGATGAAATCTTCGAACGCGTTTGGCGTCGTCCATCTTTTCCACCCCAAACTCAATTCAGGACCCGTTTCGCAACCTAGCCCCCTTCCGGAATCTTGCCATTGATTGCATTAGAAGGTAGTGAGAGGGCCAGAGGAGAGGCCTAAATTGATCAATGTTTCTTTAGTGCGTGGAGCCACTCTGAAAGCGCGCTAATAGAGTACAGTGCCATGTCGGGGGTGGGTTAATTCTTTTTTCTTTTCTTCAATGTTCCTACTTGTGTGTGTGTGTGTGTGCGTGTGCGTGTGGTTGTAGGTTTCTCGTGGCTTAGCTGCTTCTCGACATGTCTTGGTCTCCTTCTTGAATAATATTACCAGCATTACAAGTGCGAAGTGCAATATTCTCTTGACAAACGTCGCTCTCCCCCGGACCCTCGTTCCCCTCGCATCTGCCCGGCATCTTGAGCTCCTCTTGTGAGGGCGCACGTCCTTATCACAATGCCCCACATCTCTACCTAGATCCTAGATGGGCAGAGTTTGCATGGCAGGGACGAGAAGGTCCGTCGAATCTATCCGCGCTCTCTAGCCCCTTTGACCAGTCACGACTTACACGCCACTTTTCACCCTTGCCCCCTCCCTGCAGGTCCAGACCATCCGTCTCTGGATGGGGGATCCGTCTTCATCTTTTCTCCCGTCAGTCATTGAAGAAGTACGAGGTATTGATTCTTCTGCCTCTTCGCCCCTCTCGCTGACTGCTACCTCTGAGCAAACAAAGCGGGTCAATTCGAAGCGTAACTGTTGATATAATAATACCACATGATATGATGACTCTACACTATGTATGTAGATGGCACCGTGCCTCCAGGCCTCCATCCTCGGATGCCATCGAAGAAAGACACCCTAGTCCTTGCCCCTCCCTACCCTGCCCGTTGTACCCGTCTCCCTCACAGCCGGGTGGTGTGGTTGTGTGGCTTCTGGCTTGCTCAACACACCGGTATTATTAGCAGGCGCGAGACCATCGGAGCAAATTTTGACGCTCAGTGGAGAAGCATTCCGGGTGGGCTAGTCATGGTCAAGGCATGGTCAAGGGTCAGGTTAGATGTACATAGTGTAATAATAATGTACTTCTCCAAATGTCGGGGGTTTGCTCACTCGTTTGGCCAGGCCCCAACACCGACTTGCTGTGCAGCTTGCCATCCGCACACCCATGACTTGGCTCGGACAGGTGCTAGGGTGGGAGGGTGGGGGAGGACAGAAGAATGTCTTCCTCCTCCAAGTACGAAGTCGTCTGCCACTCCAAGATTTGACTTGGAGATGTGAGATGATGCGGCTAGCTCCCTCATTCCCCACCCACCTTGTTTTTGGATCGCATGCCGCCAACAACAAGGTAAGATTGGTATCATCTACGATGTACTTGTTGGGGAAATGCCTCCTGGCAATATAACTTCCCCACGATCGGGTTTTGGGAGCTGAATGATGTTCCTTGCCAATATCCCATCTCGATGCCAATCTCTGGGGTCATGAGTGATGTGATACAAGTGAAGTGATCCACCACATCCTCCGTGGCCTACACTATGCAACCTGAAAACTCCCTTCCCCTCGCATCCATTCCAAGTACGTGGGCAAGTTGTACCGAGGAACTTCATCCAGGACTTGGATGCAGGCAATCTACTGATGCATGGGATCCAGCCTGGGAGAGAGGGCAGAGAATCCGGATATTCAAACAGAGTTTTATTACCATTCCATTTTCCCCTGCAGTCCCATCCCGCGGCAAGCAACGATGATACTGATGTGAAGGGACCAGGGGTGGAGAATAACCTCGGCGGGTCCGTGCACTCGTGGCCTCGACTTCTTGGCCTCGCGATCGACATGCACCACGACTGGACCTTGTTGTACTTTCCCGCCTCAGGGCATTTTAAACCTGGATGCTCAGGAGCGGCAGGCTTCGTCGAGAGACTCCAGATGTTCCTTTGTCCCTCTTGTGCCCACTCCTGATTGAATCCTCGACGAGCGGTATACGTGCTCAAGAACACCTCGGTATATGGCTGTGGTGGTGGGGGATATCGGTGGAAAGGTGGAGGGGTTGCCTGTCGACAGGAGCAGGTGCCCATGTAGATTACGCCAAGAGAGAGGGCTGGCCGATCAATTGAACAGATCAATATGGATCATGGATCATACATACAACCTAGAATATCATTAACTAATGGGTCTTTGTGCTTCATGGATATCCAACTGCCCTCATCGATATATGCACCGTGTACCGAGGCAATGGTCGTTATTCTCAAACATTTTTGCCACCATGTTTGCGTTGGGTGCTCTGCTTCGTATGCCCTGCCCCTCCTCTCTGTGTGGAAAGAGCTTCTTCTATGATTGATTCATCTACCACGTCTGTCAGTTGATGAATGCGGTGGTGGACGTTTCTGCTTGGCTCGGGCTAGCCACGGCCCTGAAACTAAAATTGAAGCTTGGATTGCTTACCGCGTTTAACTTTAGAGCTATCATCACCTAGTCCTTTGGCTTGTTTAGAGACACGACTGGAGAGACACAACGGATATATCCCGGGCTTAACTTGCTTGGTGCCCCAGGTTCACGTCGAGTGACCCCTCCCATTCCCACGTTGGCACCGAATGGGCCACGATTGCCACCGGGATCATGACAGATCGATAATCAATACCCCGCGCCATCGGCCTTGCTTGGGGGGTTCTTCTCAGCTCCACCTTGAGATTCGGGATTCACCTTAAGGATGAACTTACGCAACACAGCAGGCAGGTACTTCTCTCTTGTTGGGGTCTCTTTTTGAGAAGGAAGTCCTGAATAGGGCCTAGTCAACATTGAATGGGGTTGGTAGCTCTTAGGCAAGCCGGCTTGATCGAACCTGACCTGCACGGCGGAGTCGGAGCCTCCACAAAAAAATTAGCCAAGGGGAACGGACGCAAAGTCACCCTTCTCCAAGATCAGGATGCGTCTCTCCTTGGCCAGCAGAATGAGCGTCCTCGGTAATAACACAACACCCCAACCCTGCGCCCCACTAGAGTAAATGGGGAAAAGCAAACGCCAGCCACGCCGTCGCCCGCGGGAGAGTTTGAGGAGAGGAAGAAGATGCCGTCCGACCACAGACGAGCTTCCTTCTTCTAGTGTTCTTTCTTTGCTTTCTCTCTTGAACGACTGCAAAGACCCAGAGGCGAGAGCTCCGCCGTGGCGTTCTCCCTGCAGCTACAAGTCATCAGTTCACCGTTGAGAATATCAATTGGGATAATAGTATGGGGTGGAGGAGCCGTCGTCGCTGCGACCCTCTCACCCTTGCTCCTTCTTGCATGACACATCAACGTTGCTTCTCGCAGATGACTTTCGAGGAACTGTCAGAAGAGAAGGAAAGAAAAAAGAAAAAAAAAAGAAAGAAAAAAATCTACGAAGAATCCCCTCAAACCCCAGTTCCACATCCTCGGGCTGAAGCCTTGGCGTCTCCTTTCCTTTCCTTGAAGCCTCAATCCTCCATGAGCCATACGCCTGGCCTGAGACAGGACCTCCACCCTGGCATACAGTTGGCTCCCTAGCCCATAGCACTGTGCACTGTGTACACTTGGTTTGGGAACTCAACTGCCACTCCTGAGGTTACCCTGTTCCGTTGGCCTGCATCCCCCCTTCCTTTCATCACCCTTGTCACAGACAGAGGCATTCAACTGGTATCTCCCCTCCCAGTACAAGTAGTGTCGATATTATTAGCCGGATGCTGGGCTGGTCAGGATACCTCTCTGCTGCCTCTCTAGCCTCGAACCCTGCCATGCTCGAACTGGAGACGGATTGGGAAGACTTGACAGGGTACTGACAGGGATAGCAAATGTTACATGCTACTAGCGTGAAAACGAGCAAGACGTGAGACGGGGGTTTGCCTACTCGGACAGGGTAGGGGGACCCCATCAATGTCACCTGGGTCCTGGGTCCTGGGTGGGCTCAGCGAGCAGCAACTCAGGATAGCGCATACATATAGCCTTGGAGGACGGCCCTTGAGGAATGCGTGGGGCGGGGGAGCTTCGTCCCTCAAAGGAAAACAGACCTCGATTGAATAGAGCTGCGCGAAACTTGACCCGAACCCATCCTGTTGGGACGATCTTGTTCAAATACCAGTCACTCTCCTTGCCGTTTTGACCTGGCCCCTCCCAAACTAGCCCTCCGCTTTCTTAACCACCCAAGCATATCAAAAACATCGTCCTGTGCTCTCTCTCTCCCCCGCCCAAACTCTCTCATCAGCCTTTTTCTGCTTCAAGACATCTACAAGTAGGTGGTGTCGCCCGGTGTCGCCCTCCAGCAGCGCGACCTATATAAGCCCACCGTTTTCACTCGTACCCGCGCCGCTCTCACCCACCGCCGCGTCCTGTCTTTCGGCCCCGGTGATCATTTGCGACCATGGTTTACTGCGGAAAGCCCTCAAAGGGCTGCCAGATGTGCCGGACACGGCGAATCAAGGTAGATGATGACCCTTTCACGCAGCTCCCATCCCCTTCTGTGGCCGTTGAAGATGGAGCATAGAAATATGAGAACATGTTTACTCATCCATCATCATAGTGTGACGAAACCAGACCAACTTGCAACCAGTGTGCCAAATCGCGCCGCCAGTGCCCGGGATATCGGGATGATTTTGACATAATTCATCGCAACGAGACCGTTGCTACCGAGCGGCGCGCCCGGAAGGCTAATCAAAAGACTGTTGTCGCCGCGAAGAAACCCGTTGCCCCCACCAGCCATACTTTGGTGCCATCCGGGAGCCCGGCCAGGACCGAGATGGATCCCCGGCTTCCACGGCGTCTTCTGAGGTCGACACCGTCGTCCGTGCCCTGAATCTTTCAACTGAGTATCACGCAACTTGCTATTTTGTCGCCAACTTCATACTCGTCCCTCGCCAGGATGGGACGAGGGGTTTCATGCACTTCATCATCCCCTTGGTAAAGACCGAGGCCCCCGACAGTCCGATTGTCCACGCATTCAGCGCATGCGCCTATGCATCCTTGGGCAACCGCCCCAACGTGCGTGGCAAGCAAATTCCCCTCAAGCCATTGTTCAGTACCATCGCGCCCTCAAGTCCCTACGGGCCACTCTTACGGACAAGGAAGCGGCCAAGTCAGATGCTACTTTGTGTGCAGTTCTACTCCTAGCACTCTACGAGGTTAGTTAATACATGGAAACCTGCCCGGGGCTTCGGAGTTTTGGCTTGCCTCCGAAAACTGACACCCTTGAATCTAGAACCTCACATCGAAGGAGATGACAATGGGCATATGGGCCAAGCACATCGAAGGCGCGATTCAAATAGCAAAGGCTCGCGGCCGTGAGCAGCTGCGTAGCCAGAGGGGCCTTATGCTCTTTATATCTGTGAGAACACAAATGGTCCGTGTATTCTTAACCACCCCCTCCCTCTCGCCCAGCCTTTCTGCGGCTGAACGATGGCAATCTAACATCAGTTTGGAAATGTTCATCGCTAACTTCGGAACTTTAGATTGTCCATTCCATTGCCTCAGGAACCCCCAGCGATGGGTGTAGACTGGTGGGTCTCGGATGCGGTGAACGACCTCATTGCTACCGAATCTCAACACCTTTGCATCCAAGCCGGCGCCCTCCGAGCCCATGTGACTAAACTCATGACTGCTAATGTGAGGAGTGCGGAAGTCAACAAGCTCATCCAAGAAACTATCAGCCATGTCCGAGCTATCGAAACGCGCTTGGAGGAATGGTTCGATAACCTTCCCGCTCACTGGTCGTACAAGACAGTTGCTTGGGAGGACAATGTTCCCGACGGCGACTATACCAAGGCGGAGGTCTTCCCTGGCAAGGTGGACGTATACCGCGATATCTGGATCGCTAGCGTCATAAACCTGGCGAGGGTGAGCAGAATAACCCTGACATCGACCGTGTTGCGCTGCGTTGCCTGGCTTTGCTCGCCTGCCGACTATCGAACGACGCCCGAATACGCTGCGGCTGCGCGCATCTGCTCCGAGTCCATCACCGACATCATCGCGACGGTTCCCTATCATCTCGCCTGGCATGCTAACCGGCCAGAGATCATGAGGAGGGTCAGTCTTTCCGGCTTTGCCTGTGGTGAAGAGGATGCTCAAAAGGGCCTTGGTGGCTACTTTTGACATTCCCTCTCGCCTGCGTCCAAAATTCAGACTTTTGCACCGATGCCCAGCGGACGTGGGTCCGAGGCAGGTTGCGCTACATCGCCGATGAACTCGGTGTCTTTTATGCTCATACGATAGCCAATGTAAGTTTTTCCTTCCCATCACCTCTCCTCCTCTCACGTTCCTGTCGCGGTATCTTCTGCGAGCTCGACTTCAATGTGCCTGAGACTAAACTTGCCGATAGCTTGACGTTCGCTTGCCTTCGATGCACATTCGTCGAGATGGCCTTCTGGCCAAACCCTACCCAATCGGTCACAGTTTCGAAAAGATACTCTCTTCTAAACTGCCCCAGCAATCAGGCGAATACCCCCTCGACCCATGGCAACAAATGGATGCTCTGAGGAAGGAGTTTGTTGAGCAGAAGAGGGCCGAACTTCTCTCCAAGGCCGCGGGAGTCGGCGGCTCCAGTGGGACTGATCTTGCGCAGCGAATCCTCACCGTGTAAGCAGCGAGTCAATCTCAGCTGTCGAGGCGCTTTGATAGCTTGTGTCGCGCTGGCAAGGTCGGATCAACTTGGTACGGCACACTAAATCCATCAGAGCCCCCACACAACCCACTCTAGTCGCGCGAGATGCTCTCCCGACCCCATTAGGGCTCGGGGTCCGCGTTGCCCCTCAACTGAAGCCGACGGAAGGAGATTTGAGGCTCACCCCGTGACCTCTTACACATGCCGCAGGCTGGCACTTGCCAAGCGTGCTGGGCTGTGTTTTTTCCGTCTGATAAACGGCGAATGCCCTCAGGCGTGCGCCTGTCTGGCCACGGGGGAACAAAAACAGCGCACGGTGTCTGCCCTTACCCCCGAAGTTCCTTTCTAAGGTTGTAGGCCCCAGGCCCTGGGGGCTTTCCTCCTCGTGTTGCGCTCCCAGCTCCAGCCTGGCGCTGGATGCTCCGTGTCTACCTCGCCGCTCGCGAGGCGCATTTCCTATCGTGAATCGGAAGACACGGCCCATCCCGCTCTGGCTCTCGATTGCGTAGGATCTCTAGGGCTGGCATTCCCATACCAGGTTCACTCTCCGCGCTGTTCTTCCTCTTCCCCCTATTCCCTGGTCTGTGTCAAGATGGGCCGATATGTCGCGGTATTCTTTACATGCCCTTCTGTTATGTTTAAAGCTAGAAGCTTCAAACTATGCTTCCCTTGTACTTAATTCAGTGTTGTGTAGTTGTAGGATCTAGTTCAAGAGTGTATCTTATATCTTATCCGCTTTAGAGCATGTCTTGATTTTTCCTTGCCGTGAATAAAATACACTTGCTATATTTCTAATCAAGCCTGTAATTCTGCGGCATAAGTCCTACAATCTTGGCCTTTTCCACCCAAAGAAAGCAGAGTGAAGCGGCGTACAAAGAAAGCCGACAGCAGGTGAAAAGGGCTACACTCATTGTGAAGAACGTGCTACAAAAGATCAGGTAGTTGCCCAGGCCTGGTATGTGATGTTTGACGTTGCGTCTATCACTCGACGTCCCTCCACCCCTCATATCCGATCATGTTCTACGAGGTGTGGCTAGGTAGAGCTTGCTCGCACACTAAAGGACTGTAGGTAGCGAGGCCAAGAACTACAGGCTGCGTCGCAACTTCAAGAAAGAGGGGGAGCTAAGGGGGACCGTGAGTTGCAGCGGATCGGCACATCTAGCAAGATACAGTCAGGTCCGCCATCTATGGTATAGCCCGCATCGTCAAGCCCATCCGCACGGGGAATCGTTTTTGCGGCTCGGCGCAATAAGCTTGGATAATGGCTATATGGGGCGCAAGTCTGGCCCATCAGGTGGCTTTCGTTTTCTGCTTCCTCTTGCTAGAATAGGCAACCGATGGTTAGAATACAGCTGCATACTCGTTTTCGGTATCCCGCGTATGGTCGGTCTGCTTGAGCAGAACAGTTGCTCCGTTTCATACCGAGGTACAGCGTAGGAGTTTCTCACCTCTTGTCCTCGATCGCTTGGCCGCTGAGGTTCCAGGCCTTAACAACCCAGCTCTGTGTTTTATCCACATATTGTTCGTTCTCTATCTCCTTCACGCCAACGCGCACCCCATCTTTTGTGAACACGACATTTTTCTTGCCCATTCGTTCAGTAGCAGTCTCTTGGATCTTCGCCGCACTAAGGTAGATGTGGTAGCCGATGAAACCGAGTGCGCCTAGGAAGATAAAGAGGATAACGAGAGGCACAAGCTGGCTACATGTTTGCGATGGCAAAAACAAAAGGTTGATGGTTAGCGGTGTCTCTGTTTGAGCGCAACATTTGCTAGACACAACAAAGACTAAGAAAGCGAGACTCGGTTCGTGCAGAGCCGAGGTCAGCGCGCAAAGGAAAAGAAGGGTGTGCAAGGAACTCGTGCCAGGCCGATGGGATTGAGGAACAAGGTTTAGGCTAGTACCTAGGGGCACTCAAAGGGGCAGCATCGTGAGGCGTGGGCAGCGCGGCGAGGCATCCATTCCAGGAACACCCTAAGTTGGAAGGCGGGCAACGCGTGCGAGGATTGGTGGTGCCATCTAATGGATTTTGACGCGAAGCGTGGGTTGCTAACGTAAAAGAGCTTGCAAAGACTTACCCTATAAGTGATTTTGCCATGGTCGCTTCGTTCTGCGAGAGAAGGAGATGGTATAGTCAAAGTTGAATCAAGTAACCGAATCCTCACCTGGTCGAGTTGGTATTTTTTTCATCCAGGAGGGGTGCTTTTGGAGCAAGATCAAGCGAAGGATTAAAAAGAAGAGAGCATCAGGTCGCTGGTTGCTCGGACCAGATAGGGGTACCTTTCGAGAAGTGGAACAGAGGGGCAATGAGTTGATCGAGGATCAGCCCGCCGTATTACCGAATTTATGCAGCCCTGGTGTCAACACTGAGGGCACATTTCCCTGTGTGCTGCATCAATGTTCTGTCCCCCTTCAAAGTCTCCACAAAGGTTGGCGTCTGCGAGCGACAGGGAGAGGGCCCCAGGCGTGGGAGGCCCCCATAGGCCTTAGGCGTCATCAAATACACAGATGCCCATCATTAGGCAGGCCCACTGCTGTTTCTCACAAATCGAGCCCAGTGCCTACATTCATGGATCATTCCAGCGCTCTCAAATCAATCCGAGGTGGGACGGGTTCAGCTCAGATCTCATGGCAGCAAGGTGGGTCCCCTTGGGCAAAGCTGCAAGCCAGTGACGTGTCTTTCAGTTTGGATTGGAAGGGGTTGCTTATTATCCAACAGTGGGTTGAGGGGATACTTGAGAGACGTGGGCTTGATCACGGCAATGTACGTCACAGAGCCACGAGACTTCAAGTTTAAATCGGGGAGGCCAGGCTTCCTTCGACGCTGGAAGGTGCGGCGTACCGTACAAGACCACCAGCTTCCCGTCTACTCGCATACCCGACTTGCTCAGAAGTCACAACAACTTGAGCTAAAAGGGGAAGGGAGGTGAATGTACTTATTAAAGCTAGCATTGGTTCACAGCTCGGCATGTGCATCTGAGTCCCTGGCTCTCGAATAAGAGCTTGCGCTGATGGTTAAAGAGCTAGAGCGATCAATGAGTGGTCTTGACACGCCAGAAACTGGAATCCGAACACCGGTTGCTGGATGGATGCTGGAAGGATGCTGGTATTAACTCATAATATCTAATCATCACTTCAAAGTCTAGAAGTAATATTAGCCGAAATTAGCCGAGAACCTCATGCTGTGTGCTCCTTCACAGCACGCACAACCAGCAGGGCCAGTGATAATAGTACTTTGACCACAAGAGTCAACAATTTCCAGTTCCAAAACCCACTAGCTTAGCGACGGCGGGGTTTGCAGACAGTCAGCACCGGGCCAGGACCTGGCTACGTATCTACTCTAGCAGAGGTAAACTTCACACCACCTGTCAAGTTGGCGGTATCCCATCACCACGGTCAACCTGTCGACTCCCCGCCCTTCCCCTTCTTCGCGCACGACGTGCTTTCCTTCCTCTCTTGAGTCGTTAAGGGCACTCTATCAGGAAGGAAGTGACTCGAAACTCAAAGACTTGCCGTGACGAGGATAACTTCCACTCAGCGGTCAGCCCTCCTCTGCCCCTCGTCCTCCCTCCCCCACGATTCTCGCCCGGCCTCTGTTAGCAATCTTCAACCCTCTCCTTGTCCTCAATTTCTGTCCGGCAACCGTCCCACAACTTTCCCATCACGAACAAAGCAAGTCATGTCGGCCCCACCAGGCGATGGCTATGGCCAGTATCCCCAACAACCGTACAGCCAGCCCGAGCAACCTGAAGACCACGCCTCGCAGCCAGCCGCCCACCACCATGATGGCGACCACAAGAAAAAGAAGAGGGGATATGCCGCCCAGGCTTTTGATTTTGGCACCGGCGCAAACGTCACTGCCGGAACTGGGTCCGCACCCGCCGCCGCTCAGTATGGGATGCCTCAACCCCAAGCTCCTGGCTACGGAGGATACCCGCAGCAGGATCCTCAAGTAGTTTCTCCAGGATATCCAGCCCAGCCCTATAATGCGCAGCAGTTCGGGGCTCCTGCTTCCAGTGGAGCGGGCGGCTATCAAGCCCCGGACGCATATTATCCGGGCCCTGGTGTACCCGCCCCCGGCGCCGGAGCGGCTGCGGGGATAGGCAATATCACTGCCGGCATGGCACAGATGCAAATGGGTCCCGGAGCTCAACAGGCGATGCCTCATGCCCAACAAGCCGTTGCTTTGAACCAACTCTATCCCGTTGATCTTCTCAACCAACCCTTCAACCCCGCTGAATTGGAGTTCCCCCTCCCCCATTATTCTCCCGCCCAACGTAGGTTCCTTCCTCCCACTTTAATCCCATTCACGCATTTGGCGGTGCTTATGAGGTCATCCTAACTCTTCTGTCTCCCCTTTAGACCAGCGCGACCAATTCACCTACGGCCAATTGCCCCCAAATACGTGCGCTCGACCTTGAACGCGATTCCCACTACCAACAACCTCTTGAAAAAGTCAAAGCTTCCTTTTGCCCTCATCATCCAGCCATATGCCTCCCTCCACGATATCGATGACACCGTCCCCGTTGTCCAGGATCAGGTCATCTCTCGGTGCCGGCGATGTCGATCCTACATTAACCCATACGTAACTTTCTTGGACAACGGCCACAGGTGGAGATGCAATATGTGCAACCTCACCAATGATGTGCCCCAGGCATTCGACTGGGACGCGGCTTCGCAGAGGAGCGTGGATCGATGGGAGCGTCCTGAACTGAACCACGCAGTGGTGGAGTTTGTAGCCCCTCAAGAGTACATGGTTCGCCCGCCTCAGCCTCTTGTCTACTTGTTCCTCTTCGACGTTAGCTACGCGGCTGTTTCCTCCGGCTTGCTCGCCACTTGCGCCCGCACAATCCTCGACAGCCTTGACCGGATACCAAATGCCGATCGGCGTACCAGGCTTGGCTTCGTCGCGGTGGACTCTAGCCTTCACTATTTCTCTATCCCTAAGGATGAGGACGCGAATGCTGAGACTAGCATGCTTGTCATTAGCGATCTTGACGAGCCTTTCCTCCCCGTGCCTCACGACCTGCTCGTACCCTTGACCGAGAGCCGCCAGAGCATCGAAAGCTTCCTAACCAAGCTCCCAGAGATGTTCCAAAACAACCAAAGCAATGGCTCATGCATGGGGTCGGCGCTTCGCGCAGGCCACAAGCTTATCTCTGCCATGGGCGGAAAGCTTGTTGTCCTCAGCGCGTCACTGCCTAACCTAGGTGTCGGCAAGTTGGAAGTGCGTGAGGATAAAAGCTCTTGGGCACATCCAAGGAAGGTGGCCTCTTGCAGGCTGCCAATAGCTTCTATAAAGCTTCGCGGTCGAATGCTCCAAGAGCCAGGTCTCCATCGACATGTTTCTTTTCTCGTCCAACTACCAGGATGTTGCCTCGCTCAGCAACCTTCCCAGGTACACTGGCGGTCAAACTTGGTTCTACCCTGGCTGGAACGCCGGCCGGCCAGAGGATGCCATCAAATTTGCTAGCGAGTTCAGCGACTACCTATCGTCCGAAATTGGTCTAGAAGCTGTATTGAGGGTTCGTGCCACCACAGGGCTACGAATGAATACCTTCTATGGCAACTTTTTAACAGAAGCTCGGACCTTTGTGCCTTCCCCGCCTTCCCGCGAGACCAGTGTTACGTCGTTGAGGTGGCAATCGATGAGACGGTTACCAAGAACGTTGCCTGCTTCCAGGCCGCCGTGCTTCACACCACTTGTAACGGTGAGCGGCGAATTCGCGTGTTGACACTCGCCCTCCCCACCACCCAGAATCTCAGCGATATCTACGCGTCTGCGGATCAATGTGCTATTGCCACATACTTTAGTCACAAGGCGGTGGAGAGGGCCCTAAGCAGCGGTCTGGATCCCGCTAGGGACGGGCTTCAGTCTAAGATCACCGAGCTTCTCCAGACGTTTAGGAAGGAGCTTGCTGGTGGTAGCATGGGTGGCGGCCTTCAGTTCCCTGCCAACCTTCGTGGACTGCCCCTACTCTTCCTCGGCATGATGAAGAACCTCGGACTTAGAAAGTCGGCTCAAATCCCCTCGGATCTTCGGTCGGCCGCCTTATGCCTGCTTTCCACTCTACCGGTGCCCCTCTTGATGCAGTACATCTACCCGCGTCTCTACTCCCTCCATGATATGCCAGACAGTGCTGGCATGCCGGACCCTGAGACCAGCCAGATAGTGCTCCCCCACCGCTGAACCTTTCTTCGGAACGTATCGTCTCCTACGGATTATACCTCATTGACGACGGCCAGACCCAGTTTCTCTGGGTTGGTCGCGACGCTGTGCCACAGCTTCTGGCCGACGTGTTTGGTGTAGAAGATAGGACCCAGCTTCGTGTCGGTAAGGGCACGTTACCCGAGCTTGAGAACGACTTCAACGAGCGTATCCGCGCCGTGATCCAAAAGAGCCGAGACCACAAAGCCAAGGGAGTTGGAAGCATTATCGTCCCTCACCTTTATATCGTCCGCGAAGATGGCGAGCCCAGCCTCAAACTCTGGGCCCAGACCTTGTTAGTCGAGGACCGCGCGGACCAGGGCCTTAGTGCTGCCCAGTGGCTTGGCGTTCTTCGAGAAAAGGTACGTTTATAGCAGTTTCGAACTTTCTCACAGCTCTACTCCCACACACTCACACACACACGAGCGTGGCCTGCACCTATATACCCTTACTGACTCCATAAATAGGTCGTACAGTGAGAATATCAAATAAACTTCACTATTGGTGATGGTGAATTTTGCAGCAATCAGCGGTTGACCCGATTACACGATATCACTCCCTCAGCGCGACTCCTTGGCATCGTTCTTCACTGTCAATACAGGACAGTCGGACGCAATTTAAATACAACAAGGACAGGCGACTGACACGCCACGGTGCAAGGAGACGATATTGAAGGAAGAGGCGTAATCAGATGGGCAAGACCGCGGGGTGCCGAGGCTTGCTCGAATGTAGCGGTGGTTTTTTGTTTCTATGAAGTCAACTCGCATGAAGTAAAAGCTGGAAGGAGTATATGAGAATTTCCGGAGTAGTCAGACAGCGTTACGTTTAGGGAGAATAGAGTCCAAGTAACTCATTATCTTTTAACAAATTTAACAAAGATCTATCTTGAAAAATATATACGTAATATAATCGAGGAGGAAGAAGAAGAATAGAACCTCAGTGTAGCTTGATGGGAGAAGCTATGCGAGATGGACGATACTAGTCACCGTCCCAAACATGACTGGCTTCCTCTGTGGCTCAAACACCAACCCGCACCCGAGAGAGAGAGAGAGAGGGAGAGAGAGAGTCCGAGATCAGGGGTCACAATCTCACCTTCGAACCGCCGGCCATTGATCAATGACATTGAAGAAACCCTTATCCAATACCTACCTACCCCCAGGAGCAAAATACTAATAGTGTGTTCTCCTTTATCCATTCTCCCTTTCACCCCTCTCTTCACTCCCATTCCTATGGCAGTGCGATGTGACTGCAAGCCGGTCATAAAATGGATGAAACAACGGAGTTATTTTGGATGAAACACGGGTGACCCATGACATTCGAGAAAATGGGTCTTAGCTTACCGCGGCGGAAACCAATCAGATAGCTGGTTAGGCGCGATGGGAGAAGCTCAAGCTATACCTCGGTGGACCGCGGGCAGCTTGAGGGGTTCACGACAAGTAATACGCTCGATCTGAGGGCTGGCCAGGCGATGGCTGCCCAGCCCCTTGTTCTTCCATCTTCCAAGTCCAACCACCCTTTCAGGTTCTGTTCCCCCGGCCCCCACCTACTAGTACCACAAAAGTTTCATAGATGACACTGGCAGCGAAGGCCAGTCCGGGACGCCTCAAGGGCATGGTTGGCTCATGGATACAGTTTTACATGCAATATTAAATGTATGCTCCAGAACAAAATCGGCTAGTTGGTAGCTCCTTTCGTGCGCGATGCCAGGCTGACGCTCGTCATTGAGGAAGAAATGCGACACGGCCAAAACGCTTGGAGAATAATAGCCAGCCCACGGCGCATGCTTGTGGAAACTCATACCCATACCATACCGATTCTCCCCCCTTCCCCGTGCGCGCCCCGTCACTTGGTGGCGGAGGCGCCGCAAGCAAACCAATACCGCCACCAAGTTCCCCGGGCGCGCTAATCAAACGCACAGTCAAGAAAGAACGTGTGACAGGATCCAGTTCTCGAACCAGCGTCGAATTGTTGTTTCTCGCCTGGTATGCATGCCTACTTGATAGGTTATCTTTCGTGCAGCCAACATATCATTTGAGCCCGTATAGCTCAGTGGTAGAGCGCATCACTAGTACAGCTAGTGAGATGATGAGGTCCCTGGTTCGATCCCAGGTGTGGGCATCTTGACGGTTTGATAACCGGACGACGTAGTTTTTGTCCTCCCTTTTTCGACAATGAACCAACTTCCTCCCCCTCTGAACAATGGCTTGTGCTTGCACTACCCTACTTGTCTACCTAGTCATTACCAGCCCGATGAAATAGCTCACGGCTTCCTCGCCCGTTAGGTAATGCGTTATTACACGCGATCCCGAAGAGGTGTGATAGGTTTCGCCACCCGTCCAATCGGCCGATGCTAATATGCTCTCAATATTTGTTGGAGAATAGGGGGCAAGCAGCATCATTACCTGACCACATTCAACACCTTTGTCGTGTGTGTGTATCAATCCTGGATTGATCGAACTCAATCTTATTGGCGGCCACTTTGCCGCCTTCACACATCACAGTCACATCTAGGCCTCGTGTGCATTTAGCAGCCCTCTAGCGCACAACTTATCCTACCCCTCAACGTAAGGCGCAAGGCGCGCGGAGAGAAGATGAGAGAAGTTCTTTCTATTCCCAGTGTCCTCCTCTCTTTCTAGGCGTCCGAGGGAGGGAAGGGCGGTTTTTCCCCTCTTTTATGAAAGGAAAAGAAACCTCAAATACAGCCCGAACCAGGTTGGTTCTTGCGAAGCAGACCATCACTATTTACATGGCCCCAACAAGAGTCACCGCGCTAAATCCAGCAAGCTTCTAAACAATATTTCGGCGCTCTACCGAGGCATCCATAGATCCATTGTACAAGTAATAAGGCCAGACTAAAAGTAATATTACTAGGCCGCGAATTGGAACTGGACAGGCGGGAACCAGAAATTGGTCATTGCATCCTGTTTTCTGGTGAGGACGAGACATCTAGCGGATGTCGCCTTGGCTCTTCAAGGCCCTGGATCCTACTTTACTAGAATCTCTGTTTCCAAGTGCCCCTCCTCCCCCTTTCGCCCCACTCTTCACGGAGATCAGACAGGCACACAGTCCAACCGAGCGAACAGAGGAACGGTGACAACAACAACACAATACATGAGCTACTCATCTGAAGTCTGCGCCTCTGCGCTGACGCAAAACCGAGGAAAGAGAGTGCCCATCCGACGGCACCTAGCCGCCCGCCCATCCCCGGCATGTCTTTCCAGGCTTTCAGTGCCTCTCCTTCTGCTTATCAGATCACATTGTCAGTAGCCTGGGGCAGGTCGATGTCGGCAGGGCTAGGGAATACGGGGTAGCTTTTAGGCCTGTCGCAAGTCTTACTCGCCGAGCTAGCTTATAGGTCCACATAGCTCATAGCACACCCACCCACAGGTCCAAAGCTCTTCTCCTCGTCCTGGTCGTAGGTTTGCTAGCCAGGATTGTGCGCTGTTGACACTAGAGAGGTTGATGGTATTAAAGGAGCGCCAAAGCCCCCTCCTCAAAACGAAACAAATAGATCAGACCAGGACAAAAAAGGAAAAGAAAAGCACACAGGGAAACAGAGACCGTAGGATGGAATATTGGGATACACCTTGTCAGATGCGCCTGATCCTCAGACAGGACGAACACTCTACGCAGTCTGCTCATCAATTCGTTGTCGCATCTCAGGAGGTCGAGTAGCTTAGGCCCCCAGCTTCAGTTCAGGGGATGGTACATCTCCCATTGGGCTGGTTAGCTCGTGAGCAACCTGCCCCCTCGACGGGCCTACCCCGCCTCCGTGCTGCCGTGTCCGAGGCCGTGAACGAACGTCGGGACCTCTCTTCGAGCGCGACCTGAGAACAATGTAGCTTACATCCTACATATGTAGTTCTAGCCACATACAACCGTCAAGACGTTGAAGGCTAGCTGTTCGCCAAGCGGTGCTGGGGAAGTGGTGTCGGGCGCGCGAAAACGAAACGGACATCAGCGAGTGCCGAGAGCGAAGTACGAAAGTGACCTGAACCTTGGGTTGCTCAGTGCCCCCAAGAACCCGATCCGTGATACGTCTCAACCAACTTGAGACCGGCACCAGAACGAGCCTCGCTCGTCCAAAGGGCCCGAGCGGCTCAGGAACAACCCACACACACACGCACGCACGCACACCCCTTCATCGCAGCTTTGGTCTCCTGTCATTCGTTCCTTCCCCCAGCCAGCCCGCGGCGGGGTTCGCTTCAGCGACCCTTTTTCTTCCTTTCTCCCCTCTGCCTCTTCTCCTTCTCAAACTGTTTTCGATTTCAAATTTCGACCTTCGCTTGAGGCTAGTTTTAGACAGTCCTTCTATTCTTCCCTTCTAGAAATCACAGCTCCGCCTTCTCCGCCTAAACTCGAGAAACCTAGGTAAAGTGTGTTCCTCCTCCTGTCCTTTCTCCATCCAGATTCCCTTGACTTCAGCATTCTCCATCCGACCCCGCCCTTCCCGCCGCCTTCCCTCCCAGTAGTAGAATCTTGCCTTTCTCAAGGCGCGTCACCCTTTGCTCTCGTGAAAAACAGGTCCTGTTTGCGGCCGACCGTTGTTCAACCCCAATTCTACCTCCTTCCCGGCCGTTGCTTTGTTCGTCATCGTTTTCTGCTTTTGCCGCCATCATCGCTCTGGCACAGCAAGTTTACCCCACGTGCTGTGTGCTTTTTCCCCAGGAGGAGAATTCAGACAGCAAGCGGGATATTTCAAGACCCCTCCTTCCCTTCCTCGACCCACGTCAAACCCCCACCACAGTCGAATAGAGACAGACTAGCCCACTCCCGCGCAGCTCGGCTTCGTTTTCCCTTTTTCTTACTTTCTCTATTTATTCGCAGTTGCTCCTTTTACCACCCGCCTCATCGACGCTACATTCCTAGCCGTTGCGAGCGCCTCGTTCTTTTCTTGTTTTTCCTCAGCCTCCAATTATGTCTCGCTCTCAGGCCCCGAACCCCGCGGGGTCTCGCAAAATCTCCTTCAACGTGAGCGAACAGTACGATATCCAGGATGTTGTTGGTGAAGGAGCCTACGGCGTTGTCTGGTAAGTAAGATCCGTTAGCTTATCCACGCCCTCACGCCGCTGCTATGTCTAGCAGTCTCAGGTGCTCGCCCTTATCGTTCCTGGTGCTGGGATAGTTGCTAAACATAAGCACTTAGTTCTGCCATTCACAAGCCTTCGGGCCAAAAGGTCGCCATCAAGAAGATCACTCCGTTTGACCACTCCATGTTTTGCCTAAGAACTCTTCGCGAAATGAAGCTGCTCCGATATTTCAACCATGAGAATATCATCTCGATTCTCGACATCCAGAAACCCCGAAACTACGAATCGTTTAATGAAGTGTATCTGATTCAAGTACGTTCCGCAATGCCGTGGGAAAAACCATTGATTACTCGCCGAGTGCTCGTGTTGCCCTATCCCCCTCCTTTGGATATTGATGTCATCAACGTCACCAGGGATACAAAACGATTGAACAGCCTTGCTAACCAGAACGGTGGAATATTTGTAGGAACTCATGGAGACTGACATGCACCGTGTCATCCGAACCCAGGACTTGTCCGACGACCACTGCCAGTATTTCATCTATCAGACCCTGCGCGCCCTCAAGGCTATGCATTCGGCGAATGTCCTTCACCGTGACCTGAAGCCCTCGAATCTTCTTTTGAACGCGAACTGCGACCTCAAGGTGTGCGACTTCGGCCTCGCGCGCTCTGCTGCTTCCCAGGAAGACAACTCGGGTTTCATGACGGAATATGTCGCCACCCGTTGGTATCGCGCACCTGAAATCATGCTCACCTTCAAAGAATACACAAAGGCCATTGATGTCTGGTCGGTGGGATGTATCCTCGCCGAGATGCTTAGCGGCAAGCCACTATTCCCTGGCAAAGACTGTATGCACCCAGCCTCATTCTTCTACCTAATTACCGTACCTAATGCTAACCATCTTGGATTAAAGACCACCACCAGCTTACTTTGATCCTGGACGTGTTGGGAACTCCTACTATGGAGGATTATTATGGTATCAAGTCTCGACGCGCTCGGGAATACATTCGATCGCTGCCCTTCAAGAAGAAGGTGCCTTTCCGAACACTCTTCCCCAAGACCTCGGATCTTGCTCTTGACCTCCTCGAGAAGCTCCTGGCCTTCAACCCGGTTAAGCGTATCACCGTTGAGGAGGCCCTGAAGCATCCCTACCTTGAACCTTACCATGACCCTGATGACGAACCCACCGCTCCCCCATCCCCGAGGAGTTCTTCGATTTTGATAAGCATAAGGATACCCTCAGCAAGGAACAGCTGAAGCAACTCATCTACCAAGAAATTATGAGGTAACCCCTGAATTGTAGCATTGGCGGGAGTCGGGGAGTTTTTTTCTTCTTTTCCTTGTTCTTTTCCCCTGTACTGGACAGGATTGGAGGACTACTAGTAGAATATCTCACGGGTGTTGCTCTCGGCCGCCAGTGGGGCATGCCCTTCCTCGCTGCTAGTCAAGGTCTCCAGCGTGGACAAAGGAGCCTTGTAGCAGACTAGTGTAGACTAGTAGCTTAAGTTTAAGGAGGGCATGAACATGCTAGCTGCGGCGCGGCGCGCTCTCAGGAAAATAACGACTAAAAAAGCAAGGGTCGCCTATCATTTCTCCAACTTGTAGTTTTCCTTCACCCTCTGGGTAGCGTAGCTGATATTCGCCAATGATATCAACCGCTGGGCCCTCAACATTACTTTGGTGCCCGCTGTTTCTTGAATTGTGTGGTAGCTGTTCGCCCCTTATTATACCGTTGGGTTCGAGGTTCATCGCAAAGATATTTGAAATACTCGCCGGTATTAAATTCGGACGCAAAAAGAAGACCAAGCGAGGGGTGAATATCCCCCTCCCTCTGTCTTTCTCCCTCGAAGATAATTATACCACCAAGTACTACTTGACCGATTCAGAACCGCTCCTAGGTTCCTGACAGCGTCACAAGGTTCCCGTTATCCCGGGTAAACGAGCAGTCAACTCCGCGATAAGATAAAGCATACTCAATTGTAGAAGCCGGGGTGGGTATCGTGACAGCATACGACAACATCTCCCCATTCTTGATTTCCTCGTCGCCACTTCCACCGCTAGTCGCGGTGTGCTCTTAGACCAGGCCGTTCCAGTGCTATCTGGTTTTACGGCTTCGCGCTCCGCGGATCAAGTTGCGGAGGGCGCTTGACCCATAACTCGGCGAGAACCAGGTAATTGTCTCTTTACGGTCCCGTTGTTTGACCGCCCGGGTCTTTTCTTGTCATCGGCGCCTCGCTTGAACAAACGGCGCTTATACCCATAACATGAACCAAGGCACAGTATTATACAGCTGTCCCACGCGAGGGATGTTGATGGGAAAGTGGCGTGATGGCTAAGCTCCCCTTGGGTATCAAATTGCAAGGCCCCCTACGATGCTTTGGGGATAGGTATAAGGCAAACACAAGCCACGCGTTCATCCACCCACAACCCAGAGTTCCGCATTTATAACGTAAAACTTTTCGCCCTGCTGACTCAGAGGCTCATTCCCGAAAGTCGCACACCGGGAGCTGTGGCCGTGCTCGATGCTGCTATCAATCCAGAGCCCGTAGTGCCCGCCTCCGGCACCGATCGAGAAGAATCCGGTTTCGCAATTCATGAAGAAGTCATTCAGTCCTGTATAGGGAAACGCGTTGAAGCGGATATGGGTAGCCGTCGCTGGTTTCGAGCTTGCGTCTACAGGCGAAAGGGCATCCGCAGCCACTTTGACATCGGAGGAGGTTGCGTTCGCTGGCATTGAGAAATCCTCTGATGGGGGATCTATGTCCGTCGTGTCACCGCTGTGAGGGTGAGGTGAGAGGGAGGATAAGTTCGGAATGGCGTCCTTGATAAGAATGGATTTCCAGAGGAAGCACTCGCCGTTTCCGAAGTATGATGGAGCTGGGTGAGGGTACTCGGAGAGATATGCTCCAAAGGTCTGCGGGTGGAATTTTTAGCTCCGAGGATACCTCTGTTGAAGGGTCACGCCAAAGGCTACCACGATAAATTACTTACTCCTCCAATATTGTCCCTGAGAACCAACACGAAGCCAACTCGCTGATTCCGGAACCGCTTCGCTCGTGAATACAGAGTTCCTAGGCTCGCGCCATCTTGTACCAGGCTATATATAAGATGCCACTCGTCGGCTAACTTCAGTCTCTCTGGTATCAGTAACCTTATTTCTTCAGCGAGATCGCTCCTCATTAATCGAAATTCGGGCCTCGATGCCGCCGTGTAGCCTTTCAATGTCACGGGCTCCAACGGGGGCAGTTCGTACAGGGAAGAGGTCGAATCAACCGACCTAGTTGCCCCCAGGGAGCCGGAAGATTGGGAAGGAAATGTCCCTGTGTCGGAGGAAAACGATCGCATGAGCCCAGACCACATATTCGAAAACGAAGAGGTCAATCCCGGACGGGGGACTGGGGTGAAGCCGGACAAGCGTCTACGCTGCCTGGTTTTGGCGAACGTGGAGGACTGGGCTCGGCGGCCATTCTGTCGTCTGAAATTCGGGTATTATAACTCAAGAACAAAGCGGGGACTGAAGGCGAACAGGCATGCGAGGGCGTGGAGAGCCAGCCGGGGCAGTGGCTTAGCTTCGTTTCGCAGACAACTACACCGGGCAGGCTAGAGAATTGGATTGCTCTTCAGCCCCTGACGTAGTGTGGGGAGGGGAGCAGGGGATGGACAGGACGCCACAGTGAAGAGGGATTGTGCTGAACTGCCGTAGATTCTATCATCAAAGGACAAGCGAATGGCCAGGAGGAACAGGGCCGGTTTAATTATGGAAATACGTTGGTGAAAGCCTGGGTTCAAAATTTGACATATTTGTCAAGGACAAAGGAAGGACACCAAGCTCAGGCGGCGGATGCAATTGATCATTAATGGACATCACTTATGACAATGTATGCAGCAGATGCAAGTGGCCGCCACCACAGTCCAGACCCCGCCAATGCCGGGCCACAATAGTATTAGTGCCAATTGATCAAGTTCAACAGCTGTCGGCTGCTGGTTGTAAACTGAGTGGGTCTTCACACCGTATTATAGATCATTGCATATTAACTTGAAGACTTCTGTGGCACCATAAGCAGGGCACGCAGGCCAAATCGCTAATGAGAAAAGAACTTGGCGTTAGGCCAGGTCGCGGGCGAAAGTAGACGTGGCCTTGGGCTGACGTGGGGATCCAATGAATCGTAAACCCAAGATGTAAATTGGGAGGAATTCCATTGAAGGCTCTCGAGCTGTTACAATGGATTTGTGTACTTCGTCCATCGAGCCAGAGGAGCAAAGCGATCATCCGAAGGAGCCTGACCGTTCATGAGATCAACATCCATCCATCGATACAGTCAGCAACTAGAACATGGATCGAGACTGTCTTGCTGGATCGTTGATGTTGCGGAGTGCGCCGAAAGTACTTCGTTGTTCTAGAGGCACCAATGGGCCATGCCAGACTTCAATCCATCCACCATCACTCCCCCTATGACCGCGTTGGATGCTTCATGGGTGCTTCATATGATGACGGGTATACCACTGGAGCGTTGGCTTAGATAGCAGAGCCAGTTCGTATTTTTCTTTCTATTCTTCTTTTGGGCCCCGAAGAGGGGTCAGATTTGTGACTCAATCTATTTTTGCCATGTGGAGAAGGATCGCTTCCAAAATGCCCCGAGGACTCGGCTGCGCAGCGCAGGCATGAGGAGTAAAACCGAACTCCTTCAAGCAATCTCTCGTCGTCGGTCCTATGGTGGCGACGAAGATGGTCTGCCCCTGTTGGTAGTCTTCCCTAACTCTCCCCTGCGAGTCGAGGAACCCAATGCCCTTGAGCATTGTTTCACAGCCAGCTGGTGAGAAAACCACGACCCATGTAGTTGGTCTCCCCGCGAATTCTCGCAACAAGTCCTGAAAATCTCGAGGAAACGTATCCATTTCCCTTGTTCCGTACATTTCGACCTCATGCACCTCTATCCTTTTATCTGGCTCGAGGTTGTGGTCCATGAGTCTATTCGGTATGATATCCCTCCTCTGCTCCCCAACGAGAAACAAGATTGGGGGAGTACCACTCGGTCTTTGTACCATCCCCGGTAGTGGCTCATGATAAAGGGGGCGAGGGTTTCGCCATTGCCAGTATGCTCTCCAAACACCTGTAGCGGGGGACTTGGGCGACCGCACGAAGCGCTCTTGTCGTTGCTGGCCCGACGCTGTAGATGGGCACATTCTGCAGGTGAGGCCATCTAAAATCGTCTGCTTACATCGGGTTAGTCCAAACACATTTCTCTCCGCTTCAAGGAGGCTGTCGATATGTAGGAACAACCTTGCGCCTCCTCAACTAAAACAGTGAATGCCTCAACAGCCCGTTGGGAGGTAAAGATAATCCCCCATATTTAGCGTTGGGTTGCTCGTTCACCAATCGGTCTCGCAAGACAGACCGGACCTCAGACATGCCATTGTCCTTGAAGGTGTGCCTCAAAACGGGGACAAAGTGAGGCTCGAGTCGACTATCATGAATTTGTTGCTGGCTGAACAGATCCTCGTAAGCATCGGTTGGTGTCGACTTCGTCTTCAAGAACAGGATGGGGATTTTTGAGCCCATTGTCCCTAGCAGCGCAAGGTTTGGAGATTTTTCGTTTTCTTGAGTGATGAACGGGTGAGAGTTAGACCTCTGACCTGACCTAATAAGCCTTCTTTGTTTCTCGAATTCCCTTCTCGTCTAGTCTGCTCCCTTTTAAACGGGTTTCTTCTCTCACAAAACCTTTTCCAAATCGGCCGGCAAGGTGGAAAGGGAAAGGGTGGTGCCGAGGATGGAATCACCGTAGTGTGTTCAAGGAGGGTCTAAACCCCACTAGGAATGGATGTTATTTTTAACTGAGCTAGACGACATGATCGTGCAAGAGGAGAGCTCGGATCACCGGCCAGCCTTGAAGAGCTGACGACCGTTCGTTCGCTGACAAATGACTCCAGTGAGAAGTATGGTGAGCTCATTGATTTTGGATCCGGCATAAGAAAAAAAAAAAAAAAAACTCGCGAAGTTCTCTCGAAAACCCACAATGTTTCGTTCCTTGATTCTTGCAGCGCCTCAACGCTACACTACCGGGACAAAAGGAGATTCGTTTGATTACACTGCCCAACGTCCACAGACCCAGCAGAATGGACGATGAAACGAGAAACCAGCCCAACACGCCCACAGAAGCCCCCAGCCCAACCTCCAAACGGTGAACCAGCCAGGAAGTTTCCCAAGGGCGTTGTCCTTGGAAAGGATGGCAAGCCGTATGTCTTTTGTGGCACTCGCACTCGCTCTCACACTTCCAAGCTTTCGTGTTCCGTCGCGGTCCACTAAACCAACGACTCAGGTTGAAGGAGCTAACTCTAGTTGAACCTCCGCTCTAGGTGTCGGTCGTGCACGTCATTCGCTTCCTGGGCTGCGGAAACTAAGGCGACTCTGAAGCAGGAGAAACCAGCTACCCCCTTCCGATTGCCCTCCCGATATCGAAGCACTCGGTCGCAGCTCATGGACTCTCCTTCACTCTATTGCGGCGACTTACCCAGAGACCCCGTCTACGGCGCAGCAGTCGAACCTCGTTGGATTCGTGCACTTATTTGCAAAGCTCTACCCATGCTGGACATGCGCAGAGGATTTCCAATCATATGTGGCGACGACCAAACCGCAGGTCGCCAGTCGCTCGAATTCGGCCTATGGCTCTGCGATGCGCACAACGACGTGAATAAAAAGCTCGGAAAGCCCGTTTTCGATTGTTCTCTCTGGGAGCAAAGATGGCGAACTGGCTGGAAGGATGGTCGGTGTGATTAAGAAACCCCTCTAGTGATTGCGCTCCATTCACCAAATGACATGTGAAGAGCGTTCCCGCTCATCTCGAGGGCAGGAGGCCTGTTTATTATAATAGTGGCGGTTCACTCCATCCGCTTGTACAATTAGTATTCTTCACAGTGGGAGCAGTCCACATGTAACATTATTTTCTTTTGGGACTCTCTCTTCTCGCTCTTTCTAGCCGTAGAATTATTTACTTCACCTCTCCAGAGAACATCCATTATTGATGGGTCCGTCATCGCCATCTTAGCTAATCAGGGCTGCAGTCTCAAGCCTGATCACATTTGATCGCCCTTCGTTATCAGTAATGGCCTCTCCCGGACTTCCCGGTGGACATTTAACCCTCTCCGTACCTGCCATCGCGCGGAAGCGTGATTGGTGAATCATCCATTACATACTGATTATCTGCCGGTGCCCATGTCCGTTCTTGTCATCTGTCTTACTCCCGTTTTTCTTCCGGATACGCCAAGTTTGCGGATGGCAAGCTCCAGGACAGTGGCGGCCGAGAAGCAAAAATCTTGCTCTGTGCGCAACCATGATGTGATGTCGTGTGTCATAGGCGGGCCCCCATTTGATAACGAGAGTAACCTGATGTTGCGCGAACAAGGTCTCCACTGGCAGTTGAACTCTAAGCTCCCCGGCGCATCGTCAGCTCTTTCTCTTCTCGATATTACTTTAATATAATGGCTGCTCCGCGCTCCCCTCGAACGGTCCGGGGAAAACGAAAAGTTCTCTCTAAACTCACTACTACTCCTTCTCCTTCTCCACTACAATTCCCTACCCAATTCTATTCCATCTGCATACCTAAGCCATAGCGAGACTCTTCTTCCACGATGCCCGATATCAGGATCAACGCTCTCAAAGAGCCTGTAGACGTCGCCGAATATCTCTTTCGGCGGCTACATGAGATGGGCGTGAGGTCTATACATGGGGTTCCCGGCGACTATAACCTTGTTGCCCTCGATTACATCCCCAAGCATGGACTTAACTGGGTTGGAAGTACCAATGAGCTGAATGCTGGCAAGTGAAAGCGTGCTCTCTCACTCATACATACACTATGGCGTTGCTAACAATAAGTTTGAATAGCTTACGCCGCGGATGGCTATGCACGCGTGAAGGGAATGTCAGCTCTTATCACCACTTTTGGTGTTGGTGAGCTCTCGGCCGTAAATGGCATTGCGGGTGCCTTCTCCGAGCAGATTCCTGTGGTACATATCGTCGGTTGTCCCTCAACCCTCTCTCAAAGAGCGGTATGCTGCTCCATCATACGTTGGGGAATGGTGACTTCACAGTCTTCGCCAATATGAGCAAGCAGATATCTTGCGAGGTGGCAAAACTCAACAACCCGGTCGATATCGCGAACCAGATCGATTTTACGCTTCGTGAGTGCTGGATCCGAAGCCGCCCTGTGTACATCACGCTACCTACCGATATGGTTGAGGCCAAGGTAGAGGGTGAGAGGCTTCGAACGCCCATTGATCTCTCCGAGCCCACCAATGATTCTGATCGAGAGAACTACGTTGTCAACGTGATCCTTCGGACTTTATATGATGCCAAGGACCCAATCATCCTTGTTGACGCTTGTTCCATCCGCCACAGGGTTATCCCACTGGTTAAGAAATTGATCGAGAAGACCCAGCTGCCTTACTTCATGACCCCAATGGGTAAGGGAGCCTTGGACGAAAGCCATCCTCTCTATGGCGGCATCTATGCCGGTTCCGGTTCCGAGGACTCTGTGAGGGATCGAGTGGAAGCCTCGGATTTGATCCTTTTGTTGGTTCCCTAAAGGTAAACCATTTGGTACCCCACAGCCAGGAGCTAAATTCCAAAGAAAGAAGAACAAAGAGGCTCTACGGACGGATGTAGACTCTTAACTTCTATCAAGACGCGCTTGAATTTCCGCTAACGGCCGTTGATTTGTTATATTTATAGAGCGACTTCAACACCGCCGGTTTCTCCTACCGCACCTCGCAGCTTAACACCATCAATCTCCACAGCACGTACTGCGCCGTCCGCTTCGCCGAGTACCCTGGGGTGCGCATGAGTGGTGTCTTGAAGACCCTCATCGAGAAGGTTGATGTTTCGAAAGTCAACGTCACCCCGCCTTCCAACAAGAACGGCATCATTACCCACGCCGAAAAGTCCAGTATCATCACCCATGACTACTTCTGGCCTAAGATTGGAGAGTTTCTGAAAGAGCGCGATGTCGTTGTTACTGAAACAGGCACGGCAAACTTCGGCATATTGAGCACCAAATTCCCCCGGCGTAACAGCCCTCAACCAGATCCTGTGGGGCAGCATCGGGTGGTCCGTCGGCGCTTGCCAGGGTGCTGCCCTGGCGACGAAGGATGCCAAAGATGATAGAAGAACCATTCTATTTGTCGGAGATGGCTCTTTCCAACTTACGGCCCAGGAACTTAGCACGATGATTAGGCATAACCTAACGCCTATTATGTAGGTTTACCCCCATCAGAGGACAAATGCCCGTAGATTACCGAAATATCAGGCTGAGCCCGCCTGCATGCTTGACACGCTGACCAGAACACTAGTTTTGTCATCTGCAACGAAGGTTTCACTATCGAGCGGTACATCCATGGTATGGAAGCATCATATAACGACATTGCCGCATGGAAATTCCAGGACTTGGTTACTGTCTTCGGCGGAACGGACAAGAATACACGCAAGATTCAAGTCAAGACCAGAACCGAGCTAGAGACGCTCCTCAAGGAGGATGAATTCAACGCAGCCAAGAAGTTGCAGTTCGTCGAGCTCTATATGCCCAAAGAGGACGCACCCACCGTCCTAGTGAAGACGGCGGAGGCAAGTGCCAAGGTTAACAAGAAGAGAACTTGAGATACAGTGGCAGTCTAGACAGGCTCATGAATCCGAGCCAAAGATAAAACTGAGATGGGACTTCAGTACAAGTATAGCTCTACCATCCTTAATGTTAATCGTATTATAACCATTGGTAAATGGAGGCTATGACCTCGATATCTTCATCCTATATCTCGGTACTGAGGCCACATATGGAGACAACAAAATTGTTCTCCTTCCACCCTTCCGTACGCCGAGTGAGAAAGTGAGAACCTCGATGCACTCTGTAATAAAGAGCTAACAAGCTCCACACTCAAGCCCACGGCGGTTTCGCTAACGGGACGGAGCCTCCAACATTGTATCACGTGATTTCTCAATGTCACCGCAACGAGACCTGACTCCAGCTTCCGAGTCCCCCATCTGCCCACGTTAAAAGGTCTAACTCTATTTTAATCAGTTCTGGGGTTCTTACATGTATTTTGAAAACAGGGAAGGGAGGGAACTAGACAAAACAACCCCATCGCTGGCATAATGGGTGAGAATAAAAGAAAGCAACCGCCTAACGAAGGGAGCAAGGGATCTGGGAAGAAGAGCAAGGTAAGGTTGGTGTTGAGGCGAAGGGAGAGATTGTCATATCCGTTGATCTTCACATCTTTGCAGCACTTGAAATGAGCTTCCAGCTTTCCTCTCATTACCTCTCACCTCCCTCGAGTGTTCACCTCTGAGGCTATCAGAGATCATCGGCTAACTCAATGTAAACTTGGGCTTTTAGCGGGGAATGAGGGGAAATGGAAAACACCCCACCAACGCAACATGATCGCACATCGTCTTGACCTAGGCACAACAATTGAGAATGGTGATGCCGGAATTTGGGTGACTTGCCAGCGAGGCCTTGAAAAAAGGCAATATCCGAGATGACCCTGCTTTGTGACGAGGTAAGTTGAACGAGGTACTAGACGTCGTCTAGGAAAGGGTGGCGCGACACGCTCCTTCGAAAGTCTACGCGCGTTCAGATCGTCCCTTCTCTCTCGACTTGGGCCATAGTCTCACTAACAAATGAGGGTTGTGATGTAGGTTGGGGAGAGCATTTATGGGATCAAGCCCCCTTCACAACTCGCGGAAGATGCCTTGCTTGAGAATCAAGACTCTCGTGATGTAGCCGCCCGCATCGAAGATGAGCTTGCGAGTTTGAAAGAAGCAGACAAGCAGTCGAAGGCAGAATTCACCTTTCTCCCTGTCCGCTCTGGCATCGAGTGCGTCTTTTTATGAAGACACGAACGCCCGTGGAGCCCGTCAAGTTCGTCGATCGAATCTGTGATGAAGCCGCGGCATGCTCGCAAATCTCGGAAAGAAAGTTGAGATACGTTAATAGGCTGTCGCCAATGGTTTTGATTGGGAAATCACTCGACTCTGGAGTCGAAAAGGTAGCCAGGGAAGTACTGAAGACGTCTTTCGAGCTCCGTCCCGATAGTGAGGGCATTTCGGTTGCAGAGACGGCCCAGGGGAGTCAACCCTGCCTGCCCATACGGTAAGCGAACCATTCATGATGTTCGGGCACAGCCGTTGTTAATGGCATGACTAAACTATCTTTTTGTGATTACAAGTATGCAATCCGACCCAATATCCGCGCGAGCTCCCTGAAAAGAGATGAGGTGATCAACCGAGTAGCTGCTTTAGTGGGGGAGAAGCATAAAGTCAGCCTGACCAACCCGGACAAGGTCATCTTGATCGAGGTCTTCAAGGTAAGCTCAAGCCAAGCCGCTATGAACGATATGGTCAGTGGACCCCTCGAGTTTTCACTTGGCTAAACGGTTCTTAGAACTTTTGCGGTCTCTCGGTCGTCGACGGCCCTCGTTGGGAGAAGATGAGAAAATATAATATCAATGAGATATACAAGTTGTCTCCCAGTATAAAGGATGGGAAATTTCTGGAAGCTGCGCCTGGAGAGGCGACGGGACCGACGGTACCTCCTAGAGTGGAAGCCTAAAATATTAATTTATAACGCAACTCAAACCTTCATTCCTGGAGAGCTTCTCTTGACCAGCTAGTGTGTCCCTGTATCCCTGAAGGAACGGTAGGAAATTGATGGCTCGTAATGGGCTACCTACCTTAGAGCGGACACGACACAGTTCACACTCTCAACCAACCATGCACCAAGTGATAGATTAGTGTTGCGGTCCCTATCGAGGAGTACCCTTCCTCGATCACAGGCTCTTGTATGGCGCCGCCTTCCAGATAGGATATGTAGGTACTAGTGCAGTTTCAACAAATGCCTAGCCCATTAGATCAACTGATACCTTAACCTCTCTTTTCCTAACTAAGGATGGACGGTCTAAAGCAAACGTAAGGTGAGGAAATCGTATATTCCCCAGTCTAGTTGGCCAGTCATCCACACAGATCAGAGCCAGCAGTCCTTCGCACATGATGTTTGCGATTCATCTCGAATTAGCGACTGGTTTCCTCCGACGATGCAATAATAAACTTGCGACGCCGTGTTTGACGTACCTCGCCCATCTTCCCCGCAATAGGGCGCCATCAAATTGGTGCATAGGGCTTAGCGCGGGCCCTTCACCGAGGTCAAGCCGAAATAACTGGGTGTTAAAGAGGTTTTGGAGAACACTATGAGAGAGGGGTTGAGAATAATAACTACTTTCCATATGCTGGACACATATCGAGGTACCTTGGAGTTATGAGGAACACGAGGTGGCTCTCCCAGCCATTCCGAAATCGATGCTCTATGGCAGTAATGTAACGCATGGGTTCCATATCCTTGATGGCGGACTATGTAAACCCACTGGGCAGTTTTGACCATTCCTCCTGGGCTGACCTCGCTTGTTTCCTCCATTGTAAATGAATACCCTGTTCGCGGCCGTCCTCGTTTTCCTGAAGGCATATTTTTGTACGCTTTAGCTGATGAAGTGAGGGGTGCTTCTACAAGTATTGTGCCTCGAGCTGTAGAAGCTTTTGATCGGGTTCCCTTGTATCACCATACACTACACTCATTATTATACAAATGGCGAATACATGTAAATGGCTCCACCTCTATAATAGGGCACTCCTTCGGCGATATAATAGAACATTGAACACGTTCGAAGCCGATTCCTTCAAAAATAGATGAACCAGCAAGTAATAATACAGTACAAGTAGACTTGGAGTGCGCACGAGCCAGACCACAGGCGACTGCAGCAGTTGCTCCCAGTCTCTTTGTCCGCGCCCATCCCCGCGCCATCCCCCTTGAGACCTCGCTTGGCGATACCCAATCAAGAGCTGAGCACCTCGCTAAAATGGAAGGATGGACAAGGGAGGACAGCGTTCAATGGATGGACTGGCACATGAATGGTGATTAGACCCCCAAACAATTCACAGCCGACCCCCATCAATGTCAATGGATCCCCTCATCCCCTCTCTCGGTCATAGGCAAGAAGAAGGGCTCAACTCACTTCTACTTGAAGATTCTAGGAACACAAATGACAAGAGGAAAAGAGCCACTTCGCTTCCTTCAATATTCCGTTCTTCGGGGTTCGGCAGCTATTAGCTCACCCCCGCCATGGCTGTCAATATTGGTCCCAGGGCCTGGATCCAGTTGCCTTCAATCAATATTCCTCTCTAACAAGGGACGCCTTCTCCTCAGCGGAAGGGGTACTGTGCCGCCAACTGTCCAAGAAGAGGGCCGAGGAGATCGAAGAGACTCGATCAATCAACTATGTATGATATTTATTGGTGCTACAAAGGTTCAGTTATCAAAAGAATCCTTTGGTAATATTATCAGGCTCATCCGATGCGAGAAGCCCGCTAAATTCGCTTCGTGGCAAGCACTCCCTCTTGTTGCCCCAAACTCGATGAGTCGTCCCATAATAGGTCTCGAGCTCGGTTTCGGAACCCGGGACTTGAACAGTGGTGTGCGGCTGATTCCCGTGGCTGCAGGATGGACTGCGGAATATTCAATAGTCTCTTCAGACTCAGGCCTGTCGGCTATTCGCCATTCGAGATGGTGATATCCGGCCCCTCCCTTCTACACTATGAAGTAATTTTAATTCGTCGACGGGTCTTTTTTCCGGTTGTGACTTCTTGCCCGAGAATAATACAAGTAGGAAGCTTCATTTTATCTGTTCAAATCATCAATACTACCTCGCCCCCAGTGATCTACAGGGTATCCGCCGCCTACACTCATTATCAATTGATTCGGGCTTCTCCCCAGTGGCTACATGTAGGCTCTGGTGAGCCTGACTTCACTGCTCAGACTAATCACCTGCTCATCTATCGGCATTATTTTTCGCCCGAAGATCAGTGCTCCAGTTTATATGCCCCGAAAAATTCATGCACATTCTCGCTTGCACCCCAATGAATAGCATCCTCTCTTGGTCTCGTTCGGGTCTGGGGGTGTTGAACAGCTGGACCAAGAAAGGCGCGCTAGAATAATACACCACACAGCAAGACTAGAGGCGGAAGGGGACCGAATTCGGTCACGTTCGGTGGGGATCGAGAGCGGCTTTCTTTCTCACACGGAGTACCTCAGTACTTCATACGTGCTACGGAATGCCTCCCGTGAACGACATGGGCGAATGATGTCTTTTCGCTGGCGAGAGAGCGGAAAGGTCCCTTTTGTTTTCGCCCGGTCCACCACTCCCGCCACCCCGTCGGCTCCGATCTGCATCTGCAAAGGGTCCAGGTACACACACCCCCATCGCCTCTCGAACATCCTTCCAGATCTCGTGTACCTTGTGCTAACCATGCCGTCCGGTGCGCAAGCCTGCCCATCAGAAACATGTGTGGGTGGTTGGTTCACTGACCGAGTCTGTCTTCGGGTGGCTTGCTTGGGATGGCTGCTTTGTCTTCTGTGCTTTTTGGTGACAAGGCCTGCTTTTCCTTGCAAACAGACCGATACTTTGTCGTCGCATGGCCGCTATTACTCCTGTCCCAGGCACATCGAGAGAGAGAGAGAGAGAAAAAAACACCACAACAACAGCTCTGCTATCGGAGGAAAAAGGGAGAGAAAGAAAAGAAAGAAAGCAAAAGAAAAGAAAACTAGCTGGCAGGCAGCGTACGGCTTGCTCTGGAAGAAGCGAAGGTACTATTACAACAAGTAACAGCAAGCCACAACCCGGCCTGTTGAACTAGCGGCCAGCGTTTTGTGGTCGTCTCTTGCTGTGCTAGCTGGAAAGTATTATAGATTTTTCGCTTGTTCGGAGAGATTAGCGCCAACGAAATACCTCTTCGGCCGAAGCCAGTTCATCCTCTTCTCCTGAGGTATCAGCCCGGCCTCGATTAGCTCTGGTTGACGGGCCTGGTCACCCTTGGAGGAACTTCTCCCCTTCCGTTCCTGCTCCTCTAATACTGGGTTTCCTCACCCCCAAATCAATGCCATGCCGTCTGCTGACCACGTCGAAGACCTGAGATTCATTTTTAGATCCGCCCCTGGCACGGTCCCAACCCCTGGCACGCAGCACTGATCACTATTAACTGATTAAACGGGAGGTGTAGTTGCCCCTATTATCAATTCATCCATCCCTCGTTGCTCTTTGCCTTTGAAGTTGCTCTCGTTCCGCCTCTCGCTTTCTTCAGCCTATAAGCCTGCAGAACTCTCAAGCCAACTCTTCCTTCAACCACGCGTTCCGGAATCAAGCCCACGTCCCCTCGAGACAATACCACATCCATGTAGGGGATGCGGACTCGGCCTTCGCTTCCAATCCCCAGCTGGCTCCAACCAACTTGCTGTTAGCGACACCCGTACCCTGTCTTTTGAAGGAAACCCGTCGAGCTGCCTCCGGGCCTGCCTCACTAAACGACCGACTGAGGAAAAATCTCGCCTCACATCCCGAAGCAGCGGCCGAAAGGTGTTGAACAGGTGCTAGCATTGTTCAACACACATCATTCTACCTTCTTCGACTTATTCCGCTCCGAGCCCCTTCTACTCGTCGGAGGACTTTCTGACTTTCTCGCCAATCTCGAGCGCCCTTTCCCCGTCAACTCGCCTGCTCATTCTTGATTTTGACCTCATCTCCGTGCCTTTCCATGCCGTAACCGTCGCTGAATGAACATCAACCATCCTTTACACCTCGCCTCGCAGAACGCCATGCAGTGACCAGCATGTGTTTCTCCGAGCACTTACGTCTTAAGAGGATAGAACGATGCTTTTCTAAGCGAGTCGCGCGCGGAAACCTGTCCCCCACAACCGTCTAACAGTCAACGTTCCCTGAACAATACTAATATTCCTTGATCCGCGGCTCTTCGCCTTTCCAGCTTCGGGCCTCTGGATCTTCTCTTCGTATCCTGCCAGTCCACCCAGCATCTTCTTCTTCTAACAGACATCAATCCCTGAGGTCCTTACAGCCCCGTCTTGGGACCGCGTAAGTTCAAGGTGCTGCCTCACCATTCTTCTTGGCTTCGGGAAGCAATGACTAGGACCGCTTTCTTACTATTTAACACCTCCTCCTAACAGGGCCTTCAAGACCTCGCTTGCCCCGGGCATTCGTGCAGTAAAGGATGTGTATACTGCCATTTTTAAGATATCCTCCCTCTCCACTATTGACTGGTCGACCTATTTCTCGTCCAGCTACTCCGCGTACAAATAGTCTTTTCTATTTTTTAAAGCCAGATCTTCGCCTTTTTCTGGCTCTCAATCCCAACCTACCTCGCGGACTGGGTCTGCTCAGCTTTCGGATATATATATTGATGCGCAGGGCCACTTGGCGTGCAATTCTGATACTCATCTCGAACTCGCAAAAACGCCCAAGATGTGCGCGGTATCAACGGGCAAAACCATGTCTGTTGCTACCATACTAGAAAGTGTCGTGCCCTCGAACGTCACTATTGAGAGCGTTTATCCTATACCTTCATCAGGTGCCCAGCGTCGGTATGAGGCTCGGTTATCTGACGGATCATCCCTTCTCCTATGCATGCCCCTCCCTCCGGCCGTCAAGCTCCTCCGGTTCGAACGGGCCTGTGTTGGCGCTGAGGCAACTATCCTTGCCTGGGTTTCTGCTCTTGATCCGCCGTCACCGCCTCGGTCTCCTGGCACTCCAGTGCCAAAGAGGGAGCAGAAATTCCCCCAAGGCGAGGTGGCATCCACTACCATAGCCGGGGCTCGACCGAGGGTGTCATAGCACATGATCTTGTCCCATATATCCCCCATCCCGAGATCACTCATCCCAGCTTTACTTGGTTATTCCTCGCCTCACACCTTTTACGAGCCTGGGTTTACTATTGTGAAGCCTACTGCTGGGTCTCGCATAGCAAGCCTAAAGCCCCCACTCTCACCCATCGAGCGCAAATCGGTTTCGTTCCAGTATGGCCGCCTCCTCCGCCAGCTGTCCGAAATTCACTCACCATCAGGAAGGTTTGGGCCCGTTTCGAACGTATTGGGGGTCGCCGGGACTAACGACACGAAAACAAAATGCGGCGAGATATGAAACCAAGGGATCCACCACATGGGCAATAGCCTTTGCCTCACTCCTAGAGGGCATACTGCGAGACGGTGAAGACATGCACATCACTCTCCCTTATTCATCGATAAGGCGCCAATTTGAGAGGCTTGAACATACCCTAGACGATGTAACAAAGCCCGGCCTCGTCATTATTGGGAATACGGACGATGAGAATATTGTAGTTGTCCGGAGACGGAGATCTACTGAGCCGGAGAGTCCACCCGCCCAACCACATTTCGAAGATGCAGATGGAGAAGAGACGCATGTCCATAGCGGCAAAATGAAAAAAGCAGTCGAAATGATTACCCCCAGGGCATCCGTTGATAGCGATGAAGGCGTTGATATTGCTGTTACTGGCCTACTAGACTGGAGTAGCTGCGTGTTTGGAGATCCGTTGCTGGCAAATGCCTTCTACGGAGAGAACAGAGATGGCCTCTGGGAGGGTTTCACGGGGCTTGCGGAACTTGGCGATAGAGATTCGGATGAGTTCGCTGTGGTGCGGGGAGAAGAATACGGCTTCGCGAATGCTTCTTTACGAGTGCTACCACGCGGTCACACGGGTCGTAAGGGAATTTTACCGGCCAACTAAAGATAGTGGGAGAAGGGAGCTTGAAGCAAGGAAAGCGCTAAATACCGCCCTGGCCAAGCTGAGCAGAGTAACCGAAGCTGTGGGGTCGAGACGTCGACGGCTGAGCGGGGAAGTGTCGCCTGCAAAGCGATATAAACCCGAGAGCCACAGCAGCGACGAAGCTAAGCCTTCTGGAAAAGAGGTGACCGCCTAGCCATACCCCCATCTCATCACTACGGTTTCCTTATTGGCCTTGCTCCTTGTCTAGGTTTGGTTCGACGGCGTCATGATAACACTCGTCCGAATGGATATGCCAGAGCGAGATGAATAAAAAGACGCAGTTTAGCTTGAGTCCACAGGTGCAGCAGGTGATTTAGCATCCTTTTTTTTCCTTTTGGTAGTACCGTCAGCGTAAAGGTGTCATCATACCTCCTGTTGAAAAGAGCTGGTCACCAACGGATATTGAATTGGGTTGATATTTATCTCCTTCAATCACCTTCTGCGGATTCTTCGTCATGACTCACAATATCCGCATCCTCGTCTCGGGGTAAATGAAGTCCCATCATCCCGAGGATATTGCTAACTGGTCCGGCCGCCCCGGCTTGCCCTTTGAAGCTTTCAAGAAGATTTTTCGCCAGATTGTAGTCCACGTTAACCTCCCCTTCTTCCTCCATCTCCGGCCGAGGAGTGCCGACAAGTCTAGTTCCGACATCCTTCGACGACTTTCCCCGTCCCCACGCTTGTCGTCCTTCAGAGTTGCTAAGCTTTGGCTAGTCGTGTCTAATGCCAATGCGCCGTGTTTCTTGAGCTCGGCCTCCATGCTCTCCATCAGTTGCCGGACTCCCATCACCTCAGCATTCTGCGTCCCAGGTATGTCGTGACCGGGTTGAGGGGATTGGCGACCCTCAGTCTTCTGGTCCACGTCGAGGAATTCCTTGAGTAAAAATGCAAACCTTGATTCATCTAAAGCAACGTCGAAATCAGCCTCTTCACCCTCGGCGGCCCTACCATCCTCATCGTGGTCGTCACTAGCGGTGCTATGGTCGTCATCGGGATCATCGGCACTTTGATCACTGTCTAACTCTGCGCCATCTGCACCAGAAGTTTCGTTGTTCAAAAAAGTTCGAAACGGGAGACAATCTTTCGTAAGTCGGCTTGCGCACTCGGGTCATTGAAGCCTTGCTTATTTGATGTCTCGGCGGAGTTTCGATGAAGACCGTTCAATTCATTATCCAGCTCTTGGAAGTCAATATCCATCCAGCGGTCATCATCGTCTCTATCCACCCCGGGCCACGTCCTTATAGTCTCGTCTGTCGGTAGGAATGCAGGGCCATCTTCGTCGATATCTTCTAGCAGGATAGCTGCTTCCCTAACAAATCGATTGTTGATTGTGTTCGCTTTTTTCAGCAGCATCTCAAAGCCACAGGTGAGTTTCATCCCCAGTTCGTATTCGAGGCGCGATTTTGCCCCAGCAGCACTTGGGTCATGGATGAGCTGTTTACCAGTTACCTTCTCCATTACACCCCTCCACCTGCCTAAAGGCTCAAAACGCTGTGAGTATAACTGTGCGTACAGAACTTTGGTGAAGCGAACGCTGATATTGACTAGGTCATCCGGTGGAAATTTTAGCATGGTAGAGCTAGATTCTAGGCATGCTAAGGCTACAGGATCCCGAAGATAAAACTCCTCTACTGCAGGAGCTATCACCTTGGGTTGCTTGTGTAAGAGATATGCCAATTTTCTTGGAATCCTCGCCTTAGCATGATGTAGAGAAAGAGATATATGGCCTGGGTACTTTTCTAGTCGGTAGAATGCCTCCTTGTCGATGTTAGGCGAATGGAAGAGGCCATCCGGGTTAGCTTTTACTCTCGCGAGAGCGACAGGCAGGCTTAGTGACCCTGATTGAGTGGCGTCTGGTGGAATGACAAGAAGCTTTTCATTATGGATCCAAGATCTGTTGGAATCCATGGACGGGCTCAGCCATTGTGGTATCACATTGGCAGCCTCTACTAGGAGAAACTCTCCATCAGCATCCCAGACCCGAATCCAAGCCTGCGGATATAGCCTGGACACCTCTCGTAGTATGAAAACGATGAGCCACTCGTCCTCGAGGGAGTCACCGTAGTCAGTAATTCCATGCAGGTATATGAGGCCTGAATTTTAGCGAGGGCAAAGAGAAACGATATAATTAGCTCTACTCTTTTTATTTTTATTTTTATATTTTCTTTTGGGGCCAGGAGGTGGCTCATGTGTGCATGTATGTTGGGGAGATATCGGAAGAGGCAGCAGCCTAGACTCACCCGAGTCGTTCTTCACAGCGAGTGAAAATTCTTCTCTTTGCCAGATATAATCTTTCGTGAGTCGCGCCACTAACTCGAGCGCGGCGTGTTTGATGCTATCCAAGGAGGAAAGAAGCTCTCTCGCCCCTTGTAAAGGTACTTCCGGGAGGACAAAAATGGTGTACTCAACACAGTTCTCAGCAAGTTTAAGATTGAGACCACCATACTGCTCACTGAGCTGGTCCCAAGTTTTTGGCTGGCGAACGGACTCCTCCATGTCGAGATAGGACCGGAACAGATTGATTTGATCAACCAAGAAGGCGCATCTCGCCTTGATAATCTCTTCTCTCCTCCCCTACCTTTGCACGATTTAGTGTTCAGTAGGCGTCTTAGGTTTATGAAACCCTGTTCTCAATGAGAGGTGAATATCATTGATAACTTAGGCCTGTCTGAGGGTGGAACTTGACAGAGGCGAGTGAGCCGGACCCAGTGCTGCGCGCCCGAGCTTGTAAAGACAGCCACAGGGTTGGGGGCGGAAGTTTAAAGCTGCCCCACTTTTGAGGGCTCAACGTCTGAGCAAACGACCGACGCGTCGCTGGCGAAGCATCGCGACGCTCGTCCGAAGACAAAATAATAACCTGTGCAAGGTGGACAGGTCATATAATTGACAACCCCGGTCAACTTACAGCGCCCAAGTACTAGAGTCTTGAACCCCTTGTTTTTCTTTCTTTACATTCCCTCTTTATTTATTTTTTTACTGAAGCTTTCGACTTGTTCTACTGTACAAATACGGTCTACAAGCGAGGCAGGCTACTTACTCCCTTGCTGCCTTGTCCATCCCTTCGTCCACCTAGGCTAACAAAGGGCTGCCAGAGTTCACTCATACTCCTTCGGCCCAATCTCAAACGAAAATTTTTATTCCGAGAAGGGATGGCCCCGGAAAAGCGGCGGAGGATAGCCACCGAGGAGGATAATGGGAGTGCGGTGGTGGGCGGGTCCGCTGGAGAGTCGGGGCATGATGTGATCGTGAGGACCTTTATTCCTTTGTTGGACGTATGGTTCTCGGACTGATCTAGTTGAAACAGCGTAAGCGCGTACGAGTATCGGGTGTTAGCCGCGAACGATCGGCCTCCCACGACTCGCTGGCTCAGGATGAGATAAATCGAGAGCTCAACCCTGGACAAGACACAATCCCCGACTCACCACCCCGGACGCAATACGAAATATTTCGCGACCAGAACTATAGCCACCTGCAGCACGAAGCTGAAGATGACATGCGAGCGACGCAAAGGTGCTCAACAATACCCATCGGGAGAGCCAAGCGGATAACCGAGCGGCTGCAAATGGCATCATTGAGACTGTAACATGCATAAACTTCATGTGCCACACACGTCTCCATGTTGAACTCGGCCCTCTTCTCAACTTCATCGTCGGCGAAAATGGTAGCGGCAAGAGTGCCGTGCTTACTGCCATCACGCTGTGCCTTGGTGCGAAGGCCAGTTCGACCAACCGTGGAGGGAGCCTTAAAAGCTTTATCAAGGAGGGACAAGAACATTCCACCATACAAGTCAAACTGAAGAACCAAGGAGAAGGTGCCTATCAACCAGAGCAGTACGGTCAGTCGATAATTGTCGAAAGACACTTTTCCAAAAACGGGACGAGCGGGTTCAAGATAAAGAGTTCTCTTGGGCGCATCATCTCGACAAAACGGCGGGATGTAGACGAGCTGGTCGAATACTTTTGTCTCCAAATGGACAACCCACTCAATGTCCTCTCTCAAGATAATGCCCGCCAATTCCTGAATGCGTCGTCGCCTGCACTCAAGTATAAGTTCTTTGTGCAAGGCGTGCAACTTGAAGCTCTCGACAATGATTACAAGCTAGTCATGCAAACAGCGGATAATATCGAGGCAAAGCTCGAATCTGCCGCTGATTATGTCAAACGCCTAGAAGGGAGCACCGCGATGCGAATCGCGACTTAGAGACACTGAGAAAGAATGAGGCCCTCCGCGAAAAACGTCGACTTTATCGGAACCAGTTAATCTGGGCTCAGGTCGTGGAGCAAGAAAGATCTTTGAGAAAAGCCGAGCTGGCTATTGCCGCGACTGACGAGCGCGTGGAGCGTGCTGAGAGGAAAATTCAGGAGCATTCACAGATTCTAGAGGTGGCGGATGAATCACTACGGCTTGCAGAGGAGAACGTGCAGGTCATGGAGACTGAGGGTGAAATGGTCGAGTCCCAGGAAAAGGCCGCCAAGGATGCGTATCTTGCTGCTAAAGCTGAACTCTCCGCTCTTCACAACGAAGAGAGAACCGCGCGGGACCGACTAAAAATGCTAAAGAAGATGTTAGGTCTTTAGAGCGCCGGATTGTCAACGAAGAACGACGGCTAGCCGAGGCTACGGGCGGTGGCCGTGCTGCGAAAGAGGCTGAACTTAAGGCTGCTAACGAGGAGGTTGAGCGGTTGGACATGGAGATCAATCACGCTGGTCGGGACATGCACGAGACTCAGCGTCGGCTCGATGAAGCTAAAAGGGCATGTATGCATCGAGAGATGCCCTGAACGGGAAAAAGGCCGAGCTTCGTGCCATTGAGAGGCGAATCCATGACTTACAGCAAAATCGCGGCTCTGGGTTTGGTGGCTTCGACCCTAACACCCATAAACTTATCAGTATGATCGAAAGCGATCGGGGTTTTGAGCATAAGCCGATCGGACCTCTAGGGCGTCTTATTCGCCTTTCGAAGCCAGAGTGGTCAAGTGTGATTGAAAGAATTCTCGGGTCTACCCCAAACGCTTTCATCGCCACCGGCCAGCGTGATGCTGTCCGTTTGCGTAATCTGATGAAGCGCGCCGGTGTTAGGAACACGCCTGTCTTAATTTCAACCGGCCGCCCGCTGGATTTGAAGGGGAAGGAGCCGGATCATCGCTATGATACGATTCTCCGTGTCCTACAGTTTGAAGACGATCTAGTCAGGGATCAACTCATCATTCATCACAAAATCGAACAGGCCCTCCTGATTGGGTCCCGAACTGATGCTGAGAAGGTCATATTCAATGATCGTCCTCGAAATGTCGCCTTTGGATTGTGTCACCACGATAGAAAACCAGGGGAGGGCATATCTCTGATAATCAATAGTCGTGGGGACCAGAGTCTCGACCCCGTGCGCCCCTACACTGGCTCTCCAAGACTGTGCTCAGATGATGAGGCACAGATCCACCATCAACAAGGCATCCTAAACCACCTACGCGAGGAACTGCGTGAAACACAAGCTCAGTCTCGTGATGCTGAAAACATGGTAGAGAACTGCCAGGGCGCATTGAAAAATGCCTCAACTCAGCGGCAAGAGCTAGAAAAGCGTCGACGTATTGCACAAGCAAATGCCGACAATCTAGAGGCTGAGCTTGACAGGTTTGAGGGGAGATATCGAATTAACAAACTTGAAGGAGTCGCTAGAGCAAGCGGAATTCCGGGTTAAGCACGAAGGGGAGCAGTACGGGGACATGGCTGTCCGAAAGCCAGATTTGAACAAAAGATGTGAACAACTTCAGGCCCTAATGAAGGAAGCGACTACTAGTGCCGCCCAGTTCAAGGTCCGCCGCGACAATGCTGTCCGTAAGGCAGCAAATAAGGCTGATTCGAGGAAGTTAGCCCTTTCGGCGAAAAACGATGCGTTTGAGGAACGCGACCAGGCTCGACTAGTCAAGGATAGGGCTGTAGCTGACAGAGATAGGCAACAGGCGGCTGTCGAGGCACTCGATCAGCAAGCCCGAGAAACGGTGGGAGACCGTGTCCATATCGCCGAAGATGCAACCTTCAAGAGTATTGAAGTGAAGTATAAGGCACTCATGGCTCAGCTTGAGAAGCTAGAACGTAGGCTTGGTGCCTCGGAGCACGAAATCACGGAACGGGCAGAGAAGGCACAAATATTCTATGAAACAGCCACAAAAGAACATATGAACCAGCTGCAGTTACAGCAGGAACTCAAGCAAGCCTTGGCTGAGCGTTTGAAGAGATGGAGGTCCTTCCAACGTTTCCTATCCGCTCGAACCCGGGTCAACTTCAACTACTTACTTAGTGAGCGGGGATTTCGAGGTAGAATGCTGATCGATCACCGCAGCAGAAGACTCGCCTTACAGGTAGAACCTGACGAAACTCGCAAAATCGGCGGTGGCAGGAAACCAAAACCCTTTCTGGTGGCGAAAAGTCCTTCGCATCCATTTGCATGCTTCTCTCTATTTGGGAAGCCATGGGCTCATCTATCAGATGCCTGGACGAGTTTGATGTATTCATGGATAATATCAACCGCGCCATCAGCACTAATATGCTTGTACGTATCATACTAATCTCCCTTCATTTTCCCTTGACTGGCCTTCACCTGACAGATCTTTGATGCAGATAACTGCGGCTCGCCGGTCGGTCTCGAGGCAGTACATCCTCATCACACCAAACGCCATCGAGGGGCGTGCCAGCCTGTCTAAGGATGTCAAAATTATTCGGTATGGTTACGCGCTCAATATCATGGCAGGCGTATGCTAACTATCTCTTCAATAGACTTTCGGATCCTCGCCAGCGAACTCTTCCTGAGATGCAACAGGCCCGATAGACAGCTCCACGTGCCTCCCGTTCGGCAAGAAGGGGGAAGGGGGGGACGAATGCGTAGAAAACATGAAAGAAAGAGTAAGAATACATGTAACCGCTAGATACAAGGCGCCCTAAAAAGCCGTCCAGACACGGAATCAGACGTCTCCAGCAGGTGTCTGAACGCGGACCTAGGGCCCTTAGTATGTTAGGGACGGTTTGGGCATGGGACGCAATTAGAGATTGATAGTTTCTAGCCACGGCCCTTTGCGCCCAGGGAGAACCTGGTCTAGCGGCCCTCGTGAGCGAGATATATATCTTGATATTGTACATCTATATTACAAGGCTACCTTCCCGTAAATCTTTCTTGAGGTGCATTGAGAGACGGCAAGGACGATGTCGAAAGGGCGGATAAATAGCATCCAAACCTCTACTGCGTCAAGCTTCGCATCAATGGTTCAGATCCACACTCCCTTGCTCCTCAAGACATTGACACCAGCATTCGCGGTGAAGCCGACCCACTCACCCACGGTTCCTAGGAAACCATCGGCATTCGCAGCCTCTTCCAGACGCCGCTGGAGGAAGGCCCGAGTTTCTCCGAAGTTGGGTGATTTATCGGTTGTCATAAAGAGTTCACTTGAGGCATAAATGGCAGCAAGTGAGGCGCGCTTGGTATACCATGTTGGGTCCACGGCCGTGTCACCGGCAAGAAACCAGATTTCGTCAGAAAGCAAGGAAAGCTCTTTCAGAGCAGTTGGTACGAAGGTTGGTTGCGCCATTATCGCGAGAGCCTGGAATTCGATAATATATTAGTAAGATCCCATATATGTGATCTAAATCGTCGGGAGTTAAACAACTCTACCTCTTGCCACTTGTGAATCAGCTCGGCATTGCCGAGGAGCCTTTCCCAAGCCAACCTTTCTACCCTGTCACGGATAGCAAGATTTTGACTACCGGTCTCGCCATATATCTTATCGCATCTCTCACTTAAGCCCTCTCTCCTCGTTACCAGATGGTACCGTATTAAAGAGAACGGGCCGTGTTGGAGGGCTGTAGTGCTGATATCGAGATAGCCGGCGTCCCTGGCGCCGCGGCTTAGAGCTGCCTGCCCGAAGCCCAATTCGGGGATGTGCTTGTACGCAGAGCTAAGGATGGTTGTCTCTGTAGCGTTGAAAACTGGTGTGTCTGTTGCTGGATGATCGTAACTATGGAAAGGCCTGGTGACGATTGGCAGGACAACATGGGAAGGTGTGTGAGAGAGACTTGCGCTGGTCGAGGTTCTGCAGAAGGCTTGCAGGTTGCGCAGTTTGGATAGCATCATTCTCTGTCGCGACGATCCCGATCATAGAGTATGCAGACCCTTCGAGCGTGAGGGAATAAAGCTGTTCTACTTGTCGAATGCGTCTTGAGGCTCCTTCTTTCTTCAGAGTCGGAAATTTTACAACTGAAATTAGCCACATCTGGACGTAAAGCCTTGAAGAGCCACAGATCGAAGAAATGGAGCCATGGATGGATCAATCCAGTCCCACAGCTTAGCGGGTCTGCTGACAAGGGGAGCTTGGACCATATCATGACAGCCGAATCCCCTCAACCCTCACCAGCGCTCGTCAAAGTTGAAACTTTAACTCAACAACAGCCCCCTTAACCCATCACAGAAGATGGGAATTAAATTCTCTGTTACGAGACGATGGTTCCCGGTTGAAGGCCCAATAATCCTATCCATGGGGTGGGCAAAGAAGACCTCGTCAACAGCACCACCAGACTTCAGCACACATAGGCTGTTCCCAAAATATACCAGAGAGCCATCGTCAACCAAGAACTAGGCGGGGGAGCAGCCGATATTGGTCTTCTCGCCTGGGCTTCTGATCAAAGTCTTGGGGGCTCGCAAATAAAGCACGCATCCTCGAGTAATGTACTTCCCAAGAGAACTCGGACGTCTTGTTCGGGAGGATTGACAGGAAGAGGCGGGCCGGGGAAGGTCCTATGCAGGATGCTGCAGCGGACCAAGTCATTCCTGTGTGCCGATGGGCGGGACAGCCCAATCCAAGGATAGCTGACGCTGCTCGTCTCGTGCCGAGCTTGAGCCTCCCTGGCCTCGGCTTCACAATGCAGGCAGACCCGCTGTTGGTCCCCGACAATGTACTCGGCGTTATCACCTTCTATAAGTGTGATGCTCGTAACAGCAGCGTAACTACATAGATGGTTTCTGCCCCTGCTGCAGCTACCAGGGTGGTGGCCAAGTTCCTAACCGGAATTGCATTCCTGCCTCTCACCGGTCTGCCGGCTCAGTAACAGTGCAGACGAGAGGGGCAAGGCGATGCATCTTCTCCCGCCATGTTCCAAATGAATCCTAGCAGCGCTCCCTAGAACAAATCTCGTCGTCGCCCCATAATCACGAAGCAATATTAAAGAAGCCCCCATTTCCCCTTCCGAGCAAGTCTCCCCAGCCAAGGCGAGTCTCCTTCTATTGTGAAGCTACGAAATATAGTACTTCAGGAGCCGCCGACGTCGGTCAGACTGGAGCAGTGGCTATTCTGAACAATCTTCTCAACATGAGGTATTTTTTTCCTTACAAGGCTCTGGTCTGGACGAAGGTGGTGGGTGGATCGATTGATTCATCGGTCTGTGCCACTGATGCAGGCGAAAAGGGTCCGGCTGATGAGTCTGAAGGGTTGCGGCAAGCACCATGAAGCAAAGGAAGCGAATGTCCAGTAAGACCCAGCTCTGGCACACCCCAAGATGTCTAGCCAGCGACCCAAGCAGCTCTTCCGATTAAGCACAGTATCGAACACTGGCAAGTAACCTATGAACAGCTTGTACAAGCATAACAAGACTCTCCTCCACGAAACGATCCCAGCCACAGTTTTTGAGGTACCGTCGCCCACAATCAAAGAGGTATCTTGGCCAAACGCCGGAGCTAATCACAACCAGAAGAGTACTAAGGTACTACAAATCTGTTTGCCGACATGTTGCCTGAAATACGGCAGTGAGTGCTAAGCTACTAAATTCATCAGGAATTCAATGCGATAACCAGAGGCCTAAATACATTCCGGCCTGTCCCTGTGGCGATGGGTAATCCGGGGTTCGTAGCGACACTGCTCCCAAGAGCCCGACGTTGGCTTCAAGACATGGTGACTTGTGATCTTGAAAAATTGGGTGTCTACCTGGGCCTTTGCTCCCGTCTTCCATTTCCGCCCTTCACCTCTGTCGGCTTGTAGGGACTGGACGAGAAGGACGAGAGGAGCGAGAAGAAAGTGGCCCTCACGCCCACCCGCGATGCTGATTCACTGTCAAGAGCGATTACTACGACACCCACACATGGCCACATACACCGTTTGGAACCAAGAACGCCAAGCCTCGTTTTCACACCGAGTGACGAAAGCGAGGGTCGTTATTGATCAAATCTTGGGAAATAGACGCGATCTGGGAAGAGACCAAACGTGTAGGTGTCTGCGTGGTACTGGTAGTATTCCATTCTGTATCCTCGATAGACTGGGCTCTGGCATTAACCTCGAGGCTTGGATCAGCAATACATACATGCAATGTAATGAGGATTACGCTCAATCTGGCCTGGGCGAGTACAAACCTCATCTGGTGCTATTGAGAAGGCTGAGTTACGGAGCGAACTGGGAGCAAGTTTGCCCCGCACGCCGATTCTCCAACAGGACCAACCGCGTATCAAAGGCCAGGGTCGAGGCACTTCAATACATTCAATGCTCTTCATCCACATATCTTCCCATTTCTCCTTTTACTACCCTCCTGCGTATCCACCCCTCTTTGTCTCTTCGAGCAATTCTCACACCATCTTTCGGCGCTACATTATTGCATCTGTCGAAGATACAGGAGTGGAGTCTAATACACCACACATAAACAAATGAGTAGGAGTCCATGGTTGGTGGTAGGATCCTGGAAATTATATGTCATATCAAGAGTTTTGGACGAAGATGAAGGGGAGACGACGTAGAAACACGATATGGAACTAGCAGCATTCGCATCGCGCAAGTCTCTCACACATCAACATACCGCCTCGCCATGGTAAGGGAGGACGGATACACGGTGCCTAAACGTGGGAGGCACAAATATCCATGATCGCGAGAACCAAAAATTGCACAGAAACTTCCTCAAATCATCTCGGATACTTCGTGGTTGAGGTATAATAGCATTTTGTTCATTTAGCGCTCCTATTGGCTAGCAAGAACAAAAATCCTCAAGCACAATTTTGGTTTGTCATTCCCTAACATTTATTCGAGTAACCCGTCCACCTGTCCACCCCCAAGCACGCGCTACCATTGGAGGGCCTTCTCCGCGTTTGTTGTCGTACTTGTGAGCACTGTCATCACCTTGAAGCGCTTGGTCTGTTTTTCTTTTTTTCTTTTTTTTTCTTAACCAACTCCAAATATCTAGCTGCTCCACTGTCTCCAAGAAGTGTGCCCACGAACCGTGCCGTTGTCTGTACCTCGGGACCTCTCTGGCTGTCTTGTCCTACGCCCATCCAACCACATCATCTCGATCCCTGATTTCGTGAGTCTCGTCACCCTGTTGTTGATGGCTACGTTCCCTTGTTCGACGCTTTCCAATCTGCAATCTTCATCCTATACTCTTGCCTCGATCCCCGACCTTGTACTCCTTTGCCCCTTTTCCCTTCCCTCGCTTTGCAGCGCCCCAATCTCAGAGCGCGCCAGCTTCGCGTCCTGTGCCACCCTCTCCAACCCAGCCTTCCTCCCATCCAAACCTCCCGTTGACTATCTACTTTCGGAGTAGGTCATGACTTTTCATTTCGTACACAACTAACAGACAAACCCCCACCCTTCAATTGGCCCATATTAGAGCCCTCCACGTCGCCATTCTCTGCAGAGTACAGGACTTTTGCTGAGATTACAGTGTCCCGCCACCAATTTAGCTACCCCTCGAGTACATTCTTTCCTCTTTCCATCGGTTCTCAGAGGCTGGTCTGATCTTCACTTCATCACCCAAGCTCTCGAGACTTTTTATTTTATCTTATTCTCCCTTCTTTGCCAACGTGCCCCTCCACACCGGCATTCTTTGCTTGAATATCAGCTACCATCATGGGTAAGTCTCGTACAGCGGCGTCCATTCAATATCGTCTCTCCATCCCCTGTCGCCCTTCAGCCTCGCTGCCCAAGCCTTACTCGCCTTCTCCCTAGCCCTTCCTGTGCCAGCAAGTGAATGGCGGAGAGAAACAAATTCTGGCGCAAGCCCCGTATAAGCCGCCTCTTTGCTCTAGGCCTACGGTTCAAAAATTCGGCTTGCTCCGTGTTGGGATTCTCCGGACGTGTGCTATGTGAGTGACAGGGTGACGTGTTACCACGAGCTGTCTCCTGCCAATGCCTGGGTCCTTGTAACTTTGCTTCGCCCAGCAGGCCCTAGGTCAAGCTCGCTGGATCTTCAAGTCCCTCACTGTCGTCTCTTTGCCCTACTCACCTCCTCATCTGCGCCCCGCCCGTCTCCCACATTGCAGTGTCTTCTATAAGCACCCTCGCTCTCGCCCCCTTTCCCTGCATGCATCCCTTCCTCCGCACCCATCTCCGTTGACTACCTAGACCTTGACCCCTCTAAACTTCGGAAATAATACTTCAACCAATCCCCCTCGTTCCGAATCACCCTCCTCAAGGCTCTTTCCCTTCCCTCTCGGCTTTTCTACCGCTTTACTGCTTCATCTTACCACCACCTGGATATCACACTCCTCTAACTGAATGTCGCTCTAGCTGACTCCGGAGATAACTATCGACCAGTAAGTTTTGCCGCGCATCCAATTCATCGCATTTAACTCGTGCCTTTGCACCTCCCCGCAAGATGGGCAATGCTCTGAGACCAAACTGCAATTACTGTTGGCTTATGACGGGAATACCGCGCCATCATTGTGCCATGCAGCCAAGCATAGCCTTGACATAACGTCCTCATCTTCAAGCATAGCCAAACAGGTTGCTCTAAGGGATCCATTGCGGCGCTCATCTCGGCTTTGAACACATCCCCCTTCCCTCCTCCGGACTTCATTGTTCCCCTTATCCCTTGCCCATTTCAACAGGTGCTTTTTGCTACCATCAACCATTTCCCCCTCCCATCACGGTTGCATGCGGCATAATTGCCCGGGTATGAACATTATACTTGATGCTTCTTATTACCAGCACTACATCATTCAGGAAGCCATGGTTCTCTTTCGGGATTCACGGCGACTCAGGCACCAGTCTTACTAACGCAAATGAAGCGTGAGAGGTCTAGATCACCCCGCCGCGGACGTTCCCGTAGCCCTGGTCGCTCGGGGAGACGTCGGTCATTCTCTCCTCGCAGCCGCTCGCGGGTGAAAGCCGAGAAGAGTTTCGTCGCCAGCGCAGTCCCATGACGGGAGTGAGCGCGCCTGGCGGAGGATCCAACACTGGTTATACCGGAGGCGCCCAGCACCAGAGGTCTTTTGAGGATCGTCAAGCCGCAAAGGAACAGAGAATGAGTAGTATCAGGGAGACTTCGCAACAGGACCGCAGGGTCTATGTCGGGAATCTCTCGTACGACGTGAAGTGGCACCATCTGAAAGATTTTATGAGACAAGGTAATTATGGACCGCGCATGTTCAGTCTTCTTCCATTCATCCCCCGAATCCCGTATCGCGGGTAGTGATTCAGTCGCCCAATGGCTCTGGCTCTATCCCCACCTCTTAACGAGTGCCATTTATAAGACACTAACATTCTAACCCTTTCTTTCCGTCACGTAGCTGGAGAAGTTCTCTTCGCCGAGGTGTTGTTGCTTCCAAATGGAATGTCGAAGGTGGGCGCCTACACGTAGTCTATTGGCTGGTTTTCTTTTGTGGTTTCCTTCCCTTCTTTCTCTTGGTCACGATGAAATGGTTGGATTGACGGGTTGGGTCACTGGTGTCCATTGGGACCTGTAGGGATGCGGGTAAGTTCTTCCAATCTCTCCATCATACACTACCCCCTACCGGTCTTGTCGGGACAGTCAAGCACCTAATCGCCACTTGCATCTTCAAACTCTCTAACTTAAGTGCTGTCTGATATTTAGTATTGTGGAATACGCAACAAGGAGCAAGCCCAAAATGCGGTCAACACTCTAAGCAATCAAAACCTAATGGGTAGATTGGTTTACGTCCGAGAGGTATAATTCTTTTCCCCTGCCTCACACTTAGTCCTTTTCAGCTAAGCAGCTTTAGGATCGGGAGGCCGAGCCACGGTTTATAGGCTCCACAGGTGGCCGCGGCGGCTTCGGTGGCGGCATGCAAGGCGGTTATCCTGGCCATGGCGGCGGTGCCCCTGGAGGAGGTGGGCGGCAAATCTATATCGCCAACGTTTGTGACCCCCGTGCATGAGTCGCCCACTTTCGACCGTACCAACTAACCTCCCTCTAGCTCCCTTACAACGTAGGCTGGCAAGATCTGAAAGACTTGTTCCGCCAGGCCGGTAAGTGTTATAAATCCAATCATGCTACCAACGCATCACCAAATCAACTAACTCTCGTATGTGGCCAGCCCGCAGTGGCGCAGTAATTCGCGCGGACGTCCATATTGGCCCCGACGGCCGGCCCAAGGGCTCCGGTATCGTTGTCTACGAAAGCCCTGATGATGCCCGGAATGCCATCGCCCAGTTCAATGGCTATGACTGGCAGGGGCGCCTTCTGGAAGTTCGTGAGGATAGGTATGCCGGTACCGGTCCCGTTGGGTTCGGAGGCGGACGAGGTGGTTTCGCAGGTGGCCGCGGTGGCTTTGGCGGTGGATACGGCGGGCGGGGAGGCTTCGGCGGTGGCCGTGGTGGCTTTGCCGGCGGCTACCCCCTCGTGGGAATTTTGGGGGTAGCTTTGATGCAAATGCAGGTCCACCAGCCCAGCCAAACCCATTCACGGACTATGCCACAGCCGGAACTGAACGAAGCGACACCATCTATGTCAAGAATGTATGTTTGTCGTGACACTTGCCCTCATTCAACGGTCAAGGACTGACGCTTTCCTAGCTTCCTTGGTCGACGAGCAACGATGATCTCGTTGACCTATTCTCCACCATTGGTAAAGTAGAGCAGGCCGAGATTCAATATGAGCCCAGCGGTCGCTCCCGAGGCACTGGTGTCGTCCGCTTCGAAACGGTGGAAACAGCGGAGACATCTATCACCAAGTTTCAAGGATATCAATATGGAAATCGCCCTCTGGGTCTAAGTTTCGTTCGGTATCTTCATCCCGGTGGTGGCGAAGATTCGATGGATACAGATAACCACGGCGGGCTCACCCAGGATCAAATCATGTAACGAAGCATGGGCCTGCCTTTCTTCAGATTGCTATCATTCCTATGCACTTCAAATTGCGTATTCTTCTGTATCCACTCTCTCGCGGCCTTCCTAGTAACCGGCAAAGTGCTCATTCGTATTTATCTTGTCTGTGTGTTTTTTATTTATTGAGTCCACGCAGTTCTACTTACTGTCCTTTAATTTAGTAGACGGAACGGATTTTCGATGAAAAAAATGTGCTTGAACTCCCTTGTGATATATGTAACGGAACGCTACATCATGGCGGCCGTTGTTCTCCTTGCTGCACAAGGCATCCGAACACGAGCCAAAGCGGGCCGCGAAGGGGGCGAAACACACTGTAAGACTGACGAGGCTTATGAGGTGGCCTACAAGTTTGAAAGCCTCCGAGCCGAGATTCTCTCTTCTCCGTGGAGTTTACATTCAGATGTGCTTGGCCAAGTCTGCAATGCGGGCACGTAGTAATTCTTCCGCGCAGCTATGCCGAACCGCTCGAATGGCTCGCAGCGAGCAAAAGCTAAAGTTTACAAAGAAGCCATCGCGCTAACACAATGTGTCTTACGAAAAACTCGCCAAGTTCCCTAACCATCCTTTCCACTCGAACCGAGTGCCAGTCCAGAAATCCGTGCAAGGGTTTTAACCTCTTCACATTCAGAGAGGGGATATGGTGGCCTGGGCAACGGGAACCACCACGGAATTAAACAACTTATATGACGAGACTGGACAAAAATTCTCTACTAGCCCCCGGTCGAAAGGCTCTGTTTTCCACGGCTGGTACTTCAATTTGGGCTAATCGTAGTAGCCTTCTTTTTCTTCGCTTTAGATCTCTTCTTACTCCTATCTCTCGGTTTGAGAGCTCCCATTCCTGTCTTACACACATCGGCATATCGAGAATAGAAGGATTCGATCTCGTGGGCTTCTACCAACGTCGAGAATTTTATTTTTGGGACCGTTTCGCCTTAGACTTCCCGTTTGTAGCCCGGATAAGGACTGGCAGTGGTCGTTCGGGATTCAAATCGGGAAAGGGGTCATCATCCGTAACTTGGGGTAGGCCTTGATTATATGTCACTGATCTAGCTATCAGCATGGCAATACGATGGTTTAGACAGAAGAAGTATCAAACCGACATCTTTTTGAGTGAGGAAGATCGATCCTCCGGTCTTTCCCTTCGCCTGGGTGAACAGCTCACCCAGTCTCGCGAGAAACTAGAAAATCAGCTTTTGCAAAACCCGTAGGAGACAAAGTGGAGAAATAATGGCGCAAACCACAAACCTGTTCATTATTTAAAAGGTTGGAGCCCATCGCTTCGTAGGCAACGGCGTGAAGGAAGTTGAGTTACGATTCCAATAGAATTTAGTGAGGAAGATGGAGGGGCCTGGTAGTTGGTGGGGTCATGGTGACTTGCCACGCCTGTGGCACTTGTGGCTACAATGGGCCTGGCCAATTTTGAGGACTCGCCTATCCCTCACCGCCTTTAGGCGGTCATTCAGTGTTACAGCATACTGATATCTATGGATCTATTTGCTAGGCAGAAAATAAGTCTGAGAGCGGGAAAATTCAATGTTGGGTCCCAGGAGAAATCCAACCAACCCTCTTCAGTAACAATGCGCGAGTCCCTTCGACACCCTTGACTTTCTTCATCTTGAGGAGAACCTTCAGGGTTTACTCAGAATTAAAATGGCCGGCAAGAGGAAAAGATCGGCTGTCTCCCAAATTACGCCGGCCGTGGCCCTTAGTGCGTCACCCGCGATATCTGGAGGCTCAAAACGCCTGAGAGAAGAGCTTGCTGAAGAGGATGCCCGCATCTTGCAGCTAGAAAGGAAACTGGGATTGAAGAAGGGGAAAGTCCCCAAATCATTCAAAGTTGATGGATGGGATGATCTCCTTGGGGAGTTAGGAGGCGATGAGCCTGATAAAACTATCGCGCATTCTCCAAGCGAAGCGGAATATCACCAATGGCTTACCCAAAAGCGACAGCATACACCTGCTCCATCGGCCTCGACAAACCAAGGGTACACGGGTCTAGGTCCCGACGACGAAAATGGTTCCCTCCTCCAATGCCGCGAAGTGAGTGACACGGGCAGCACTACTGACAGTATCTTCAATGGATTCGACAGCGATTCGGATACTCGAAATTTAGACACTTACGAGGCCACCCACAATCAAAAGACAAGAGAGAACCCGTATATCCCACCTACCCACAATGTGAGCTCTACAAAATACGTGCCACCGTCGCTGCGAGGGGATATCAGCTCGAAAGACTCCACGGCTCTTAAACGGCAACTGCAAGGATATCTCAACAGACTAACAGAATCAAACCTGCACGGCATCATAAAAGATGTTGAGAAGATCTATGCTTCCCAAGCCCGGGGTCAAGTTACCACTTCTCTCGTTGATGCCATAATGGCACAAGTATCTAGCACGGCTACGCTTTCCGACTCATTCTTCGTTCTTCACGGAGGATTTGTCGCGGCCCTCTACAAGACCGTGGGTGAGAGTTTCGCGTCGCACATCGTCACCCGTGTGGTGGGGGATTTCCGTCACGAGTATCTTAAAGCTAGCAGTGAGATTTCGGGCGAAGTGGGCAAGGCCCTGTCTAAGATGACGTCTAATCTTGTCACATTCATCGCGGAGCTCTATGTGTTTCAGGTTATTGCCTGCAACCTGATATTTGATCTCGTTCGATTATTCACGAATGAGCTCTCGGAGCTTAACACTGAACTTCTTCTGCGAGTTGTTCGCATGGCTGGAAAACACCTTCGAAAAGATGATCCCCAAGCGCTCAAAGACGTTGCTGGAAAGTTGCAATCACTTCTCGTTGCTGCGGACAGGAGTCGTATCACAGAGAGGACGAGGTTCATGGCGGACATGATTACGGACTTAAAAAACAACAAACCAAGAGCTGGTCTACAAGAGTCAGCAATCATAACAAGCCATGTCACGGTAATAAAGAAGCTATTGGGCTCTCTCAACCCGAAGAGATCGGCCCCGCTGGACCCTTACGGATCGGGCTTCAGGACATTGATGAGTCCGCATCAAAAGGCAAATGGTGGCTAATCGGGGCGAGCTACGGAGGGCCTTCCTCGTCCGAACAGAGCAGGGCGCATTATGTGGCGCGGAATGCGGATAGCTCAGGAGAGGACGAGGATCTCGATCGTTTCTTTCCGGATTATGGCAAGGCTGCCAAAGAGCAAGGGTTGAAAACGGAAAGCCAGCAGGCCATATTCGCAGCTATCGCCGGTGGGTGTAACCCAAACGACGCTGTAAGCCGTTTCCACAAACTCAATCTCGGGAAAAACCAGCGCAGAGAGGTCGCTTTTGTGTTATTGCAATCTGCTGGCGCCGAACAGCCTTATAACCCATACTATGCCCTAGTCGCCCGAAAATTGTGTTCTGATGGGCGGATTAGATTCGCATTCCAGGACCAACTGTGGCAAGTGTTCAGGCAACTCGGAGAGTCCGTCTTTGATGATGAAGAGAATGAAGACCACGAAGATGAGACTTTTGGCCAAGAAGATGCGCGAATAGCAAACGTTGGCCGGTTGGTTGGTACTCTCTTGGCACACTCGGCATTATCTCTCAAGACCCTAAAATGTCTCGATCTACCAATGGTTAAACCGAAAACGACACTGCTCCTTGAACATATGCTAATAACAGTGTTCAAAGAGTGCCAAAGGATAGACACAGCCACGGGAAAGAACATGAGTTTAGAGAGGTGTTTTAGAGACGCGACCACAACTTCCACTCTTGCTGCAGGGTTGCATTTTCTCCTCGGGAAGCTTGGGAAATCGTCTAGGAAACCCAGCAGGGTGAAGAAAGGCGATATTCTAGTGGTTCGGGATGGCTGCAAGTTCGCGCAAGAGTTTTTGAAATCGCATGCATTAACCCACGGTTCAACAGTGAACTAGCGATGGGGGTAACTAAGTTAAGATTTCAAAGGTACTAGGTCCCTTTTTCATAAATCTGCTAAGGTTTCTCCAGTCTTAATGGATTCACCGCGTCAGTGGTGATTGTCGCCGTGGGTGAAATGAACGTGCGTATTCCATGCATGCCTTGTTGAAAATATATCATTATTAGTCAGGCGACCTTTGGATCTGGTGCGTGCGGGATTTCCGCCAAAACCAGCACGGCTTCTCGTCCGGATAGCCACGGTTAACGCCATGATTGACACCTGTTTTTCAAGGCAAACAATATTATTATAATTGAACAACAGGCCCAAGCTCTGAGTGGTCACCTCCGTTCCGGTTCCCAGCCAAAAATCCCAAAGTTCTAACAAGCTCCTTGATCCCTATTTTCTTTCAAAGCAGCACGACAACGTCACTATCAACATTTTTCATTCAGGACCGGGCTCACTCTATAATCACGGAGGTTGCCCTTTTGTTTCTTTCTTTTTATTTTTCCTTGGAAACAAGATATAATTCAAGTGCCCCTAGACTCGTTACGATATTGACTCATCGTTTTCAATATGCTTGCGAGTCGCTTAATACCTCGGACCGCCGCAAGGTCTGCATTCCAAGCTTCAAGGTAGGTGGAATGAAAGGTGATCCGACCAAAGGTTTGCCCAAGAGCGATGCGGAAAGGCCCGTCCCTATCATATCTAATGCTCATAACAACCTTGGTAGACTTCCTCTCATCGCGTCACCTTCTCGAACAACTTTGGGCCGTCGCTCCCTCTCATCGTCTTCTGGTCCGTACCGCCTGCCCCCTTTGGTTTTGCCTCTTTCTCAAGAATTTTTATCACCGGGCAAGTAGCCCATGATGAACTCTGGAAACTAACTTGAATTTCTCTTAGAGGAGAAAGACTTGGTCATTATCGGAGGAGGAGTTGCGGGCTATGTCGCTGCCATCAAGGCAGGTCAAGAAGGGCTCAAGGTATCATGCTTCCACCCCTAAAATATCTATAGGTTCGCATCTAACGCGTTAAATCATAGGTGACATGCATTGAGAAACGAGGCGCACTCGGCGGAACTTGCTTGAACGTCGGATGTATTCCGTCCAAGTCTCTGCTAAACAACTCGCACTTATATCACCAGATTCAGCACGACACAAAGAACCGAGGCATCGAAGTAGGCGATGTCAAATTGAATCTGGCGCAACTCATGAAGGCGAAAGATCAGTCTGTGTCAAGTCTCACAAAAGGCATTGAGTTTCTCTTCAAGAAGAACGGCGTCGAGTATATAAAGGAGCCGGCTCGTTTGTAAACGAACATGAAATCAAAGTGTCCCTGAACGACGGCGGAGAGACGAGCGTTAAGGAAAGAATATCCTCATTGCCACCGGTAGCGAGGCCACGCCTTTCCCGGGTCTTGAAATTGACGAGAAGAGAGTTATCACTAGCACCGGCGCACTCTCGTTAGACAAGGTGCCAGAGTCAATGATTGTCATTGGCGGTGGCATCATCGGCCTCGAAATGGGTTCCGTCTGGTCGAGGCTAGGAGCCAAGGTGACAGTTGTTGAGTTCCTTGGCCAGATCGGAGGGCCTGGGATGGATGCCGAAGTTTCGAAGGCGGCGCAGAAGCTTCTCAAGAAGCAAGGTATCGATTTCAAGCTCAACACGAAGGTAGTCGGTGGAGATGCGAGCGGAGCCCAGGTAAAGTTGGAGGTCGACGCCGCTAAGGGCGGGAAGCCGGAAACTGTGAGTTTGTCCAGCATTAACGCCATGGCAGTCTACTCACTAATCTACCTATAGCTCGACGCCGAAGTCGTATTGGTCGCGATTGGTCGCCGACCTTATACTCAGGGCCTTGGCCTCGAAAACATCGGTATGGAACTAGACGACCGCGGTCGCGTCATCATCGACTCGGAGTATCGTACAAAGCTACCGCACATTCGATGTGTCGGCGATGTCACCTTTGGCCCGATGCTTGCTCACAAGGCTGAGGAAGAGGCGGTTGCAGCTATTGAGTACATCAAGAAGGGACATGGCCATGTCAACTATGGTTGCATTCCATCAGTCATGTACACCCATCCCGAAGTCGCGTGGGTGGGTCAGAATGAACAAGAGCTGAAGGCGAAGAATATCCCCTTCAAGGTGGGCACGTTCCCCTTCAGCGCTAACTCGAGGGCGAAGACAAATATTGATAGCGATGGCTTTGTCAAAATGCTCGCTGATCCAGAAACCGATCGCCTCCTCGGCGTTCATATCATTGGGCCTAATGCCGGGGAGATGATTGCGGAAGGAACCTTGGCCTTGGAGTATGGAGCATCAACCGAGGACATCGCTCGGACGTGCCATGCCCATCCCACTTTGGCGGAAGCTTTCAAAGAGGCAGCCATGTCTACTTATTCGAAGGCCATTCACTTTTAAGCGTGTCCTAAGTGAGATTTTGTTTTTTCTGGATCCCTGGTTTAGAGTTGTGGATCAGCAAGGGATATTTTTATAGTGTATGTTCCAACAGATGTGTATAGATCTCAATTTTGACTCCAAAAGCTACAAAAGAAAGGATTTCATTGTGATGCTAGAAATCCCGTGAGAACCCGACTAGACGGAGTCTTACCTCAGCCCACTAGTTACACCCGCAGAGGGTCCGAGACTGAGGTGATGGTAGCCCTTTGTTGCCACCAACTCGGTAACAGGTTAACTGCGCCTGCTGCGACTAATTGATCATGTATTGCCTAGTGCACCTAATGGATGAATGGATGGGAGCACCAGCACATGAACAGTAAGTAAATAAGCGGCACGGCTTTGCTATAATAATCCTAACCAGAATATCTATCATTATAAGAAAATATAATAAAATATAATATAATATATATATATATATATATATATTTTAAATAAAATAAAAATTAAGATAAGAAGGGAGGGGCGGGGGATCTTGCTTGGAAAATGATTCAATAGAGCATCAGAGAGTCCGCCTGTGAAGGGTGGCAGTGGCATAAGTCTTCGGTTGACAGTCCCATGATAATTAGAATATAATGATTCCATAAATCTTGGGAAGGTATCTGTGGGGAGTATAAAAACGGTCACATCGCAGACACGGCTGATTAGCTAATACCAGCTACCGAAGTAACATCGATGCAACTTGGAATGGCCTGATCGGTATGGCTGGCTGTAGGCAAAGGGATTATTAGCTTTCAAGTGATAGAGGCCTCTGGCTGTGTCCTCAACAAAATAGCCAGCCCTCCTAAGTTGTGTGGACACTGGGATGGGGGTTGTGAAGTGGCTTTCCGCATCAATCGGAGGTGGTATTATTCGGGATTGTTAGCAGCTCGGGAGCTCGGGTATAGCAGAGGCCCGGGGGCTCGGACGATGTTATGCATCCCTGGCGGTGGGCAGACTGGTGAGTGGGTGGGGTGGGACCTATTTATTCTGTTGCCTGAACGAGAGGTGCATGAAGGAGCGATCAATTGATCCACTTCAAAGGAAAGTCAAGTATTAAAAAGGCGGACAATGGAGCCATGAGTCGTGGGGTGCTGCTTCGTAGAAACATCCCACAGCATTCTCTGGGAGCTCCGGAGTATCAATCATTGATCAATCAATCTTCCTCAGTAGTCACCTTCAAGCTCGTACCCTGCGCCACCTGCCCTTTCGAGGACCCACTTGTGCTAGACCTTGGCCTGCTTGGGAAGATGATCAACCTCCATTAACAAGACAGTTCTCCACCAATTGATGGGCAACCAAGATCTGATGGGAGGTCGCTGCATTGACTATATATAATAAGGCAGGCTTCAACGGCATCTTCGGGCTTGTCCCTTGACTATATACCTCGGTACTGGCACTTGCATTTTGGGAGGTTCTACTGCATAGGCAACCAATCGCTCTCGCTTCCGTTCAGCACCCTGAAGTCCTTCAAACGCGAACAACTTTTAGAAGACTCTTGTTCTCGACAGCGACCGACGGTGTCAGCCACCAGAGGCAGAGCAGTTGGCTCCTCCCATTAGACGTTGCTCTGGAGATTTTTTGAGACACATTCCAACAACTTCGCTGTCATTTATTAACGTAACTCGGGAGAGAGAGGCCCCGTCTTTTGCAAAACCCACCGACCAGACCTACTTGTCATAACGACTTAGGCTACTAACCTTCTCATCATGCAATCAGTCGCCCAAGGCGCCGTTCGAAATCGGGCATATCGGGTTTACTCGCGAGATGAAGTCCGGGATTTGATTGCCCATGGGCACAAAGTTGTCATTGTTGACCAATATGTGCTAAAAATCGATGCCTGGATCCAGTACCATCCAGGTGGTGATCTCGCCATCCTACACATGGTTGGCAGAGATGCCACAGATGAAGTCAACGCGTGCGTGACCCCCAAACCCAACGACATACCCGGTCCGAGGAAGCCGTTTCGTTAGTCGCACCAAGCTGATTGTGTGAAGAATCACAGGCTCCACTCCGCCAGGGCTCGATGTCAAATGGAGCGTTATCGCATCGGTCGAGTTGAAGGTCGATGGAAAAATTTTGTTCCTCCCATACAGGGCGGTGTTTTTGACAACGCCGCTGAACAACAAGACTTAGACGACTCGAATTCATCACCTGCTTCTCCCGAAGACACCACCTCAAGTAATCCCAGTTCGCGGGCACCATCGCCCACTTTTGACAGGGCCAATCCTAGCATCCGAAACCGCCACACTGCGTCGATATCTATGTCATATTCACCGTCGCCCGATATAATTCAAGAGGCTATGCGAGACATGGATGGCATGGCATATCTTGATGCGCAAACTAGGAAACAGATCAGCTTAGACCTGGAAAAATACCCTTCGCCTGATGTGGATACACAAAGTCACATTGTTGAGAAGTACCGCCTCCTCCATGACCGGCTTAGAAACGAGGGGATGTATAACTGCAACTATTGGGCATACGCTGTCGAGGTCTCACGGTACTCAACTCTACTTTTTCTTTCTTGGCTCTGCTTACGCGGAGGCTACTATGCCCTCAGCGGTGCTTTCCTTGGCTTATTCTGGCACCAGGGCTCCTTCTGTGCCCATGACGCCGGTCATATGGGCATCACGCACAATTTTCATATCGATACCATCATTGGCATCATCATAGCTGACTTTTGCGGGGGTTTGTCGCTCGGCTGGTGGAAGTGGAGCCATAATGTGCACCACATTGTAACCAACTCCCCTGAGCATGACCCGGACAATCAGCATCTCCCATTTTTTGCTGTATCCCATCGGTTTTTTGAGTCTGTTTACTCTACGTATCACTCACGAGTGATGAAGTACGATTTGCCAGCGCAATACCTTACGAGAATCCAGGCCTACCTATACTACCCAGTGATGGCCGTCGCTCGCCTCAATCTGTACCTACAGTCCTGGCTATATCTGCTTCGAGGTACCGGGCCAACAAAGGGCCCAGGATGGTGGCATCGGTGGCTTGAAGTTCTTTGCATGGCAGGATTTTGGACGTGGTTTGGGTACTTCCTTGTCTACAAAACCATCCCTTCAAACTGGGATAGGTTTATATTCTTCACTATCAGCCACGCTATCACACTTCCACTCCATGTCCAGATCACAGTCTCTCACTTTGCGATGAGTACAATGGACCTTGGGCCGGAGGAATCTTTTGCGCAGAAGATGTTAAGGACAACAATGGATGTCGATTGCCCACCCTGGCTTGACTTCTTTCACGGGGGCTCCAGTTTCAAGCTATACACCACCTTTATCCGCGAATTCCTCGGCACAATCTCCGCGCCGCTCAAAAGATGGTTCAGGAATTCTGCAATGATGTAGGGATCCCCTATGCCCTCTATGGATTTGTCGACGGAAACAAGAAGGTTGTTGGGCACCTGGCCGAAGTATCGCGGCAGGGCGCTATTTTAGCGAAATGTCAGCGGACAATAGCTGAAAGAGGAGACTACTTTGAGGATCTCCGTTAAATCAGTAATGTCCATATCAGTTCGAAAGCCTCTTCTTAAGACACTATCCTATAGCAATGCACATGCCATACTCGAACGCTTGAGCCGCCAACCTGTGTCTTCAAACCCGCATCTCAATATATAATTACAGATTCTTAGCTTTGATATCATCTGCATTTCGACGGATCGGAGTCGTCAACTCGTGGGCGCTTGGATGTCAAACGGTCCTACCAAGACATTCCTTGTCACTTGAAGGGCGCCACCATCATACGGATGTCTGTGGGTTTACGGCTAATGAATCCTCACTTGTTTCCATCCTAATCACCATTCTCTCCCGATTGGGATAGCGTTTGGTCCAGCGTGTGCGATGACTATATTTAGCCCACTCGCCAGGCGGTCGACGGCAGACTTCAACTTCGACGCAGCTGGCGAGATTGTCGAAGCAAGAGTGAAGACAAGAGAAGCCAGACATGATCCTAGGTTCTAAGATAGACAAGTAAATCACAAATAAGCTCATAGTTTGGGCTACGTCTCGCGCTTCTTCTCCAATTCTGTCCACGATATGGGCATCCCCCTTGCCACCAGGGTATAGCGTGACTGCGTTGAACAAAACTTGTTCGTGATAGAGTAGAAACACCTCAAATAAGCCCGCCACTTTTGCTATGATTATAAGAAGGCAACTTAGCACGCCTCTATAAGTATCGTACATTTCCGTGTTTGAGGGTATCTTGCAGAGTTTGATATCATGTATTGCACCCGTAAAATCGATCTACGTAACTCTCTCGTGATATATACTACCCTGTCACCCTGCACCAACTGCCGGGGCGAATAATATTCTTTTTTAGAGTACCTACCCCTGAGGAAATACGAGGTTTATCTAGACCCTCAGAAAAAACATGGGATTAGATAGCCAGCGGCTCAGCCTGATAGCCGAAACTGCCTCTGTTTGTGGAGACCCTCGGATCGAGCGTGAACCCAACAAGCTGAGCAATAAACGCAAGTGGATTGACAGACCTGGATGTACTAAGCCTTGCTAACCTATTGCAAGTATTTGTAGCATGTAAAAACTCAAATGCTGGGTGGAGCGGTTCGGTCTGGAGGACAGCAGAGGATGAGGGGAAGCATCCTTTACTCTTAGCTAATTCTGGAACTCGAATGAAAAGAGACAAGCTGAAGACGCTATCTCTAGCCCCCCTGCCCCTTTCCGGCGCCTTTGGTGAAAGGGACCCCAAAGGAGGGTGGAGGAGGTGAGAATAGAACCAGTAGGCATTTGAAATACAGTACCTCAATATGATACAAGTACTTTCACCCTGTGGCACCTACCACATTCAATTTGTTATCCCAGCCTCATGCGTGTTGATGAGATCAGGACTAGAGTGTAGAAAAAAAGAAACAGGGTCTAAGGCAGTTAGTCACCACATTACCTTAGCTCTCATCCTGATCCTCATGAGGGAATTCTCGGATCTATCGGCTGGCGTGTATTAGGTCAGACCTCATAAACTGACCAGCCTGCTACTCATGAGAAGCGTTCAAAATGAATTAAGCCAGTTTTATGGGAAGAACAACGAAGACCTCCCCTCCGCCGGGGAGGGGGATAATTTGAAAGGAAAAAGCAATGTGCTGGGGCTGGAGAGCCCATGTCTTCTAGTATACCAGGATGTTGGGTAAGTTTCCTTGCTGGCTTGAAACCAAATGGGTGTCTCTTGAAGGGGAGAAGGGGAGGAGGAGAAGTCCTGGGCACCGGGATACCTAGGCATAGGCTCAGATGTCCTTGGACATCTATGAGAAGTTGGTAATGATATAAGCAAATTTGTCGATGGAACATCATTTCTCTACCATATTGGAGCCCTCAGTCGCCGCCTTCAATTACATTTCGAGAGCTTGATTATCATCACATCTCGAACTGCGCCGTTCTTTGTCCTTTGCGCAGCCTGCCCTCATATTCATCTCCCTCCCCTTCCCCCAGTCATCTCTCTGGCCTATTTTCGGGGAGAGAAAGAGAGAGGGAAAACTCTCGGAGAAGGATCTCCGATTTGCCTAGATATTATTTTGTCAACCCCCATCCTCGCTGTAGGCTTACCATGACGAAAGGGAAGATGGACGATACCGCTGTCGCAAGGATCAGAAAGGCGAGAGGTGAAAAGGTAAGTTGAACGATGACAACAACCAAGCGAACTCCTATCTGCCGTCTCCCATCTCCAATACTGGTGCTGAGGCACCCTACACGACGAGGGAAATTTTACTAATGGCTATGGCCCCCTTTTTGAAGGACGAGTTTTCAAGGAGAGCATCGATGGCAGTTCGAGCCGACAAGGAACATCGGGTCGGGCAGAAAGGCAGCAGGCTACAAGGCCAGCCCCAGATGAGTGCTGCACCAAGGGGGAGAAGAAATCTGAGTGAGTTGTTAGCTATATCGTCCGAGGTAGCGAATGATGCGGTGTAAGATAAAGTTGATCCTTGACTTTCGGCGATGTTGGAGAGGGGTTAATTTAGAAGCCATGGTCGGTTCCATGATTAGGATTTGTTCGTTTACTCCTTAGGAAGATCTTTAAGACCTTATTAGCTGGCCGTCGGCCAGTATGTCTAACCCACATATGGTCTCAACATATACCATTCTAGTGTGCAGGCTAGTGGGCGTACTGCTAGCTTGGCTTGGTGATGGGCTACACCGAGTCTAGGGATAAGAATAATATTAAGCCTCATAGTTAGAGAGGCCGATAGTAAGGCGAGATTTCAAGTCTGTGAAGAGAACCTACTTGGTGGTGGTATGGAAGACGGGCGAGAAGCAGTTGAAGTAGTAAGCGGTCCAGACGCGCCTTAGCCTCAGCGCTGAGGCTCTCTTTAGCAGCAGCGATAGGGCCAAAGAGAGCCAAAGTATCTAGAGGGAGGGTTGGATTGCTGTTGAAGCTTCAGGAAAGTCATCGAAAATTTCGATCCTAGCCCATGGAGATCTCTCCCCAGAACAGTTCTTGCCCATGAGAGCCTACCGTTGACATGTTTGGCAAGACTTGCCTTCAACTCGGAAGGCAATCCGGCTGTGGGAGCAGGTACCGTGGCCCGAGAGACTCATTCAACGCGCTGACAGGTATGGCATGTGTGGGGGCGCTATTATATCCATCCCATGGATGGTTGCGAATGCCCGTCATCCAACAAATACTGTCATGTAGTTGTTATTGGCTCTTTACAGATGATGGTAGGGCGAAGGTTTGGGGGCAGCTGTTCCCCGCAGCAAGTCACAAACAGCCCAAGAAGAGATCGCTCTTGGCTGGCTGAGAGCTAAATCAATAATACGAACGCCAGATCAAAATCATATAGTAGGTTGATTGTAGGAACCAGAGTCGAGTATATGTCACCTCGCATCAATATCGCCGAATCAACCAGTAGGACACATCAGACCTGGAGTTTTCCTATTACTAGGTCTTTGGGAGAAGTGAGTTAAGCTGGCCTCCAGTCATTAGCACATCGGCAGATCGATCTGAAATTGACGGAACAATCATTGATGCGTGTATGAAGCAGAGAGCCCAGCCAAGGCACCCTCTGTCCCCTCTCAGTCTGTTCTCTCTCAACTAAATGACGCTTTACAAGTATAAAAGTGCACACCATCCCCAGTCAAATAGTCAATATAAGAAGCCCATTGTTTACAGGGTTAATATGGCAACAATTAGAACCTCATAAACTAACAGGGTTACTGACAGCATAACTAAGAATATATACAATACTGATTTTAAATGTAATACCTTCTTCAAGCACTTAAAGCTTTATAACAAGTATACCGAGGTAGAGAAGTAGATATATATTAATAAATATACTATTTATTATTATTTAATACATAATTTTTAGTAGCTTTAAATTTATTACTAAAGTATATAGATTTAATATATATTATATATCTAATATATAATACTTTATCTATATTTTTACTTAGAAATTGTTAAATTTAATTTTTATTTCTTTTAAAAGAATGTACTAGTCTATTAATAAGTTATAATTATTTATTCTAATGGATATGTAGATTGACGGATAGATGGATCCAGTGGATCCATTGGATCGGTCACCCTCAAAACATATCAAGTAATTATTTGAGCACATAAAGCTACCAGGTTGCAGTGTCCTAGTTAATTGATCCCTAGGTTGGCAACTTGCTGAAGTAATTCGACCTCACCAGTTGATGATCAAGGCCCCTCCTTCACCCTCTCTATCAGATGAGAAGATAGAAAAAGGATAGAACAACAGACTCACATCAATCAAGTGGCAGTCCTATGCTAGGTGTGGTCTGTCAGACTGACCCTTTCCGACAAATATGGACCCTGGCATCCTACGTGCGTTGAATGATAAACTCTACGAAAAGCGCAAGATCGGTGCCCTTGAGTATGGAATCCCCTACCTACCTATCCTACGCCATCTAATATAAAACTCCTCACTTTGAGCATGAACTGAAGCTCACCTAAATTTGCTCTATATTAGTCTCGAGAGGTGTATCCGTGAGCTTGTGACAAGCCGTGACTATGCCAAGGTCAACACGATTCTTGAGCAACTATGTAATGAATATGCCTATGCTGTTCACCAACCTCATGCTAGAAACGGCGGTCTGATCGGCCTCGCTGCAGCAGCAATAGCCCTTGGTCAAGTATGCCCTTTCCTTTCCCCCATTTTCTCCTCGCTAACGAACCTCCTTCACTTTTCCAACATCCTAGGAGTTGCCCAATTATCTTTCCCGCATTGTACCTCCTGTTCTTGCATGTTTTACAGACCAAGATGCAAGGGTTCGGTACTATGCCTGTGAGGCTATGTATAATATTGCAAAAGTAGCCAAGGGGGAAATACTGATCTATTTCAACGACATCTTCGACTCCCTCTGTAAAGTATTGCGCCCCCTTCTTTTCTTTTCCCTGTCCCCATTCTTCACGGGCTTCACGTAGCCCACCTTGGCGTCCAATGATCTTAACTTGTTTGGAGTCCATTAGCTTGGTGCCGACTCAGAGCTTTCAGTTAAGAACGGCGCTGAGCTCCTCGATCGCCTCGTGAAGGATATAGTGGCCGAATCGGCGGCTTCCTATGTCTCAGTCTTACAACTCCCCCAGAGGAAGAGGGCGATGAGGACAAGTTCCTTGCCGACAATCTTGATTCCTTACCCACGGCCTTTTCTCTGTCACGCTTCATACCTTTGCTGAAGGAGCGTATCTGGGTCATCAACCCATTCACTCGCCAATTCCTTGTTGGGTGGATCACGCTCCTTGACTCAATTCCGGATCTAGAGCTAGTGGCTTATCTACCGGACTTCCTCGGTGGTCTTCTAAAATTTCTTAGTGATCCTAACCGTGATGTTCATGTCGCCACAAGGAATTGCCTTGATAAGTTTTTGACCGAGATCAAGAGAATCTCCCACGTTCGCAAAGGCATTGCCGATAACAGAAAGCCTCAAGGTGACAGAGACAGGGGGCATGGTCAATCTGTGGATAGTGGTAGTATTCGGGTTGGGCTAGGGAAGGCGATGCCCTTGAGTCTGATGAGGATGATGTCAGTGAAGATGACTGGATCCCCGGACAGGATGTTCTCATCAACCACGGTGCTATCCTGGAGATCCTTACGGCGAGTCTAGATTCACCACTTGGTGAGATTTTCCCTCTAAATCAACACATTATCCTATCACGCACAGCACTAACAAATTCTGATCCTGTAGAGGAGGATTCGCTATTAGAATCTCTGCGTTGGATTGTTCAATTTTTGGACATTTGTCCGGAGGAGGTTCTTCCGTTTACGCCAAAGATTTTAGCCCACATGCTGCCTGCTATGGCAAGTGGTGTAGAGTCAATCCGACAGGCGGCCGGTAGGGTTAACACGGGGCTCATGGACTATGTTGTATCTCTATCGGACGAACCGGAGCCAGTTTTAGGATCTTCTAAGGCCGCACTTTCGGCTGAGCGGACTGATGGAGGTAGCAGCGCACGTGTCTCTCTCTCCAGTGTTAGAGACACGGATGGAACGGTGGCCCAAGCAAGGCCTTTAACTGCATCGGCATCCGGCGGAACGGGGGCAGAGCGCCAACCACAACCAGACCTTGATTATGCTGCTGCCGTTACCTCCCTGACTCTTCTGTTTCTCAATGACCACGAGGCAACTCGCGTTGCCGCGCTTACTTGGCTCATCATGCTTCATCGGAAAGCCCCGCGCAAAGTGTTGGCCTTCAACGACGGGACATTTCCGGCACTACTCAAAACACTCTCAGACCCTTCTGACGCCGTAGTAACAAAAGACTTGCAGCTTCTCTCGCAGATCTCGAGAAATTCCGAGGATGACTATTTTGCCAATTTTATGGTGAATCTCCTCCAACTATTTTCCACTGACCGGAAGCTACTAGAGACGAGGGGCAACTTGATTATCAGACAGCTTTGCGTGAGCCTCAGCCCAGAAAGAATTTACCGAACCCTGGCCGATTGTATTGAAAAGGAAGAAGATGTAGAGTTCGCTAGTATCATGGTTCAAAACTTGAACAACAACCTAATAACGGCACCTCAGCTATCAGAGCTGCGCAAACGACTCCGCAGCCTGGAAACCAAGGTACACCCTTCACTCATCTACGAAGCAAGTTATAGATGTTACTAATACAATACTCTAGGATGGGCAGCTGTTTTTTGTCGCCCTGTTTCGATCTTGGTGTTATAATGCTGTAGCGACCTTTTCCCTTTGCCTTCTCGCCCAGGCCTACGAACAGGCTTATAATCTTCTGCAAATCTTGTCTGTGTCTTCCCTTCGTTCCCTCCTACCCCCTCTAATGGCTGGTGCCTCTCTCTCGTATCTACTTCTGCTAATAAAGAGACTAGCGCGGAACTTGAGATGACTGTTAATATGCTAATCCAAGTTGACAAACTGGTACAACTAATTGAATCACCAGTCTTCACTTGTAAGCGATGAACCTACCCCAAACTTAGGGCCTATCATGACTTGGACCATAATCACCTCTTCTTCACGCCGCCCTATCTGTCGGTGCAGATGTTATGAGAAGAGCTTGTTAACTTTGTATTCGCTCGTAGACCTTCGACTCCAATTGCTTGAACCAGAGAAGCACCCGTATCTTTATAAATGCCTCTATGGCCTATTGATGCTTTTGCCTCAATCTTCTGCGTTCGCTGCTTTGAAAAATCGCCTAAATAGCGTGAGCCCGATAGGCTATCTTCATATCCAGCCTCGCATTTCGTAAGTTTTTTTTAGAACTAATCCGGCAGCATTCGGGTGGTTCCCGATTCCATGCACATTTACATTCTAACGCATGCTCTGCCAGGTCATCGTCTGCGTCTACTAGTACTTCGTACGATCGGCCACCCCGGTTAAAAGGCCGAGAAGAAGGAATCATCCGTTGGTCTGAGCTATTAGAAAAGTTCCGTACTGTGCAGGAACGTGCCCGCCGTGCCCAGAGGCATATGAGCGAGTTTGATGATGGGCCCCAGTTAGGAGTAGGTGAGCTCCGAATAGGGGATGCCTTCGAGTCGAAATCAGGTAAAGATGGTCGGGTTGGTAACCCTCCGCCCGTGCCTGTCAAAGATGCTGGCCCTGTACCGGCGTTGGCTACTAAGGCAAGGACTGGATTAGGAAAGCAACTTGGCCGATTTGGAGGGCCGTCGCCGGTAGGGGCAAGAGAAGCGCTCCTTAAAAACTTAGGTCAACTACTTTACGCATTATCAATGTCCATAGGTCCCACATAGGTCCCACATAGGTCCCGTATGCCTTAGTTAGTCAAATCGCTTGTGGAAGAGGCTCTTGGGATTTGACGAGAGGACGCACGCTTCAAAGGACGATCACGTCCTCTATTCAAACTGTCTAAAATAGCGGCCAGTGAAAATTTGTGTGTCAAACTGCATTAAGCCAACCGTTTCTTCGGCGATGCTCTTTCAACAAGCCCTTCAAAGGCTAAATCACGCCTGTAGGTTGTTTCAGCCAGCTTAGAGCGGAGGCGGTCAAGCTCTACCCTGGCCAGCGTGGGGTCACTCGAGAGTCCCTCAAAAGCAGTTACTTGGAACTCGCGATCACGTTTCATGCTCAGAGACGCAGTAAAGTGCTGTTCTTCTTCTTGGATATGCTGTGCCGTGTACTGTGCATTGTTGGTCTGGCTACGCAATGTAAGGGATCTGAGGCTGTTTTGAATCTCCGGTAATCTGTCGTCCATCGACTTCATAGTTTTCTGCAATTCCAAATTTTTCTCGCAAGATCCGTAGGTGGGTTGTAATAGTCTCCATCAAGCTCTCCTAGAATACACCGAAATTCCTGGAGTTCCGTCTCCAGGAATTGTAACATGTGATTGACCCGTTCTGAGGTTTGGCCAAGGGTGTGTGCTTGCGCCTGCATCTCAACGATCCTGTAGCCAAAGGTCTCCGGTTTTGGATGTGCCATCCCAAGCGTCGAGGCCATCGTGGCCATGGCGGTAAGGGCCGCGGTACCTTCGTTGGTAATTTCCACTTCAACGTTATCCAGAATTGATTCGGATAGCAGCGGCCCAACTAAACGCGAGGCTCCAGTAGCCACCACCACATTTTCCCCCTTAATGGGGGCAACTCCGGGGCACATTTGTCAACGGCATAGACTTCAGCCTGGATGAATGCATCTTGATCCTCATCTGAGGCCTCGCTAAATGCGGCGAGTGCTAATAAGGCTCGAAGAGTGTCGGGATTTCGCTCAAAGGAGGGAGTAGCTCGGCCTTGTATTCTAGTCCCCAACCAGCTATCGATGTAGTTCCAGTCACGGGCGGCGGAGGCAGCTATGCGGGCAACTGAGGGGGAAAATATAGCAACTGGCGGTGCAAGGTGAGATAAGTGAGGCTGGTGATATGGGTTAGGCATGACTTCAGCCAGGGATCGCCAATAACAGGGAGCTAGGTCTTGATATCGGAACTGGTGCTTGGTAGAGTAGGGACCCAGAACGCGAAGGGGCTCGGAATGATTAGATCAATTGCGTCATGAACGGTTCAGCAAAGTGCCTGATTGAATAACAAGAATTGACACTGTGACTACCTTCCATGTGCTAGTTACTATTAAAGCCTCGATAGATCTGTGGGAGATGCTTTGTGTAATATCGGTTACCTTTGACACATAAAATCGGGCCAGTGGCAAGGTACTTGGAGACAGATTCGCTACTTAAGATCCGTGGATGTCTACTTGTATGTATTCTCGTATCGGGGTCAGAGGTGATGGGCAAGATGGGCTAGAACCTACAAGATCAACACCATCCAAAAAACGCTGCTATAATAATACTTGCTGGAACACAGGGGAGACCACCGAATTTCATAATATTGATATACACTATCTTGGTAGATCCTTGTAATATTGGCCGACGCACTGCTAATACCGAGGTACTGCTAGAGACATTGCTGTCAAGTGCCGCTGCTTTACTGGGGGCTGGATACCCCACCTTTCCAAGTACTTCGTACGCTGTGTTGGCTGGAATTAATGCGAACAGGGCCCCCTGGGCCTTAATTGGCTGCCGAGTGTTGGAGTCAAATCAGTTCACAAGGAACAATTTAATTCCGCCTAACGAGCCTGTTCCTGAAAGGCCAGAGTTGCAGCTTCGCATCCTTCAATCATGTGCACTCAAATCTCAAATCGTGTCTAGATCACCTCTCACCTCCCCGACAACTTACGCTCCCGACCCCGTCCTATTCCTCATAAGCTACATATTTTCTTGCATACTCACCATACATGCATCGACCATCGATGGCTGAATCTTTCAGTCGTTATCAGCCCACTTGGTAAACTGTCACTACCTTGGTTTTAGGCACCGCAGCTGGGACTGAACGATCGCGCTCACACAATGCATATTCCTTTCTCCGCAATCGCCGTGGCAGCTGGTATGCTCGCCTCCCCTTATGCCGTGGCAGCTCTATCCGAAAGGGATATCCCGGCCGATATCCCCGTATCATCCCTGTTATCGTCGGCACAAGCCCATCTCTCACGTGGTGAAACAACGGAGGCACTCGTCTACTACGACGCAGCGGTTGCGCGCGATCCTTCCAACTACCTCACTTTCTTCAAAAGAGCAACGACATACCTTTCTTTAGGTCGAACAAACCAGGCTACAGAAGATTTCAACGCCGTGCTTTCATTAAAGCCGGGGTTCGAGGGTGCTCACATACAACTAGCAAAAATCCGGATTAAGTCCGGTGACTGGGAAGCTGCGCGGGAGCAGTTTTTACTTGGTGGGAGAACCCACAGCTCCCAAGATATCCTCGACCTCAATGGAGCCGAAGGCGCAAGCAGATTGGGCACGGCTGCCGAGAAGGATGGCGATTGGGAGACTTGCGTTAGCCAATTGAGCACTGCCATCACAGTCGCACCCAGGGCAGCATCTCTCCGTGAGTCTAGGGCCCACTGTCGACTTGAGATGGGTGTTCTCGAATCCGCTATAACGGATATGCAACATGTGCTACACCTCCAACCCGGGGACGTCACACCTCATCTTAAGGTTGCAGCGATGGCATTCTATTCACTCGGCGACTTGGAGATGGGCCTGGGCCAGTGTCGAAAGTGTTTACAATCGGATCCCGATTCAAAGCCATGCAAGAGGCTGTTTAAGTGGCAGAAATCGCTCACTAAGACGCTCGAAAAGGCGTCAAAGGCACTCCAAAATGCAAAGCCGATGTCTGCCATCAAAGTCTTGGTCGACTCGGCTGACGAGCCAGGGCTTCTGAAGGAGCTTGAGGACCAGATATTTGCCCTGCAAGGTGAGGGATTGCTGCCTACCAGTGGCCCTGTTGAGCTTCGACAAAGGGTTCTTGAAATGATCTGCCAGGCATATTTTGAGGTACGTAATTCTACAAAATTTCTTGTGAGAGACTCTAACAGCGTGATAATAGACGAATAGCAAGAAAGCCGCACAGTGGTGCGAACGGACCTTGGAGGGGAATGCTAACTCTTTCTATGGATTGATGCAGCAAGGTAAAGGAGCCTTGACCTTGAAGATTATGAGGCCGCGGTAAGGTTATTTGAGCAGGCCGCTGAAGTACGGCCAGACAAGCAAGAAGTGGTTCGACCTCTTCTTGAGAAGGCGAGAATAGCGTTAAAACGAAGCAAAACAAAGGATTACTACAAAGTCCTAGGAGTGTCTCATGACGCGGATGACAGACAAATCAAGTCGGCCTATCGGAAGGCATCGAAACAGTTTCATCCAGATAAAGCAACCCACCACGGTCTAGATAGACAGGAGGCAGAGAAGAAGATGGCGGCGATTAACGAGGCCTACGAGGTCCTAAGTGATCCAGAGCTTAGATCGCGCTTTGACAGGGTGATGACCCGAATGACCAGACCGCCCAATCAAATCCTTTCGGGGGGCCCATTTCAAGGTGGAGGTCATCCGTTTTTCTTCCAGAATGGTCACGGTGGTGGGCAGAAGTTTCAGTTCCAATATGGGTTCTGATTGCTATACCAGCACGAGCATCCAACAAACAACATTAACTTTTCATGTCTTTTTTGTCCTTCGTCTGCGAGCGTTTGTTTTTCTTGGACCGGATGACTCCAAGGGATGGCGTTATTAGTGGTTCTACGAAAATTTCCCGTCCATGGCACGTGCTCGGCGTCTTACTGCCCCCGTCGATCGGCCACAAGGGACTTATGCGTTTGTACAAGTATAGAAGATTTTATGCACAGAATCGCGATTCGGCCAGTTTGAAATCTTAACTAGCCTCGTTCTCTGTGGCGGCGTCTATCCGTTCCAATCCTCCTAGGCGTTACTCGAGGCACCCGAAGTCCCCCCTCACTATCAGCTAAAAGGAGAAGGCCCCATCCCGATCTTGCAGATATTAGTATGGAGATATGTGGTACTGGAAAGGGAGCTATTATTAGTAGAACAATATATTTTCATATCACGTTTAGCACGTGAGGACACTTGTCGGACGCCGAATGCGGGGCATTTATCGGCAGGGACAAATTGCTCTCACACCTTTATCCGCGCTCATTGGTTCTCTTTGTGTTTTTTCATGTGTATCCATGGGGCCTCATGTTATTCTGGGATCGTGTCTTGCCAACCCCGCTGCTTTAATATCTCTGGTAATCATCCGAGTTGTCACGGGAGAATTTTTCCTGTCCTGGCCTTGGCTAGAACAACAAGAGGAATCTTCCATAGTATCGATTATTTAGTCCCCCACCTCTCTACCCCAGTGCAAAGCTACTCTTTTAAGGCGAAGTTCGTCGATCTCGTCGCTCAGTGTAATACATGTATTTATAGGTATATGGAAATATGGCACTGAATGGTGCATGGTATTTTAACTGAGCGACATCGCCTGTCAGCAAGCTTGTCTTCATCTCTCGTCCTTCCATATTCGTGTCCCCTCACGAGTCTAATCTGAGCTTTCTTCCGAGATTGACCGACGCTAGATCTGCGTCGCGAAGGGGGTAGCGCTTTAGGGTGTTAATTCCAGCTCAAGGACCATTCCCTTGTTGACCCGTTCTCATGAGGGCCAATTGAAGCTACAACATCTCAGCATTCACGGGACCATTTGCCGGTTAGGGACGTCTCTCTGTATATATACCAGGTGCTAACTACATCACATCATCTTCGACATTTCTTTTGCCTGCGAGGAGACTGCGGAAGAACAAGAAAGTCGCAAGTGTCACCATGAAATCCAGGCTCGCCCCCATTATAGCTTGCGCTTTTAGCTTCAGGGCCATTCAAGCACAAACGGCCATCCGAGTATGGGATACGCACGCTGGCTCTGTTCTTGGACGAGTCTGGTTCGGAGATGGTATGCTCTTAACAAAGGGGATCGCGTCTGGTTCGTTGCTAATAACGGGCGCGCTGGCCTTTAAAAGAGATCGCCTATGTAGGACCGTCAGCCCCACCTGGGGTTAAATCGGCATATAATGTTACAGGTGAGTTCCGATGTTTCCGAGGCGTCAAACTGTCACCAACCCTATATCAACCGCTTTAGAACAACTGACAAACAGCTTTGCAACTGAGTAGCTAGCGAAACTCGCGATAATCTTCTCTTCATTGAAGTTGATGGGGCCACAAGCCTAGCATCTGCCAAACCATTACCCGACCCAACGTTTCTAGTTATCAAAACTGGCGTTGATTCGGGCGGCGACGTTTACCACGCCCATTCCGCGGTTGGCTTAACGGACAATGACATTTACCTGATTGAAAACATCGAAGGATTTATATTCCCTTGGTCCAGGCTTGGCATGGTCGCCGGCGCAGCGTTCCTTATACCAACAGAAGTAGAGGGCACGTCAGCTGTGCGATGGTTTACAAACCCGGCGGATGGACTCTCATTGAACGGAACTTCAGTCACCATTGCAATTCGTAGGGACTAGCCTACCGTACTCGCTCGTGCTGAAACAGGAAGGAGGGTATGTAGAGATCCCTGTAGTGATTATGAAGCCAGCGCCAAATAGCTGTAGTGTACAGGGCTTTTGTTCTAATTGACTCTGTACACATTGCCAAGCTGAGATTGGTCGATTCTATATCCACGGCATGCTAGACTGAAACTCGGGAACACATTCTTCCCTCTTGTAAGAAATAATAAACAAAGCGTGATAATACAGTTCCTTCTCTTCTATACGAGCTGGCCAAGCGGTCGAGATGGTAATGGGGCGGCTATGATAGAAGGAAGGCTTGGCTGGTGAGCGCAGCAATTCCTGGTCGATAAAACCTAGGCGCCCTTACTTTTGTAGGAGAAAAGGCATGGTTTGCGAGTCGTGCAGAGTCAGAAATCGAGACCGTCCATGGACCCGCGCAATGTCCTATGCAGATACGGTGGCTGTTCCTTCGCTATCATCGCATCGCCAGGCGATAAGTACATATACGGACAAGGACCCTTCCTCAAAAGCATAACGATGGCAAAGGCCATATGACTTTGTGCTCCTGCTTGTCTAGCTATTAGAACAGACTGTACTCCGAGATAGATGTGTACTGCGGCGAGCGATATTCCTGCCCTTTGCCCTTTTAGGTGTAGTACCCGTTGCGTCGACTCTTGAGCAAGGTGGAGAATACAACGAAAAAAAAAAAAAAAAAAGGGATGGAAGGGGGTAGGGAGGTACACGTTTCAAGGAGGGAGCTGGGAAGAAGACAAAGACCAAGACATACCTATTATGCTGTCAAGGCTTCCCTGTCGTTTTGTTGAATAAAGTAAGCCCTAAGACAAATGTTAGCAAATGATCGTGGCTATTCACTCGTGGTGGCACAAACTTTGAGGCTTCATAAGCAGACCAGCAGATGGCCGTGCTAGGCATGGTGGTCAAGACCCGGGGTCGCACGCCTTTGAAGAAACCACGGAAACCAGCGCGGCGGTAGAGAAGACGACAACCGGCCCTAAAGCCATTCACGGTTCTCAACTCCACATCTTTTGCAGTGCCTCGTGTTTGGAGCATTGTCTTGATAACATCCATCGGAGTGGTCAGGGCAGCGGCAAAGCCTCCAGCCACAGCACCAGCGACACAATGCGTAAAGGGGTCATATGTTTTCCGCGGATTCATCGTGGTAGAGATCGACTCGTAGGCGAGGAATTGAAGTGCAGTGAATGGAACTGTCATGGATAGAGTTGTCGGGTAGGATACGTAGAAGGCAGCCAAGCCTTCATGGCGGTAAACATATTTAGCACAATCGAACATTGACCGATACATGCGGCTAGAATTGTGCATTTGCATTCGCTGCTTGATGACTAGATGATGATGTGAGCGACAAGACTATCCATAGTTGGCCATTACACAAATGAGGACAAACCGTCAAAAGGATTCATGAGCGCATCGCTCGCGATCGTTGCGCATGCTCCGCTGGTTGCTACCTTGAATTAGTTGCAGCACTTCGCCATATGCATTTGAGCTAGAACGTACCGGCCGCCAAAGGATGGTGGACGCCAGCTTTATTGCCGCCCATGAGGTGTTTGACTGCTTCATAGGTCGCGAAATACACAGCATGGGCCGGTCCTAGACAAACCATAGTTAGTTGCAGCACAATTTTACGACGCAATTCAAACATACCCGCACCAACAACAACGCTCGACATTCCCCTCCATAAGCTTAGAATACCCTCGCCCGATGCTATTCTATACGTTCCTTGAATAACCCCATTATAGACGGCCGATGGCGTAGGATTGAGGATTTGCATTCGAGTCTACAATAGGAATTAATATGCGTCGCAAAATGATGGGAAAGTGAAGGATCCAAACCATACCTTGATAGCATCTATCGGATACATGACGGTGTGTTCCTATCTTTCATATTAGGTATGCCATTAACCCTATGACGTGCTCTAATCATTGCATCTTACTGCTATGCCGGCAAAAGCACCAGCTGCCATGTTTTGGAGGAGCGAGAAATTTGGGGGCAGGGATTCATAGCTAGCATCAACGTTAGAGCCTGGTGAGCAAATATCCATTGCAGGGGTGAGTAGGACGGGTGACAGTTCATTAGCTGTCCGAGTAAGAAACCTACTCATATTCCTCTGCAGGATCGCCATTTGGCTGAGCCATGTCGGCTGCAGCTCCGGGTGCTGTGCCGAAAGGCTTAGGTTCGAGGGCAGCCAGGTTGTCAATCGCAAAGCTCGACGCAAGGACCGCCGAGGACGACTGCGAAATATCACTGATCTAAAACCGGGGTGAGCCACCAGTATGTATTCCCGGTGATCGTCAGGTAACCGGGGCCGCTCTCCAGGCCGATGGAGGGAAAAAGGCGGAGGGGTGTCTGTTCGTTGTGATGGCAGAGAACGGCGCAACTTCTTGTTGGAACTCGAGCTCAATTCGAAGGCGAGGACACAGGTAGAAAAGGTCCACCGCCATCAATTGAAGGTTGAAAACTAGTCGAATAAAGGCGAGCGCGATCAATCGAAGGCGATATAGAGTATTTTCGAGACTTCAAGTTGCTCCTTCATGGGAAGATGATGAAGTCAGGAAAATTTCTGCTCCTGCGGATTCGGAGGTAATGTTGGCTTGGAATTTGGAGCAAGTCGTCGATAGCCTAGGTGGACAAAGCCGAATTCGCAGTGACTAATCAATGATCTTATCTGGTTGGTGCCCCACTGCCAGTGTCATCCCACGTCCATCACAAGACGTCGTGCGTATCCCGTACCTTGCACGCCCAGCAACGTGCTCTAGTCATATGTCCTTGAGCTGGTGAACACTAGCTCGGTTTTCTTCCCTCACCCAACATGTCCTTTTCCAAGCCAGCGACAGGCAATCAATTATAAATATACGTCCTATCGCCAGGCCTCTCAGCATGCGCGGAAGTTTCCATTTAGCTCTCGAGCGCAACCGGCGATCCATCATCGATGCTCGAAACTATTGCAAACACAAGCCGACTTTCAAATTGAACACTCGCCCTGTATATGGGATACCGTATTAGCCGCCTTCAGTAGGGAATGAAAGGCTCAGCACTCATTCAGCAGCAAACGGCATCCCCGTCCCTTGGGTGTATCCATATATATATTAGGCTGCTGGTGCAGGTCCATATCATAGGACCGAAAACTTGTTATAAGCAACAGTGCAGAAAACTCAACGTACGTGGCGCTACTGCCAGATTAAGAGATGGAAACAACAATCGAAGACCCCCAACTACGGTTCCAAGCCAACACTGGCAGACGGCATGGCCCTCAAGGGCCCTTCCTTCTCGATGACGATGAGAACGAAGTCCCCCAGTCTCTTCTCGTGGAGCTGAACAACGAGCGTGCAATAAATGACTTTGCTTGGCCACCTGAGGCGAAAGCACATATCGCAAGGGATTTCGGGGCTCCGCGCGCTAAACAGCAGACTACACAAAAGGCAAATCAGGCACACGGAATAATTGGCGACGAGAACTCAGTTCCCCCAGCTAGGGCGTATCACCCGCCTTCCGTTGCCTCGGCGATCAATTTCAACTCAGCCCGGGATAAGGCAGCATGGAGATGGGTGAACGTCTCCAACCTAGATCACTTCATACTAGATGTTTACAACTACTATGAGGGAAGTGGATACTGGTGCATCCTTGTGGACCGCGGCCTGCACCTCCTGTAAGTTATCTTGGGTTTGTTTCATTTCATGACTAACAACGACTAGGGAGACCACCTTCGTTACCGTATTTCTGACCTTTCTAACCCAATGCGTTGACCATTCCAAAATATCCGATGGTACCACTTTGAAGCATCTACTTGTGCCTCATTGCACCGAAAGAATGTCTGTTCCATGGAGCTTAGGGCTCTGGATATATGTTTTCTACTTCATTTGGAAGATGGTCCAATTTTCCGTTGACCTTCGTCGTCTATCACACCTCAGAGACTTCTACGTGCACCTTCTTGGTATCCCTGAGCAAGACATGCAGACTGTATCCTGGCAGGACGTTGTGGCACGCGTAATGGCCCTTCGTGACACACATGCGGAAACAGCTGTGAACCTTGCGCCCGGGTCACGCCGCTACCTCGGTAGTCAGTCAAAGAAGCGTCTTGATGCCCACGACATTGCCAATCGTTTGATGAGGAAAGAGAATTATTTCATTGCTCTTGTTAATAAGGATGTTCTAGACTTCTCCTTACCCGTACCCCTCTTCGGTCGCCGCACTTTCTTCTCACGTACCTTGGAATGGTACCTCAATTTCGTCATCATTGACTTCGTCTTCGACCATGGGACACAAGTCAACCAGGAGTTCTTGAAAGCCCAACGAAGGGGATTTTTAAGCGCGAAATTGCGGCAGCGATTTATCTTTGCCGGAGTTCTTAATCTTATTTTCGCGCCCTTCGTATTGACCTATATCTTAGTCCTCTATTTTTTTAATTCTTTCTTGGTAAGCCTTCGGCGGTGGTCATTCATTCCGTATCATCTAACAACTCTTTTTCGTCTCTTATTAGGAATTCAAGAGCGATCCCTCAAAAATCGGCACTCGCAAGTATACGCCTTTAGCGGAGTGGAAGTTTCGTGAATTCAATGAACTCCCTCATCTCTTCAACGAACGCGTAAATATGTCTTATCCATTCGCGACTCGTTATCTCGATCAATTCCCAAAGCAAATCACAGAGCGCCTTGCCAGAACCGTAGCGTTCATATCCGGTGCACTGGCCGCCGTCCTTACCCTCATTTCAGTGATCGACCCAGAAATCTTTCGAGTCGAACTTACTCCCGATAGAACTGGCCTTTTTACATTGGAGTACTAGGCGCTATCTGGGCTTTTGCAAGAGGTCGCGTATCTGAGGACGAACTTGTCTTTGACCCCGAATACGCGATGAGGAACGTGGTAGAGTATACTCACCATATGCCCGATCATTGGCGTGGTCGACTCCATAGCTCTGATGTCATGCAGGAATTTTCAGGGTTGTACAAGTTGAAATGGGTGATCTTTTAGAAGAAGTTTTTGGAATTCTCGCGACTCCCTTTCTCCTGATATTCACCCTTCCCAACTGCAGCGACCATATCGTTGATTTTTTCCGGGAATTCACAATCCATGTTGATGGCCTTGGCTACGTGTGCTCGTTCGCTGTTTTCGATTTCAAGCGCGCAGAAGCCCATAAGGTCAAATCAACGACCAACAAGGATGCTCGCGAAGATTATTATTCTACCAAGCACGGAAAGATGGCAGCATCTTATTATGGGTTCCTGGATAACTACGTCATTAATCCTAAGACTGGCATTCCAGGCCATACACCCCCAGGAGCTCGTACCGCATTCCATCCTCCACCCACCTTTCCGCCTCTCGGCTCTTCCCCAATTCACCCAGACGCTTACGTGCCCCACCCATGGCGAGAGAGAGAGGTCAAAAGGAGCCATATCAAACGCACAACAACCAGGCGGCTGGGCCCTTCACAAGGGAGTGTCCCCCACAGCGCCTTCGCCAATAGCATCACCTCTCCTTGATCCACATCACCAGCCATCTATGCCTGGGCCTTCTGGGCGAAGCATGTATCGGTCTCGTACGGCCCGGGGGCGAGGGGCATCTTTCATCCAGAAATAACGGAAATGACATTTGAGAAGAATAATCATAGGCCGGTTTCACCAATAGACAGGGCCGGGCAAGACGTACTAGAGGGTGGTGGCGAGCTTGACGACTCAATGTGGGAGTCTTCGCCCAACAAGACCCTCAGTCGCGAAAACAGTGTGGAGGCAGCTCACGAACCCGATATCGGCGTCCTAGACCTCATTTACCAATTTCAGCAGGCGCATCAATACCAACGACCTCGGGCTCCGTGTTAACCAGCAACGCGCTCCCTAGATAGACCTCTTCTACATCATGTTACCTCAAGAACATCTCGACTCGATCACTGTCCTGTTGAGGGGGAATGGCAGGGCTTAATTCTCTCCATACCATCAAATCATGCTCCTAGGAAATATGAATGCCTCGCATCATCGCTGTGACCATTGGACAGCAGTCCCCAGCTGAATAAGCTCGTATATCCATGTCTTTGCCTTTTAAGCTACATGTATAATCATCAAGATACCTTGACACCGTAGCAGGGCAGTGTGGTATGTTGTTGGGAGGAAACCAGGTTGTAGTTTGATTCACAAAATTCTTCAGGGTCACACACCTGGACCCAATGCAATAACCGTAGCCCACACATCCATGGAGGTATCCGGGACCTGTAAAGCTTGGCAAATATTTCTGTGGTGAGGATGGTTGGAAGCCGCTAGTGTAACATGTCCCCAGAACTTGGGCCGTCCAAAGTACGGGCACGTGACAAGATGTCGAGGACATGCAACATGAATCCATGATGTCGGGCATAGGATTCAAGCTTCCAGAAGTTGTACGTGTCTCTCTTGCCCCACCCTCTTCCCAAACGGAGCAACTACATTGCCCTTGTGAAGAAGGAGTGTTCGAAAGACTAAGCAACTCTCAACAACTCGGTGACTTGACACACCATGTCATCACAAACCTATCTAGCTGATAAGATGCAGAACCCCGTCTCAAAAACAGACCGAGACAGGGACAGCTCTTCGCGCGCGCATCTTCTCAGATCGGCTGGCAACCCTCTTTCGTCAAAATCAACGCCGTCCTCTCCACGTCCTTTGCTGACGGAGAATTTGGAGAGGTCCTGTCCACTATCGATGAGTTAGAGCTTGTGAACACACCAATAACTCGCCGTCAGTTTCGGCTCCAGCTCCAAAAAGGCGTCATAGAGAGCAACGGCGAGGTTGTCAAGGATTTTTCCCGGGTGGCAGAGGTAAGACTTAGTTTCCTCCAACGAACTGGCTTTTTGTGAGAAGACAGGGACCCTGTCCACATTTTGTTGGTTGACTGTCGGAGATAACACCATCTATGCATGTAGCAACTTCAGCGTCTTGGATCAACCCTAAATGGGCTTAACCAATCGTACGAAGAAATGAAAGTTCAGATCCTCCACGATCAGCAATACATGTCACCAGTGCTCCAAGATGCCTCGTCTCTTATCAACGAAATAGAACGCTCAGAAGCGAAAGGCGATTTGCTAAGGCGCGTCATAAGACACTTTACTTTGTCCGAAGAGGAAATCAATGTTTTAACATTGTCCTCGGAACCCATCGACGAGAGCTTCTTTCTGGCTATCTCGAAGGCGAAGGCCGTTCAGCAGGATTGTGAAGTTCTCCTAGGATTTGAAAACCAAACCCTCGGCCTAGATGTAATGGGACAGTCCTCGAAACATCTGGACCAGGCATTTCAAAAACTCTACAAATGGACTCTGAGAGCTTTTAGGGAGACGAACTTGGAGTTGCCTCAAATGGGCCCTTCCATCCGGCGCGCTCTTCGACTCCTTTCCGAAAGACCGCCCCTCTTCCAAAGCTGCCTCGAATCCTTCTCGAGTAATCGTGACCAGATACTTTCAGATGCGTTCTATTTTGCCCTAACCGGAGAGATTGCCACTTTAGTAGGCAAACAAACTTCGGTAAAGCCGATCGAGATGGGAGCACACGATCCCCTACGCTATGCGGGCGACATGCTCGCTTGGACCCACTCTGCTGCTGTTGGCGAGAAGGAATCCCTAGATGCTGTATTCAGCCCGGATCGTGGCCAGATAACTCAGGGTTATGCCTCGTCGACCAGAGAACTCTCTTGGCCCGACTACGAACCTGCAGCCTATGATCCTACGAGAACAGTAAGAGAATTGGTAGACCGTAACTTGGCGGGGGTGTCGCGCATGCTGCGCCAGCGCGTTGAACAGGCGATTCATACGAATGAAGACATTATCTCAGCATATAAACTTATCAACCTTCAAGCATTCTACCGGCTCTTATTCTCCAAACTCTTGGACGCAGATTGCGCCCTAACCGAGTGTCTACAAAGCTTAGAATCCACAGCAACGCGGCAGTTCCGATCTCTTGTCAGGGACCAAATTGGGGCCTTACAAACACAACTCCAGCAAACACCTCATAATCTAGAGACCCCGGTTTTCCTCCGAGACGCCCTCGGCCAGGTTGATACAATCTTGAAAACTTTTAATGCCTCTTTCGACGAATCTTTAGATCGCGCAGCCGATCTTGATTTCATTTTCACAGAAGCACTTGATCCATTCCTGGCTGGGTGTGAAGCGCTAGGGAATAGGATGACTCCCGAACCTCGTGCCATCTTCCTGATCAACTGCCGGCTTGCAACAATCAAGTCATTGCAGTCGTTCAATTTCACACAGGAAAAAGTCAACCAGCTTCAGGCTTCCGTTGTGCAGGATATAACCATCCTAGAGGAATCTCAGCTCTCCTTCTTCCTCAGAGGCTCCGGTGTGGAAGCTATCTTCAATGCTGTCGATGCTATAAACATAACTCCAGAGGTCACACAGCAGGCAGCCCTATTCCCTATCTCTATCTTTGAGCCTGAGGCACTTAGTCGAGCCAGTCGCACTCTCGACGACTTTTTGCCATCTGCCCATATCGACGCGCTTCACAGCCTAAATAAGCTGGAAGACACTCATCTTGCACGCCAATTGACTGAGACTGCTGTCAGAAGATTCTGTGAGAAATTCGAGCGGCTAGAAAAACTGCTTGTAGCGGCAGATTCCTTCCAAAAGACAAATGGATCGCAACGGGCTAGATTACAGGATTCTTTCCCCGCACAGCTGCAGAGGTTCATGTTCTGCTTTCATAAAGAGTAGATACCCAATTTTCAGAGGAGGATAGTCAGCCTATACCTCGGTGACCTCAAGGTCCGATCTACGACACTAGATTTTAAAGTCAATGAGGTCGATAAGGTCGATCATCTAGTCTATGGACTGTAGTGTGGCAACGTATGAATCTATGATGAGAATTTAACTATAATCGTATCCATCTTTGGCGGACTTTGAAACCACAGATAAGGAGCATGGTACAATAATCCAGCAAGATCTCGCGAAAGTCCGCCCGAGCACACACGCACGCCAAGTTTCATATTGAGAAAATTGAGCAACAGGAATGATGAAACAAGTTGAATTCGCGTCATTCAACTCCGACTAACTGCATTGCTGGGGCTAAGTTGGCAGGTCCTACGTGTCAAAGACACAAAGGCACCGCCAGATCACACCCTGCCGCCGTATTTTGGTTATTATGATATGAAGTAAGGGAAGTTCCACCTTCATCTTACAGCCTTTCCTTTATGATACATACAAATCAGTTTAGTCGAACAGTGTTCCATAGAACCACGACTCATTGCAAACTCGCCCTGCTTCCAGTCCTTCTCTCCGCCTTGGCCGTCCGATTCTTCTCGTATGCGGTTATCCTTTCTTCTAGGGATGGCACAGGTGGTCGAGTTTCGGTTGCACATCCAGCAGGTGCAATGATGCGCTTTACAACATGTCGTTTGTGTCTTGATGACCTCCAGCCGGGAGTTATGGCGACAACATCCCCTTGTCTCAGTGAAGAGTTAGGATCGTGGACTAAATATTGACGAGGATTTGAGAACCACTAGTGATCACGATGGCCCTTAGGTTAACTAGATAATCCTTTGTTCAGATGAGATTCCTCACCTACCTTTTGGATTTGGGAGTTCCATTTCCTGCCTCCAACTCGCACCTTCACAGTCTTTTGCATGATGCCAGCCGATACAACGACGCCATGGAGCTCGCGGGTAACCCGTTGGGCAGCTCGGATGAATGGGCTCAACATTTCTTCGCTTGTGAGGATGTAGCTTCAACATAGGATCAACTTACCATCCCCCTTGACGGAGCTGGGGGAAAACCCAACCGGGAACTCGATCTGCGGGAATAGATTAACCGCTTATTAGCCGATCTCTCGTCAGCTCCCCGACAACTTAAAGGCACTTCAGGTTTCCGACGCGCCACAGGCTTGTGGTCATGTGACTGTCTTAATTATTACTGACCTCCGACATTGAAGGTCAAAAGCGCCAGGATGATCAATTATCAATTGTGTCAGGACAAATGTTCGCAGAGGATTATTCTAACAATACAGTTGCATAGAGAACGAGATTGATTTTCTCTTTATTTTATTTGATATAAAAAAATGGAAAAGACCAAGTTCCGGAACCATCGCGACTGCGACACCGGTCCAATCTATATACAAATTAAACCACCTGTAACAGTAAGCTGACCCAAGTTTCCTATCCAGAGGAAGCCCCGCTATATGTAACACCCTCCCCTCCCCATCCTTCTGCCGCCTCCTTCATCTCTACCTATGGGCTAAGCTACAAACGATCTCTTTGCTAGTCTAGCCAAGCGGTTGTTCTAAATATTCGTTAGTATAACAGGACTGGAATCGAGGCCTCGCGTCGACTTACCCCTTGGGATTGTTGGGCAAAGCGCTCAGCCTGTTCCCTTAGAGCTTCCGCGCTTGTCCCTTGCTGACCTTGGCCTTGCTGCTGCTGGTTTCCATTGCTTTGACCTTGCTGCTGGTTGTTGTTCCCTTGGCCCTGCTGTTGGTTACCGTTGCTTTGGCCTTGTTGGGCTTGGCTTTGTTGCTGGCTGTTGTTGTCTTGGCCCTGCTGCTGGTTGTTGTTGTTGTCGTCCTGACCCTGTTGTTGGCCTTGCTGTTGACTATTGTTGCCTTGGCTTTGTTGCTGGTTGTTGTTGCCTTGACCCTGGTTCTGGCCCTGCTGCTGATTGCCTTGACCCTGCTGACCCTGCTGACCCTGACTTTGGCCCTGCTGTTGGTTGCCGTTTCCTTGACCCTGGCGCTGGGCAAAAGCCTCTGCTTGTTGCCTTAGAGAGTTGGCATCATTCCCCTGCTGGCTATTTCCCTGGCCCTGCTGTTGGTTGTCATTGTTTTGGCCTTGTTGCTGGTTGTTATTTCCTTGGCCCTGGCCCTGTGATTCTTGGGCGAAGGCCTCTGCCTGCTGACGGAGGGAATCTGCGTCTGTACCCTGCTGATTATCATCGCCGTCATCGGCGCCTTGGTCATCATCCTGGTCAGCATCTGGGTCGATAGCGCCAGGACCAAGGTCTACAGCTTCCTGGGCCTGGTCTGCGGCATCAAGACCACCAGAGCCGTTATTTGCTGCGTCATTGACATCAAAATCATCACCAACGACAACAAATTTGCTGCAGTCATCCTGGGCACCGCGCTGGGCAACGGGCATCAAGACTGGCTGATGGTTAGATGCGGAAACGAGGGTGCAAACGCGATAGTTTCCTGGGGGCAATCCATCATTCACGGTTGCGGCTAGGAGACCTTGACCATTGCCAGCATCGTTGATACCCTTGAAGAACGCAAATTGTGTTGGGTCAGGGGCGTTGTTGGATTAAGATTCGATCCTAGGTCTTGGACGGTGACATGTGTATGCCCGACGATCACGCCTTGGTCATTAAGAAATTGGGGGACCGCATAGTAAGTAGCAAAAGCATTGGTAAATGAGCCAGGAGCAAAATTTCGCACTTGAACCTGGATATTGAACGTCTGTCCAGATTGAATAACATCCCCGTTCTTTGGGTTAATGATGATAGACGAGATCATTTTGTCCTTAGCGGGAATATCGCCATGGGCTAAAAAGTGTATGGTTAGTGAGACATGTCCACCAACCGAGTAAACCCCGCCCCTTCACCGAGATGTTCACTTACGGATGCCATTGCAGGAACCAGTTGTGATTTGAAGGCCGTTTGTAAGCTCCTTCCCGGCGCAAAAGTTGATGAAGTTGTTGACCGACGTCAGGGACGGAACCTGCTCATCGCTTGCCCCGATGGCGTCTGTTCCATCGAATTGCGAGCCAAGCTGGATAGCATTGTCGAGTAAGGTGAGCGAATCGGCCCCTTGAAGGTTGATGTTCTGGGCAAGGACAGCTGTGGCGAGCGCAGACGCGCCGAGGAAGCCACGAGATAGCATCGCGTTGGCAGGTCTTTCCTTGAGGAGATGCTAAAGAAAGGAAGAAAATAAGAGAAGAGGACACAGCTCCCCGAGCTGCGAAGAAGCCAAAACTCGTGTAAAGAACGACAGACCGCGACGGCTTTAAAGGGGAATTAAAATGATGATATTCAGATTCACGATCAACGTGATCTATTCCCAACCAGCAAGAAGAGAGTGTAAAGAAGAGAAAACAAAAGAGGGTGAAGAAAGGAGAACACTGAATCCAAGAGGAGCGAGGTTTTGGGACGGGAGCATTATTTGAGGAGGCCGGCAGAGGACATTTCTTCTCGCCTGATCAAACCTGAGGAGGCACAGGATGTATAGACCGAAGATCCTCCTATAGGGAGGAAATGGTGATCCCGCCGTCGCATCGTGATGTTGAAACTAGATGTGACAGGGTGATTGTCACATCGACAAGAAGGCTCAGGTTTACCTAGTACATCATGAAGTCCCCCGAGATCCGAGTCTAGACGTCTAAGCACCACCCCCCTTCTTCTTCTGACCAACCTCCATTTTCCAAGGAGCCACGCTCGGGGTGTAGGTGGAACGCTACTGGGTGGGCCCGGAGGTTTAACGACTGTAAATGCACCCTGGCCCTCGTGGCAGCACATGGTTACTGCCGGAAGGCCATGTCAAAGATCAGATAATTAAACTTTATTAGTGGATGGGTATTTGATAAGTTTGATTGAACTTCGTTTGACGGCGTTCTTCTCGACGGATGAGTTATTCGGAAACAAGGAGTTGTCGGAGGAGCCGCTGATCCGAAGACACGTTCAAGATTTGTTACCCGCTCATTCAACTCCTACCTAGAGCGAATTACGCGGTGAAGGAATTTTTTTCTCTTTGGATAATTTAATAGCTAGAGCCCGTCTTAGTTTCCTCTGTGCTCTAGAGGGAGAACTTCACCAGAGATGTCCCCCAAGCCGTGGGGTTTCTGCAATATTGTTGCCTGGACCGAGGCATTGGAACAGAACCTGAGAACTATTGTTTCCTCTCTAATGAGGGCGACGGTTTTCCAACACGAGTATAAAGGTTCTAGAACAATTAAGGCCCATCATAGATCCTCTTCAGCACAACGGAAAAGAGCCGGCGTATAAGGCTAAAAGCTCTTGTCACCAAGATCACAGACGCTGATACGCCGTCAACAGTTATTGGTTTTGTTCTATTTGAGATTACGCACCCCATTATAGCAAAATCAAAGTATGCGGAAGACTCGACTGATACATGATCTTGCCAGCCGGACTCATCGACCTCGCAGCTCCTCGAGTGCGCCGTGCATTCATCCGAAATGGATGATGGTCTGGACTGTTTTCATTGGTGGGATAAAGGGGCTTTTCGAAGCATCCGTGCATGGTTTCGCAACAACGAAACGTCGATCACGCCGGCCTGACCAAGAGTAAACAAATACGGAAGTACGGGCATTGACAATGACTACGCCTAGTGTCAAGCGGCGGCAGCTCCTCTTCTTTATCTTGAGGCGCAACGGTCAATGACGTGAGAGGTTGAGGCAGATCAGAAAGCGAAGACCATATTTTCATTTTTGAGGCACGAAGCTCAAAGTCTTCTTTTAAACAAGCCTACTGAGGTAGCCACGCACGCATTTCATCTTCTTTGAAGGTAGGAAAGATCCAGACTATTATATCATGACTTGCTTAATATTTATATATCTTTCCCCTCCCACCATTCCTCGATGTCCCATTCCCTCAGCCTCAAGTATTTCAGGAGGCGCGGCAACGCTCAAGCGAACAGCTCCATCTGAGTTGTTGTACCGAGGTCGCAGCATCTCACTTCCTTCCTTGGTACCTCGGTGCATCAGGCTAATATGGTTTCAGATGACAGCTGCGACAATGATGCGGACTGCGAGGGTGCCACGGCATAAATGAGTGTAGGTGGATGGGACACGGATTATTCTCGGTTCAATACAAACAGACCTCACCACCGCTCCGCAAGACTTTGCACCCGTGACCTAAGCTTACTTCCTGGCAGAGATTTTATTTTTCTTTCGTTGCATTTATCTGCCCTAAGCCGACAAGGTTCGAGAATAGATGAAGCAGCGCTTGAGAACATGCTGGTCGTATCTGTGTCTCGCCTCTTACATCAACACCGCATGACGCACTCTAATAATTAGTGCTGATATCAATAACCCGGCATCCTTGAGGCTGCAGACTCCGAACGTCTTAGTGGAGAGAGCGAAGAAGCAAGGTTTCAAGTTCAACATGTCTTCACCAGATCATCGAGTCGGACATAAGAGGCCGCGTTCGTATCCCCCTCCCAAATAGAGCAGATCATCTTAGCTCTGTAAATTATACATATTCCTTCCTCTTCTTATTTGGATAAAGAAGCCTAGTCTAGAATCTTAAGTTTCCTTGCTAACCTTGTCGTGTCCCCTCAGGCACTCAATCACTTCCACCACCCACATTGCCTCAGCTCGTGGCTGAGCAGCATGTTTCGATATCTCCTAACGATAAGGACACAAAGAGGTTAATCGTGGTCCTATCCAATGCTAGCTTGGAGACGTACAAGGCGGCCCATTCCGGCACAGGGCGCAATGGCGCTCACAAGGACGACAAGTACTCTTTGCTAAACAGTGATGAACACATTGGCGTGATGCGAAAAATGAACCGTGACATAAGTGATGCTCGCCCTGATATCACACACCAGGTTCGATCCCTCTCCCTACCATATGTATCCGACTTACACGATGCTTGCCCGTTGCATTTTTACCCCTCTATCAAGTCGACGAGGTCTAGAGGCTCTCTAACCTTGCCTGTGCATAGTGCCTGCTCACTTTAATCGATTCACCAATCAACAAGGCTGGGAGACTACAGATTTACATACACACTGCCAAAGGTGTGCTAATTGAAGTGTCTCCATCCGTCCGGATACCCCGAACTTTCAAAAGATTTGCCGGACTCATGGTACAACTACTACACCGTCTCTCAATACGCTCTACAACATCACAGGAGAAGCTACTACGCGTCATCCAGAACCCTATCACAGATCATCTGCCCCCAAACTGTCGCAAAGTTACCCTGAGTTTTGATGCGCCCCTAGTGCGCGTCAAAGACTACATCGACACATTAGGTCCGCAAGAGAGTTGTTGCGTTTTTGTCGGTGCTATGGCTAAGGGCGCTGACACCTTTGCTGATGAGTTGGTCGATGAAAAATCTCAATTAGCAATTACAGTCTCTCTGCCAGTGTTGCCTGCAGCAAGTTTTGCCATGCTGCGGAGGACTGCTGGGACATAATCTGACATGGACGGCTACGACGTGGATATGGGAGTGATGGCATGTTCCGCCTCAACCCTGCCTACTTTACAGTTTGTAGTTCCAGCTTAGCAGGCGTCTCTCGTGAGTAGCATTAAGTAAGGATAGCTTCCTTACTTGCACTTTTACTCCACCAAAGCTTTAAGAGCCAGTCTCGGACGTCCACACAACATTGCTGCGCCATATACTAGGGTGCTCGAGAAGGTTTGGTTGCCTCCAAGTATCGCAATCTTGCGTTGCGAGAAATAGTGAAGAAAAGGGAACAGAGAGACCTCGGCCCAACAATGCATTGACATCTGGTATTCCTACTTCAACATAGCCCTCATGCTGTTTTGGACCTGCCTAGTTCATATCATCGGTGCTTATGATTTCCAAGCTTAGCCATGCTTTGATAGCTCTCAATTCCTCTTCTGGGGCGGACTTGGCGGAATGGCTGTCCCGGGCGACTTTTACGGCGTTACGCTGTTGTAATGAATCGGATGCTTGGGCGAAGGATAGGGTTGTCTTACCCCTAGGAGCGATAAAAGCGTACTATCAGCTAACTTTTAGGAGCTCTATTAAAACAATGGTAAAATGCTAGAGTTGGCCCAGCACCTATTGCAGCCCTAACCGTCGGTCGTGCCCAAGTACAGGTAGCAAGGAAATCCTGTCATAATGAAGATATCCTATTATTGGTTGATTCGTCATATTGTACTTCACTCCAGGACCTCAGATGATAGGCTGTGTCACCCTTAGTGACATACGGTGCCCTCGCATCTTGCATTGCATTCACTTCATTTTCGCTGCCCAACAAGCCTTGCTACCTTCCAAGGTTTGGTACTTGCTACTTCTAACCCTAACAAAGATGTACCTCTCGTGAGGTGAGAGGCACTTTTACCAAATGATTCGCGGGTTGGTACTTCGCGTGCCTGACGATAGTCCTCACCGCAACCCAAAACCGGGCCCTGGCCTCATCCTAATCCTAAGGCGAATCATGGCCATACACTAAACATCGGGTTTTTAAACTTGGGCTCAGTGTGCTGCGGGTCCCACCAAAAATTATTATGTCTTCCTACCATGATTTGGCGCCACGCAGAAGGTTAGGCCTCAAAGGTCCCATCATTGGAGAATCCGTAGCTTGCCCCATCTTCTTCAGTGAGCCTAATGGCATTCTATTACACTTCCAAAAGGTGACAGACGGTAGCAAACCCAAACCTAGATGTGGTTAATAAAAGGAGCGTGACTCTACTTTCCTACTAGACTAGCTATAGTACTTGCATTCCAATCATCCTCCCACATATATATCCAGCCGTGTTGAAGTAACTTCCAGTTCACCATCGCCCGCCGAAGACGCGAATGAACCGAGGCCGCCCCTTTATCAACTATACACAGCCTTCTATAAACCATGGGGTCCCTATTTTTAATCCGTCTCAGATCCCAGGGGACTTGGATGACGGCCAGTCCCATTACACATCTGGCAAAGAGGTCTCCCCACCCTCCCATCGAGGAAGGGCGAACACGGATCCTCATACATGCCTGCGCCTGAATATCGCGGTCCCGAAGACGGGGCCCACCAGCCTGTCCTTCGCCGCACTGTCACGACAACTACAACAACGACAACGTTCGAGCCATCGACAAGTTCAATTTCGAATACAGGCACGGTTGCCGGGCTACTAGGAGTTGGGGTTGTTGTTGGTATGGGAGTGGGCGCCGCATTAACCTACAAGGCACTCAAAACCGAACAACGTGAGGCGGTAGGTGAAAGACATCCGGAGTCGGCCAACCCCTATCTGCCTATAGCGCGGGAAGTGCCACCAGGGGATGTGAGCACATTCAGCGGGTTTGACAGACTAGTCGACCGCGGTCAACATCCAGAGAAGTTCACCATTCTCGCTGCCAGCAACTCGGTGGCAAGCTACCACCAAAAGCTGGTACATGATGTGCCAGACCGGTATGCGCCACGGGAAATCAGTCTTCAGGAACTTATGGGCCCCCTCTATTCATCCCGGTACCCCACGAAGCATAACTTCGGCGACTAGAGCCCCCATTCTCCTTGAAGCTTCCGAATATAGAAGTCAGGCTGGGGGTAGGGCATTGAGTCATTCTGGCAGTAGAGCATTGAGTCAGGATTGCAGATTTGTTGTAGGTAACCCTGGTAGTCATGGAGGAAGTGAAGTCGGGGGTCAGATAAGAGGCTCTGCTGGAAGCCGGATAGGCACCTATGTCACGAGCCACCCTGGGAGCCAGCCCCAAACCTTTACCAGGTCAACAGCACCAGCTGGGCGGAGAGATGGAGCCACGGCCAGTGTGGTCTCGGTTCGTAGCCAGCGATCATTCAGTACAGTTGTGCCTCCCGGGCGACCTCCACCTCCATCTAGACCTGGCACGACGGTATTCACGGCTACACCGAAACCCCCACCGACTGGGAAGTTCACCTCGGCCCCTTCGCGCATTAGTCGCACACCTAGTGTGATATCCGCGCGCCAGGTCGCCTTGCCGAACAGTGTCGTCGGAAGCAACCGGTCATCGATTATCGATGATGCTGAAAGCATTGCACCGAGTGATAGTATCAGCTGTGTAAGCTATCGGTAGCCAACAACTTAATATCATCGTGACCCGCGGCCATGACCCTTCATTCTCACGCCCTATTGTAGAGACACGATTCCCCACCCTGCAGAATGTGATTTTGGAACCTCGTCCAGGATTGCATCTCCCATTTGTTAGCATCCGTGAGACAAGTCGACCTCTAAAAATCATTGTCCTGTCACTTCCAGAGAACATGGTGGAAACCGAAGCCAATGCAAGCGTTGTATTATCTGATACATCCATTATTGAAGCAAACAACAATTTACACTGATATCTCTCAAGAAAGGGCAGGCGTTCCTCAACTTATTCGGGTATCCCCCAACCTGCGCCGTGTTAACGAAAGCATCACTAGACAAAGGGGTTTAACCAGCCGGGTCGCCGATTGTCGGACGGCATGGTGAGCTGTTGGTACAAGTAGCAGCCAAACATTTAGCTGGGGAGAAAAAGGGCCCAAAAAAACTCAGCTTTACCCCACCATGAGGGGTAAAACTACCAAATCAATGATTAAAAAAGCATCCACAATTGCTCTTTCAGGCATCATCCTGTCCACTTGATAAATAAGTCTTGTTCTCGAGGACGCCTACCTATCTCCCTTTCTCTCCCCTTAATTCACATATCAAACAGTTAAGCTAGAACTGGTTTGTTCCCCTCCACATTATAACCGATACTAAAATCCCCGAATACTTCCTGGGCGGACGGCCCTATTGCACCTGGTTAATCGCCAAATCTAGCAAAGAAATCCGGAACACTCCAACTCCAATCACCATGCCGTCTTTCGAACTTGGGGAGTCAATCCCCGCGGATACTGCACATGTAACTTCACATCTTCCGTCTATTTCCACTCTAGAGCATGATCTCCATGGTTTCTGGCCCGTCGAAATGAGTCCTTAACACTAATAGCAGTGACAACTTTATAGGCCGTGAGTGTGTCACTCCCCACCTGGAAGGCAAATGTTGGATATGAAGAGGGCGAGACCTCAGTAATATCGAAGATGGCATCTGGCTACCCAAGGTATTTAGCAATCCAGTACATACCCACGTCAAGGTTGGATAACTACTATGAGAAGGAGGCTTAATAGCGATCAGGTTTTTCATTCATAAGACCATCCTGGCATTTGCGAATGATATCGTTCGCCAGCATGGCCGCCTTGGGCAAACAGCGATGTTGTTCCCAACGCCCACGATAGCGAGAAGGTGTCGAGAATTTCTACAAGCACGATGCCCAGCCGGTCGTATGGGCGAAGTTCTGGTACTTGATTTGAGTCTTGCAGCGGAACGGGTCTATTCTACGTCATTAGCATCCCTGTCCCCTCAAATATCCGCAGTCATATGTGCATCAGACTTATACCCCATCGCAAAAGAGTACTGGCAGCATACAGGAGACGGCATCTCCAGTCGACAGGCAGAATTTTGTTTTGAGCTGTACAAACAAGATTTGCTCATAGTGGCGTCGGAACCACAAACCGCGTCACTGCCTTCTCACGCCAAGTCTTATCGAGCCCCCAGAAGATATCATCGCCCACTCTCTGTTAGTGGACCATCAACAAGTAATCACGTGACGACAGCCAACTCCTGCCAGACTCTTGAGGATGATCCCCAAGAGTGGTCAAGGTTTCTTGAAGAGAGATTTGGGAGAAATCTAGACCTAGCTCTCGTCGAACGGGCTAAATCTGCCATCAGGAGACGAATAGCGGGCGCGGTTGCTGCTGATTTAGACGGTGTGGCATCAGACCTTCCATCAATGGTGACGAATTCCAGAGGCATCACATGCTTGGAGGAAAGAGACGTTTACCTATTCCCTTGTGGAATGAATGCGATCTTTAATGTCCACCGGGTTCTGCTCTCGTTACGGAACTTACTTAAAAGCATAAATTTTGGGTTCTCTTATGTCGACACCCGCAAAGTACTCGAGAAGTTTGGACCAGGTTGTATTTTCTATGGCCATGCCTCAACACTCGATCTTGACGACTTAGAACGACAACTGCGAAGTGGAGAACGCTACCTAGCCTTATTTTGCGAATTCCCAGGCAACCCTCTCCTTGCGTGCCCAGATCTCCAGCGTATTCGGCAACTGGCAAACGAGTTTGACTTTTTCGTTGTTATTGACGAGACTATCGGAACCTTCGCTAACATCAACGTCCTCCAGTTTGCTGACATTGTCGTCAGTAGCCTAACAAAGATATTCTCCGGGGACTGTAATGTCATGGGAGGTTGTGCCATATTGAATCCCACTAGTATTCATTACACGACCCTGAAGGCTGCCATGGAATCTGGGTTTGAGGACACATACTGGCCGGAGGACGTTGTGTTTCTGGAGCGGAATAGTCGCGACTTCTTATCGAGGGTTGGCCGAATCAATTCGAACTCGGAGGCTATCTGTGAGATTCTAAGGGCTCATCCGTCCGTAAAGAGGGTTTACTATCCGAAGTTCAACGAGTCGCGGCCCAATTACGATCTTTGCAAGCTCCCAACGGGCGGGTATGGGGGTCTTCTTTCCGTTACGTTTCATTCCGATCGTCAAGCCATCTCGTTTTTGATGCGTTGGAGACCGCTAAAGGGCCCAGTCTGGGCACGAACTTTACACTTACTTGCCCATATGTTCTGATTGCCCATTATCAGGAGTTGGAATGGGCTGCTAAATTCGGTGCTGAGACCACGCTTATCCGCGTGAGTGTAGGTCTCGAAGAGACTGAAGCTTTGCTCAAAGTGTTCGAAGAGGCGCTTCATGCAGCAAGCGCTGTTTCGTCGTCGATCCTGTATGAGGAGTAGCTAGTCCAAATAAATTATATATAAACACAGACACATGATGGTCGCTCTCCTCTAAGACTAGTTCAATACGCAGGAAATGCGTCCCCGGTTCTCACATAATAGTACATTCATCATTGCGATAGCTGGGGCCATACATCTCGATGCCGCGCTCGAGATCATTGGCCTTCTGTTTCTCCCGAGTTTCCTTCGGGAAATATCTCCGTAGAAACTTTTCCAGTTGTACGTCGAGATTGGCTTTTCTAGGTCAGCCCCGTCGTGAGAGATCTTGAGGCCTCATATCAGTGTTTGGGGAAGGTCGAATTTACCTGGGGTTGCCGTCATAATCGTATTCGAACGGCAAAGGGGGCAATGCTTTTCACGCCGACGCTGAAGTTTGACGACACAACGGATACAAAAGACATGATGACATGAAAGACGAATGGGGCGAAACGCAATCGAGAAACAGATTGGACAGAGATAGTCTGAAAGCTGGGGAACGACGGCGACTAACTCGGTCGATATTTGCGCACACATGTCTCGCGCTAAAGAGCCCGTTAATAGCTTACCAGACCCCGCAGTATATGGGAACAATTTAGTCACAGCAAGGGAGGTTCTCTTGTCGAATTCTTCTCTAGTGGTTACTAACCCATCTCAACGTTGCTTATGGGGGTCGGGAAGTTGCAGGGTATTAGTAGGACCTACTCTTCAATATTTTTGCGACTGCGATTCTGTTGATCTCCTGAAATCTAAGATTGCGGAGCAAATCTAGATTTAGACGCAGGAACTTGTCCAGAGCGAGCCTACTCTCTGGTAGACGAAAACGACCGACAACACCGAGCTTTTCCAACTCTTCTCTAAACCAAGCAAGCTGTTGCGCCGCAGCTCCCAAGTGTCTGAACCCATGATCACTTTCTAGTGTAGAGAAAAAGACCTGGGCATCAAGATATAAGCCGAAAACCATGCGCCATTTCTCGAGGTCAGTTCTGGCAATGTGGGTTGGCCTGGAAAGACGCGCAATATCATGCCGCAAAGCAACAATCTCGGAGCTCATTCTGCGCTCTTGGGTAGCTTGGAGTCCATCCAACTTGATTACTTTGCTCAAAAGAATGTTGAAAAATTCGTCGTCATGAGTAAGTGGTACCTCAAACTGGTTATAATTTATAGAATAGGATTCGATGGTGCTAGGCGTCGCATTGTTGCTGTGTCCTACAGGCACTATCAGAGGAGGTTGGACTTCAGAATCACCGCGGGAATGGTTCCTTCTTGATAAAACATCAATTAAGGTTCGCGTCGCTGGGCCGAGAGATGCGATATCGACTTTTTGTATCTTGTCCCCCATATGAATCGCTGCGGTAAGCTGCGGTCGCAAGGTATGTGGGGTGGCAGCTTTTAAGCGGTCAGCGTTTTCTTCACGTCCTTGTCATTCTCATGCTTTCCCGGGTGTGGCTACCCTCAAGATTGTACTTTAAGAAGACTGGCGACGTTGGCTCTAGAAGATCAGATAGGGTCTCCGGACCGAGACCCAAATCTGCGAGTTCTTGTTGTACCATTTTGAGGCACTTTTTAGTTGCCTATAAGGGATCGCTAATTCTACCCATTGTGGAGGGAAATCTGAATCTCTCTGTTAGCCTTAAAGGCGCACTTAGGCAACATGATGTTCCAGATCAAACCTTGATCCTTCAGCTCCTCGGCAAAGGTATGAGCAAATTTCATTATTTATAGAGACCCCAAGAGAGTGAGGTGAAACTCGGCAAGAGAAGCTGGCACTGCGTAATATTGTCAAGCACAAACTCTCCACCTGCGATGCTGAAAGATCAGTGGGTCTTTCCCCCAAACTTGGACATAGTAGTACATTACGTAACACAGTGACGCCCTGAGAAGCGTAAATGGATGGATATCGGCATCATATGCCAAAGGCTGAAGCATACTGATTGCAAATAGTCTAATATAAACTACGCGATGGGCGGTCAACAGTCTTCAGAAAGTAGCGCGGCAGTCCCTAGACCACATCAGTCATGTTATTACGAAGTGTTAGGTGTTCTTCAATCTGCTTCAAATGAAGAGTGAGTTGGCTTCTGACAGTAACGTGACCTTGCGAGGCTAACGGCGCAAAAGTATACGGAAAGCATATAGGAAAAAGGCCCTTGAACTTCACCCAGATAAGAATAGAGACGATCCTGATGGAGCAAACCGCAGATTCGCTGAGCTGCAAACTGCTTATGAGATACTTTCGGATCCTGAGGAACGAATTTGGTATGACTCTCACAAAGAGTCGGTTTTGTATGGCAGCGAAACTCCAAACTCTCGGCCAACCGAATATCGCAACATCCGGGTCACCACTGCTGAAGAGGTTATATCTTTCGTTGGACGGTTTAATGCGGCTACGCAATTTTCCGACGCTCCTGGGGGTTTTTTTGGCGGGCTAAGGGAGATGTTCGACCGCCTCGCCCTCGAAGAGGTCGCAGCAGGGGATTACCAGGGGGCCCTCCTCCAGCCTTCCCTACATTCGGTAGATCCGATGATCCCTATGAACCCATTGTTCGCTCCTTTTATAATACTTGGGGATCTTTTTCAACTAAAAATCATTTATCTGGAAAGATAAGCACAGATTATCCGATGCTCCTGACAGGAGAGTCCGTCGTTTAATGGAAAAGGAGAATAAAAAGTCACGGGAAGATGCAGCAAGGGAGTTTACTGAAGCTGTCCGATTTCTCGTTCAATTTTGCAGAAAGCGCGACCCTCGGTATGTCAATAATATGGTTTCCAGCTCTGATCGGCAAGCAGCTCTGCGGAACACAGTTGCGGCCCAGGCTGCACGCTCGCGGGCTGCGAATCAAGAGAGATTACAGGGTTTTGTTGTTCCCGAATGGGTCCACTCAGACGATACTTCTCAAAGCCAGCACACTGCATTTCTCTCCACTGATGAGAGTACGGCGTCAGAGACCGAGCAGATTGAATGTATGGTGTGCAATAAGGTCTTTAAAAGCGAGAATCAGTATCAATCCCACGAGAAAAGCAAGAAACACCTGAAGGCAGTACAAGAGATACGCCGCGCTATGAGACAACAGGACTTGGATCTTGACTTCGAGCAGGCCGGGCAACAGACTAAAACTGTTGCACCACAGGCCCTAGTGGCAGCCGAACCACTAAGAGATGGTATTCCTAGCATTCAAGCTTTTAACGATTACCAGCCGAGCCAGACAGGAGCGGGTTCGAATAGCGATAAAATGTTCAACAAGGAGGCTCAAGCTAACCCACGGCACGAGATGTCTAGTCCCACAGCACCTTGGAGCAAGCGTGATGCGGACAGGTCGAGTGTACAAAGCCCAGTCGTTCTAACCAGTTGTATGGACAAAAATGAGGCTGAAACACCATGTATCAAAATCGGAAAGGCAAAGGCCAAGAGGGACAGAAAAGCTCGCCAAGAGGGGACGAGAGCTCAGGCAACTTCGGTTAGTATTCGTATCTTCCCTGCAACCGTGATATTTGTCCTTTCACTTCTCAGCCGTGTCTAATCCTGTATAACGTCCGTAGCATCTCACTTGCAACGTTTGCAACGAGACATTTCCCTCGCGCACCCAACTATTCATGCATCTCCGGGTGGAAAACCACGCAGCGCCTCTTTCCTGATTCTGTACATATCAAAAAGCATGAAGCTGTAGCATTGGATATGTCCAGGGTATCTCTTGTAGCCGGTTCTCCTTGTTGGTATCGTCAAATAACTTGTGCTTGCTACACTCGCAAACAATGGGCGGACAGCCTAGTAGTCATAGTTGATTCAGCACCTCGATACCATCGGCGGTATTCCCAGGGACCTCAAACTCATTCTCACTTAATGAGAGAACACTGTCTACTGATCGTCTTTGATCGGGGTCGCGGCCCGATAACGGATGCACATCCGAAACGTGAATGACTGCCTTCCCTTGGACATGTTTGATTGATTTTCTCCACTCTACCCAGTCCTCCTCGTCCTGGATAATGAAGCCAATTAGCATGCTAGGGTCCATCTCCTTGACGTGTAACTTTCGTAGTCGCCGGGTATGGCAAGAGTCAACTTCCTCGGTCGAGTAATGCTGTGGATCCTGATAGTAACGTAGGGCGGGCCGGGTATGGTGTGGATCGAGGTAGAAAAGGTTAGGGCCTTGGGCCCCAATGAAATAGTGCGATGAAGAGGGCCTCCCGCTTATCTGTCATTAGTGAAGGTCTCCAGGGGTAGACGTATTCATGGGGAAACTTACCCGGCTATGCCCACGGATTGAGGGAGCTGAAGGGAGGCAATGAGGGCATCCCAATACACGGGTGTAATTTTAGTGATACCTAGTCGGGTGCCGACTAAAATTAAAGTAGGTCTGAATATCCCGTCCGAGCCTTTCGCTGTGCTCAAGAACTCATCCTCGTAGACATCTGGTCCATCCCCAGTGGAATATACGCGCAGCTCGGCATCATTGCTATTCACCAACGCCCTATAATCGTTTTAACAATGTCTTTCTATCGAATGCAGCTGTTGCACCTTTGCTCCGAATACTTACTTGATACACCTAGCTGTGGCCGAGGGACCAAACCATTCTCCAGGGTATTTCCCACAGAAGGCAGCCCCGTGTTTGACGAAATTGTGAATCGAGTAAGGTGCTCTCTCGTCGTCTGCAAACAGCGCAATGATGGACTTCTCGTGAGTGACATCTCCACTTCGGCGCCAATCTACTCGCTGATTAGCACTACCAGTCAGATTACTTCTAGCTTCGACGTACTTCTACCTAGCCGCTGTATAGATATGGTATTGGCAAGAAGACTTTGCCCAGACCGAATCATGCAGCCCCATCCACTGTCGGAAGAAAACCCATTTTGATCCATGAATTGAGCTTTTACCCTTACTGGTAATGAAAGTGATGATGCCGCCGCAGCAAGAGGTGATCGCCGTATCGGTTCAAAGTCAGACCGGTAGGTCATCCAGAGTCTTGCTTCAACATCGTCTAGAAACAGCGACGGCCACCTACCATCTCCTCCAGCATATTTTGTATGCCTTGCTAAAGACTGGGACCCGGCAGGATCTTCTGGAGGTTGTTCTGGCGACGGGTTTGAGCCGATGGAAGGGCGGCTATCGATTTGAAATGCTTTAGATGAAGAAACCGAGGGTGTCACATCTATTTCGTGGCTGAGGGCATCGGTTGCCAGAGTGTAGGAGGATCCAAGGCACCAGGCAGGTTGATCCATCTTCGCGTCATTCGTCGGCTCCGGATCCCAAAGCTTTTGAACGATCCGGCGATAGCGAGAAAAGTCAACCGTGGCCATCTCTATTATTATTTTGACCTGGTCTGTTTCTTTGCTTCTGACGAGTTCTTATGAGTGATAGGTCGCTGTGAAGGAGAGGTGAACAACGGCTCAGCTGGGTTGGAACGTGACTGTAAAAGCGACCAAGTGACGCACTTGGTGGGGGCGCTTAGCAGAGTGTGGGGTATCTTGGCAGGCTTCAACAGGTCCCGGGCAGCTGGTCAACACATTCCCCCAACCATCAAGATTGTATCTAACGAATCACAACGCTGAGCGACGGAGGCAACAGACGACTGAAAATAGCTGGAGGGCCGTCCCTTTTTGAGAAGATGATAATAAGTGTAAAGAACTTTTCCAAGTTCCACTTACAGAGCGCAGATAAACCAGACCCATACACAGCCCCTTTTGGAAGCAGAATATTAAAGAAGAAGCGAATAAGAGATTTTCCAAGACGATCAAGAGTACCCCTGCTCCAGCAGTCGTTAACTGTGCCTCCAGTGCCTCGGTATTCCGCCCCTAATTCCTCGAAGAAGCCGCAAAAGCATCGTCGTCGAGGGCATGCTTATCCACCATAGCTGCTAAATATCCAAAGTTTCAATCTCTTCCCCACAATGAGCCAACAAACAGTATTTACTCTAAAAGATGAAGCACACCGCACTTCTCACCGCTCCCGTCTTGGGAAAGGAGCCGATAGCAAGTTTAGAAATCATCCCGTCTCTTTTACAACCATCGGTTCCATCGACCCCTTCGAATGTCAACGAGGCCAGGGCACAACTCATCGCGGGATCGAACCACAGTTATCCCCACAATCAATCGATGATCATTTGCCCCCTACGCATGGGCCTCCAAACGCGGAACCGAGGGGGAAGCAGGATATTATAGACGCATTCCAACCCCTAATTCTGCAGACAGAACCCACGACTTGCTCTCTGAAGCCTCCGAGGGGCCCTCTATAAATGAATTTCCACATGTTAGGCGCACAGCGCCCTCCTCCCCTCTTCCGATTCTGGCGACGAAGTCGTCTTATTATTCAAAGGCCGGGGCAAATCGCACTTGAGCAAGAACGAAACCTTTAGTCTACGGTCGATTGCCGATGAAGTTCTTGGTCTAGAAACCAGCACTGTTCCGTGGCAGGAGGGTGGAATGCAGAACGACATCAACAGCGGCAGAAATACACCCATGGGCATGGAAGTTGATGGAGACGCGGAAGGCGATATGGACTATCTCGCCAATATATTGGCGACTGGAGAACAGCTCACCGTTGCTAGGTTTCACTTTCGAGATATTGGGATCGATAGCCAGAATATTCACCTTGATGATATATCTACGATATCAGAAACGGACATTCTTGCATCGAATCATCAAACACGAATATACCAACCTACAAACAAACCCGCGAGGCACAAGAGGTCTAGCAAAACCGGCTTGTTTTCCAAGTATCCAGTTGATATGACAATCACAGATATTATGCACGAATTACGGCGTTTCTTATCGTCATCAGAGCAACAGTAAGATATCCTCCTTGAACCCGGAACAGGGCCAGATAACTACAAAATCGTCCACGTAGAACTTATTGAATGTATCAGGACCTCATTTCCGCCCTTGCCGAAGCCATTTCGAAAGGCAATACACGATATGGCTCGACCACTGCATTTGAAAACCAAGTCCATCGGCAAGGGAAGCACGACGTCCAGTCGTGTACAAAACCAAAGCCACACCCGGCCCGGACTCGGATTTCCTCGCAACTGCCCTTCGAAATGCCCAGGGATGTCTCGACAGGCAATTGAGGTCGAACGTATGGGACAAGAACGTCTCGAATGTTAGATACAAAGATGGCGACGTGGTGGGCGATAAGCTTCCTGAGCTCGGAACCGAAAACAAAGGGCGTGCCATGTTGGAAAAAATGGGCTGGACCACTGGCACGGCGTTGGGTGCCCACGACAACAAAGGAATCCTACATCCAGTCATGCAAGTCGTCAAGCGAACAAAGGCCGGATTGCGGTGAAGACGCGTCGAGGCTCGATGCGGACGAGGGGATGCAAAGGGGAAATATGAAATAATCCATTTCAACCGAATCCCTGATCTGAACTGTATTGTACAACCGCAAACCCCATTGACCGTGCAAATAAATATCATTGCCCCGAAAAATAACAAAACCATCCGTAACGCATTAGAGACTCTGGAGAAAAAGGAACGTGCAGTTGCACTGCCTATGCCACAAGACAATTGGCCACCAGAACACACAATCCCATCATACCATTTATTTCGTCGATGAGGAATACTTGGTCACCGCCTTGGTGCCTTCTGACACCGCGTGCTTGGCGAGTTCACCGGGAAGAATGAGGCGGACACTATCGAAAGAAAGATAAGAAATTAGCGATGGTCTTTGGGCATATGGTGTCCGGGTAGCCTTACGATGTCTGGATTTCGCGAGAAGAGATGGTCGACTTCTTATTGTAAGCAGCGAGCTTAGAGGCCTCAGTTGCAACGCGCTCGAAGATATCTAATGTATCTTAGTGTCTGTGTTCATAACCTGTCGCGAATTGAGATATAGACTTACCGTTGACAAATGAATTCAGGATCGACATAGCACGGTTGGAAATACCAGTGTCGGGGTGGACCTGTTTGAGGACTGTGTAGACACGTTAATGCCTAGGGTCTATTTTCAACATGTCGCGAAAGGGAGAAGCGGGAAAAACATACCCTTGTAGATGTAAGAAGAATATGTCTCCTTTCGTGCCTTGGTGCGCTTCTTCTTCTCGCCAGAGGCAGCAGTCTTCTTTCCGGCATCCTTCTTCTCAGGGGCCTTGGAGGCAGTAGCGGGGGCCTTGGCGGCAGGCTTCTTATCGGCCTTGGGAGCCATCTTGAAATAATTGGAATGAAGGGGTATGTGAGAAATGCTAAAATGCGGGCAGGGTATGCGCAAAAATACTCAGCAGTATGGATAGTTGAAGAGATGGACTGAAGGGAGATGTCGGGGAATAGGTTTGGGGGATCCTCAACCCTTTTGTACGTGAACCGGAGCACTACTGATTCAGCGAACGAAAAGTCCAAGCTGATGGAGTACTAGATTACGTCCCCAAGCATAGGCATTCAGCCACCCAACCAAGTACCAAATACAAGGGTCAAAATATGCCAACCTCATGCCCCACATCAACCGTCACCAAATAACATTGCCAAAAGCGGAAATTTCTGGGGCTAGAAGGCCTAAAACTGTCCTTGACGCGTTACCCACGCGCCGAAACAAACCCTGTGCATTTTATGTCTAGCCTTCCACCACCGCCGCTTCAAAGCCCATCAGCCAGTGCCCTGATTGAAAGAAAGAGGTGGAAAATGAAATTAAGATGGGAGGAGGTTAATTGTTATTCTTTTTCTAATTAAAAAATAAAATAAATAAAATAAAAAGAGAATGTGAAAATTCAAAGAAGATAATTAAGTGGAACCGACATAGCGAAGAACTTGCGCACCATTATGATCAAAGCGATCCGAATAACTATAATTCCATGTATCTTTCTTTGCCTGACTTTACACTTGATCACAACTGTGGCATCGTTGCAGTGGTAAATGATTAGTCAGTAGGGAAATGCTTGTTATGCAACGCTGGAGTGACGGGCAGGTATTTCCGCTTTGGGATTAGTCGCGTTTCTCCAAACTCCAGTGATCCGTGACCGCGACGGCGAGAACGCGAAAACTACTTAATCTCCCCTCCCCCAAAAACTCACATCTGCACCTTCGTTCTTCATCAGCTTTCCCAATTTGTATCTTTCGTCCATCCCGACTCAATCATAACTTTGGCCTTTGTTGCTCTAATTTTATTTTCCCCGAAAACACCACTCTTCAGTATTACAAGATGACCGGCGGCGGCAAGTCTGGTGGCAAGGCGAGCGGTTCCAAGAACGCGCAATCGTATGTTTCCGTTTTCGGGGTTCCCTTCATCGCTAATGGAATTTGAGCTAGGCGTTCTTCTAAGGCGGGTCTTGCTTTCCCTGTCGGACGTGTTCACCGTCTACTCAGGAAGGGAAATTACGCTCAGCGTGTTGGTGCTGGAGCTCCTGTTTATCTCGCCGCTGTTCTCGAGTATCTCGCTGCTGAGATTTTGGAATTGGCCGGCAATGCTGCCCGTGACAACAAGAAGACCCGTATCATTCCCCGTCATCTTCAGCTTGCTATTCGCAACGACGAGGAGTTGAATAAGCTTCTCGGGCACGTAACCATTGCGCAAGGTGGTGTTTTGCCCAACATTCATCAGAGTATGTTCATCGTCATTTGGTTTGGAGGATTCATCTAACGTTTTGATAGACCTACTTCCGAAGAAGACCGGTGGAAAGGCCGGTGCCGCCAAGGGGAGCCAGGTCCTTTAGGTTCATTGATGATGTTGTTGTTGTTTTTCTCTTTACAGTCATTTGGCTGTGGTCATGAAATTTGGGGTCATACGGGTCTGGGTTCAGGTTGATTTCCATTGTTTTTGGGTTGTACAATAATGCCCATGGTTAGGGTCATGAATTAAGCCTCAATTTTTATCAAGAAAACGTTCTAATATTATTGTGTTGTGACGATGTCTAATTCAAGGGTAAAATGTGTCCCCGGTTGTGCTAATGGTCAATGGGTTGCGGTGCTTTATGAGTGTTAGTGGTGATGGTCTCTCAAGTGTACCGGGAGGGAAAGTCGCTCACGGTTTAGATACGGGGCTGGGACGTTTCGTTCATATTTGGTGCCTAAGATGACGACGTGAGCAACCAGTTACGGCAATAACAGTGGGATCGCTTACCTCCAGGTGCGCTAGGTGGTATGCAGGGCTCTGGGTGTTTCCAGTTTTCCAAAAGACTCTCGGTTTCTGCTAGAAGGCTCTTCGATCCCATCTTCGTCAGCTCTTAAAGATTGTGAAAAGAAGAATAAGTACGACTCACTCTTTGCTGTCGCGGATCCGTCACCGCTCGGTTGGCTTCAAAAGAGACCGGATATAAAGTGCTTGGCCGCGCCAAAGATGACGATGAACAGCCCAGTCAAGTGAAAGCTTGAGAGCACGACGATACAATGATCTCCAGACAGTTCAGCGCGAATACCTTGAAAAAGGGAGTGGACTATGAGCTTACAACGCAGCCTTATTTGTAGACATCTTGCCGAGTGTTTCCGAGAAAGAAAAGGGGTGATGGTTCGAAAATAGAGAAATAGATGGAGAGATGAAGACGGTAAGGCGGAGTCCTCTGTGCCGTAAGTCTCTTGATCACTTCAACCGATATTGGAAGGGGGTTGGCAATCCATGATGGTGTTGTTTTGTTCGATATAATCTGTCGCTGACTTATTAAGGCCTGAGGCTCCAAGGTTCCTCCTAGTCCCATTGACCAATAGAACTACAAGAATATATCCGAGGTTGTTCCACCAAAAGGGTGTGTCCGATTGGGTCATGTCAGTGATAAAATACAAGCGCCCTGTTCCGAATGCCGTCAGAGAAAACGCAAACTCGAAATCATCACTTCAAGCTTGATTTGTAGCTATCCGTTCCAGTCCGGCTACCCCTTCAACAGGCCGCGTGAAATTTCATTATCAGCATCCTCCGATCGTTCAAACTAATTTCTCAACATGTTGTCAAGACGGCTCATTCGCCTAGCAAACCTGGGGCACTTCCCCAGAGCGCGTTACCAGTATAACCTACCTGCCATGCTCTTTCAAGCTCGCAAATACACGGCAGCCATCACCGTAAAGGTGCCGCAAATGGCGGAGTCGATCTCAGAGGGCACCTTGAAACAATTCACGAAGCAGGTTGGGGAGTATGTTGAGCAGGACGAGGAGATTGCTACGATTGAGACCGATAAAGTATGTATCGCCTACACTCATCTATCAACTGACTAATGATAGTGCTAACCCGGTCTTTTTCCGGTTTAGATCGATGTGGCTGTTAACGCCCCGGAGGCTGGCACGATCAAAGAACTGCTAGTGAATGAGGAAGATACGGTGACCGTTGGACAAGATCTGCTTCGTCTGAGCCCGGATCGGGGGTGCTGATAAAGTCAGCAAGTCAGAGCAAAATTCAAATGAGTCGAAACCAGAAACCAAGACTGGAAAGGATGGAACGGCGCATTCCGGAAACGAAGAAAAACCGACAGAGCCAAAGCCCGCGCCAAGTGGGCGTTCTACCAGCGCAGAGCCTCAGGATAACGGCGCTCACCCCAAACCACCCGCTAACTCGGCTTTGGCAAATAAGGACAACCAAACTGGGGCCATCCCGAGCAAGGAACCTTCTAGCGGCGCTCTCGGGTCCCGCGAGGAGCGGAGGGTATCGTATCTACCGACCTTCTTTTTCTCAAGCTAACAAGGCTAACGTTGGTGAAGGTTAAAATGAACCGAATGAGACTACGCATTGCGGAGAGGCTAAAGCAATCCCAAAACACCGCGGCATCTCTGACCACCTTCAATGAAGTGGACATGAGCTCTCTAATGGAATTGCGCAAGCTGTACAAAGACGATGTTCTCAAGCGCACTGGCATTAAACTTGGCTTCATGGGTGCCTTCGCTCGTGCTTGTGTGCTGGCGATGCGAGATGTCCCAGCCGTGAATGCGTCCATTGAAGGCCCGAATGGGGGTGACACGATTGTCTATAGAGACTACGTTGATATTAGTGTCGCCGTCGCTACAGAAAAGGGGTTGGTTACACCGGTAGTACGCAACACGGAAGGCATGGATATTGTCGCCATCGAACAATCAATCTCAGAGATGGGGAAAAAGGTAAGCCTTTTTAAATAACTTCAAGGGCTTATGCGCGTTTTTCGCAGTCACTAATCAAGACGTCTCTAGGCCCGGGATGGTAAGCTTACGATTGAGGATATGGCAGGGGGACTTTCACAATTAGCAACGGAGGTGTGTTTGGATCCTTGATGGGAACACCAATCATTAATCTGCCCCAAACAGCAGTCCTTGGTCTCCATGCAATCAAGGAAAGGGCTGTAGCTGTGAATGGGAAGGTGGAGGTAAGACCGATGATGTATCTCGCTTTGACGTACGACCACCGCCTTCTTGATGGAAGAGAAGCTGTTCAATTCCTTGTGAAAGTTAAGGAGTATATTGAAGATCCTCGACGAATGCTTCTCTAGATCAATAACCTCAGAGCTGTATAATTAGAAAAGTGTTTATAGAAGTAAATATATAAATAACATATAAGATAATAATATATATTTTAGAGCTATATAATTAGAAAAGTATTTATAAAAGGAAATATATTAATAATATAGAGAGCTAAGTAATTATATATTTATACTATATACTACCCTAGAGGGGTAGTGCTTTCTACCCTAATATAAAAAAAAGGAAATAACTTATAAAGACTATAAGAAAAATATTAGCTTAATATATCTTTTAAGAATTATAGGAAATTAGAATCTAAAAAGGTAAAAAGATAGACTTTCAATAAACTATACTTTAGAATTTATAAGATATTTTAAAATATTTATTTTAATATTATTTATTAAATAATATCTACTTTTAATTTTCTTTTTCTTTTTTTCTTTTATATTATTTTTAATATAATATAATATACTTATAAAATATAGAATATATTTATTAAATAGAGAAAAGAATCTAGATAATAATATTATATCTTTATAAGATTTAACTTATAATAAATAATAATATATTTTTTATTTTTATTAATATAATTTTATTTTTAGGTAATTTTATATTAGGGTAGAGGGTATTACCTCAATAGGGTAATATATAATATAAATATATATCTATTAAATACTTATTATAGAAAATATTATAAATTTCTTAATAAGATAAAAATATATTATATTATTATATTATATTATTATATTATATTATTATATTATATTATTATATTATAAGCTTAATAATAGAGATTATATAGCTCTAGCTAAGTAAACTATATAAATAATCTTAAATATAATAAAGTAAGATACTTATACTATATACCCCTATAAGGGGTACTCTATACCCTATTATAAATATCACCCTAAAATAAAACTATATTTACTACTAATATATCACTTTCTTAAAAAGTAGATAGCTTACCTAATCTTACTTACTTTTCTTAGATATTAGAAGGGGTGATAAAGAGAGTATATTTCTTAATAATTTATATCACTATAGTATTTTAAAAAGTACTATAATTTACTCTAAAAGATAGTTTTATTATATAACTTATTATAGAAAATAGTTATTAGTAAAAGGTCTTTTTCAATTAAATAGTTTAACCTATTATTTTAGTAAATTTTAAAAGATTTATATTAGAAGGTATTTTTAGTCTTTTTAAGATTAATAGTTTATTTAAACTCCCCTTAAAACTTAAGTATAAATATCAACACTATTAGTAATAAATAGAAAACTAATATTATTAAATAGAACTAAAAGTCTATAATATTCCTAGAGTATTACCTATTTAAATATCTTTTTCTCTATTATAATATATTAGTTCTTATTTTATAAGTTTGATTTTATTTTAGTGTGATATTTATAATAGGGTATAGAGCACCCCCTATAGGGATATATAATATAAGTAGGTATTAATATATTTAGAGGTAAGTTTTTATTTTTCTATCTAGAGGATTACTATCTTTTTATATATACTACTAGCTAGCTATTACCTAGTAGTATTTTATAGTGATCTCTTCTATAAGTTACTAGCTTTATTAGTAATTACTTAATATTACCTTTTATTAGCGATCGCTTACTAAGGTAGTAGTCTCTTTCTAAGGTAGGGGTTTAGTAGCTATAGCTAGTATTTACTACTTAGTAAAGGTCTATTAGTATAATATTATAGCTATCATCACTTAGTCTTTATTCTAGCCTAAGTAAAGTTTAGTCTTTTAGAGTATATTTTTAAATATCCTAAGTTACCATTTTATAATACACCCTTTTATAAATTTATATTATAGTCTAGCTAGTATTTTTACTAGATAGAAATTTTATTAGAAATATCTAAAAGTTATTAAATATTAAGATCTATATATAATAACCTAACTTTAAATATATAATAGATTATTTAAATATATTAGTAATTTTTATTATTATAATAATAGAAGCTTAAGGAGAAATCTTTAATAATATTCTAATTTATTTATTAGATATAATATTATATTAGTTATAGTTATAATTATAATATATAGCTAATATATAAAGTATTAGAAATATATTATTTTACTCTATTAGCTTTACTAGTTTCTACTTTAGATAATAATATTTAATAGGTTTAACTAGTAAGATTATATTACCTTAACTAGTAAGACGATATAGGCTAAAATTTTATTTAGCTAGATATTACCTAATATACTACTATTTCTTTTTATTCTAAATCTCTCTTCTAGGTAAAACTTTCTATTTCTCCTATATATATATACTCTTCTAATACTAATTCTACTACTTTTAGCACCTTTTTAAAATAGTAATAGTCTATTTTCTATCTTTTTACTTTATCTAATATTTAATCTCTACTAGCTACTAAGGTATAATACTACCTAATAATCTTTAAACTATAATATTATTTAATAATCCTTAAGATATAATACTACTTAATAACCTTTAAAATATAATATTACTTAATCTAAATATACTAATATATATAATTAAAGAGGAAAATAAAACTAAAAATAAAGCTAAAGATAAAGCTAAAGATAGAGATAAAAATAGAGATAAAGATAGATATAAAAGAATAGTCTAGATCTAGGGTAGAGCTAGCCTATAGTAAGCCCTAGCTACTCCCTAAGCCTACTCTAAGTATACCTAATATTATAAAGATTACCTAAGTTACTAATAACTAAAGAAGCTAGGCTAAGACTAATATCTTAGACTTTATTACGCTAATAGATACTTACTAGGTGGCCAACGCTAGCAATAGCTAGTAAACCCCCACTTAAGTAAGGGACCACTACTATAGTAAGCGATCGCTAGTGAAGTATGACAGCAAGCGATCGCTACTATAGCTAGTAACCTAGGGAAGGGATTACTACTAGATACTTATAAGTAAGAGCTAGCTAGTAGAAGATATAAAAGGATAGTAATCCCCTAGATAGAAAAGATAAGAACTTACCTCTAAATATACTAATACCTACCTTACTCCCTTATAATATAAATAGGTATAGTATATATAGAACTAAGTTACCTATAATCACCCTAAAGAGATAGATAGCACTATCTCACCTACTAACTTCCTTATAGATAGTTTAACTAACTATAAGTAAGGAGTATAATATTTTATTATAATAATATTATCATATAGAAAAGTCCTAACACCTATCAACACTATCAGCATATAAGCAAGCAAGGACGCCAGCCAGCGTAGATAACTAACTAGCAACCTAAGTAGCTAGTAGGTATACTAGCGAGCAGATATAAAAGATAGTAGATAGATAGATATAGGAGTTAGAAAAGATATAAACTTTATAACCTTAAATATCATACTATAGTATACCTACTATATATAATCTAAGGTAACTATAACTGCTTATAATTAGTGAGTACTCTCGTTCGTCAACATACTTATAGAATCAGTTAATTAGATAGTCTATAAGTTAAGTATCTAGTAGCTATAGGAACTAACAGTAACTAACTATAATAACTAGGAGCTACTAGTAACTAGTTAATAGCTCTGACACATAGACAGGCTAAGCGACAGTCTACCTATAGTGAACCCTATTCACTGACGACAGCTGGCGTAGCTAGCGAAGTTATAATAAATATCTTTAGAATATTAAATATAGTATTAGATATACTATTAAGATTACTAATAAGATTAGTAAAAGATTATTACCTACTCCGGTAATCTAAGAAATTTAATGGCATGTCTGGTCACTCCGCTATCCCCTGTCAGTATGGGGTTTCAAAGGTACTTCACACATTGTATTCTATCAGCTACAGAGGGCAGCCAAAATAAGCAAATCCACCATCCACTTCCAGCCACATCCATCCCCCACCATCACCACCACCATCACCACCACCATTACCACTAAATCACTACCATCTCACTTCTATATCATAATATCCCCTTAAAAATCCTTAAAAATCCTATAAAAGCCTTTTTAAAAAAAAAAGGCTATAAATATAAAAATATTAAGGTGTTTTTAATAGAATAAAATAAATAGATAGATATTGGTAGTTTAGTAGATATTCTGATGAAAGAGTGGTGCTGGGATCGGTGATGTTGGGGTGGTGTTTGAGTGAAGTTAGAAGAAAAGGAGGTTCTAGGTGGGAGAATATTTTGAGGAAGATCTGCTCTTGGTTCCTTTACTATGGAAACCAACTCTAAAGGACTTGGGGTACTTCTTGGAGAGGTTCCTGAAAAACAAGCTATACCTCTTTTGGATATCCTGTGGAAAGGTGACTTGACAGGGTAATAAAACTTTAGCCTAACCTATATATATTACCTATAATTAGATAAGTTTTATAATATTAGAATAGAGATAGAAAGAAAGTAAATATATACTTTTAAGTAATAAGAAAGTAATAATAAATAAGTAATTATAGTATAAATAATAGAAGATATATAAAAGCTATTTTAAGAAAAATATAAAAAAGATAATAAGCTTTAGAAAATTCTATAAATAATTAGTAAAAGAAAGAAAAAGGCAAAATAAAGAGGAGAAGAGTAAATAATCCTAATTAGACTATTTAAGGAAAAATAGAGATTATTATATTTTATTAATATATAAAGAAATAAGAAATTTTAGATATTATATCTAATAATATAAATAACTTTAAAAATAGTATATAATAATTAATAATATATAAGAAGAAGAAGAATACTATATAACTTTAAGTTATTTTATATTTACTAAAAAGTTAATAAGATTAAGAAATATTATAAATATTACCTAATATATTTATAGAACTAAACTAATAGATAAAAGCTAAATAGAGAAATAAAA